GGTGTGGCCCAATCACTAAATTTCTTTTTAGAGCTATGGCATTTAATTAATTTGCGTTTAAATATTTTATTGAATTCATCTTTAATTAAATTGAATAAATCTTCATACAAAATATTATTATTATTACAAACTGGTAAGTTCGATATTTTGTGATAAACGTTATCTTGAAATTTATTTATCCCCGTTTGTGTAATTGGTCTACAAGTTAGGTCATGTTTGGGTGAAGCATGATGGTGTTCAATAGAGGCTAATTGTCCACTATGATCAGAATTAATACAATTTATTATTGATTTATTAAAAACATTTCTATTACAAAAAATATTATCCAAACAGGTTGCTGATGCATGTGTGATGCGGGTAGGCTCAAAGAAGGTATGCTTCAAGTTATATGATCTAAATAAGTTTAGAAACCTACTCACTAATGGACACTTAGCTAAAATGTTTATATTAAAATCACCACACACAACAACCACTTTATTACATTTACATACTATATTGAAAGCGTCTTCCATAGCGGACTCAAATTGAGTGTAATTCCCAGATGGGGGTCGATATACACATATTATGATCATTTCTTCCAGTTCCACGCAAGATAGTTCAACATTACGTTCAACTGAAAGTGAAACAATATCTGCACGTTCTTTGTATTTAAGATTATTCTGTAAGATTATGAGAGAGCCTCCCCTGATAGCCGATTTCCTACAAAAACTACTAACAACTGTATAATTATCTAAGCCTGTAACTAATTCATAATTTCTGAGCCAGTGCTCTGTAATACATAAAATGTTTATATTCATTGTATTTAAAAATAAGCATAGTTCTAAGTCTTTACCAGAAAAGCCTTGTATATTTTGGTGAACAATATTTAGAAATTTAGACTTTTCCTTGGTCATGATATAGCTAGAGAGCTCCTCTGTTGTCTTACGAACTAATTTAAATTACAATTAATGTCAGTATTTGGAACAAATTCCAAAGTCTGATCCACATAATTATGCTGCTCAATAGAAGCAGTAGTGTTAGCCAAGTTTTTGGCTATGTGTGTAAAATAAAATAATAGCGAAGAAGCTATTTGTCTCTTATGGTAATATGAAAGATAATATTTATCTCTTGTCATTTTAAAATTATATATTAATTTATTTATATCAATTAAATGTACTTTTTGACCACTATACTGAGACATGGTACTTAATGTCAAATTTAGCCTGTACCTAATATTATTTTCTTCACTTGATAGACTCTTACTATAAGGAAATGTATACATAACTATTCTATTTACATTTAGAGAACACAAAGAGTTATAGTAAGTCATAATGTCATTTTTGCCAACATTACCTCTATTACCAATTAAAATAATTAAACTTGTATTTTTGTCAAGTTCAAGAGTTAATATTTTCTTCATTAATTGGTGCATTGTGACACCTGGCAAACAATAATTAATTGTATTTTCACCCAGCTGTTTCTGTAGTAAGCAACCCAGATCTTTACCAAATTCGTCACATAACATTATATACTTATGAAAGTTTCTCTGCTTAAAAGAATTACATCTAATTGTGGTCTCTGAGTGAACTGATTTATTAATCAAGGACTCACATACTGGATCAGTGTCATTTTCTTCAGTAATGCTCTGATTCGATACCAAAGAGTGACACTTTACAGGTGTGTCTTCGTGAAGGGAGGGGTTAGATAGACACTTTAAGGCCAGAATGTATTCATCTATCTGTTTTTTTGAGTTATTATAATTCTGAGTCATTTTAGATAATGATTGTTGAAGGCTTTTTAACTTAATATTCAATGACTCCATATTTTGTTCATATGTTAATCTATTTTCTTCAATTATGGAACGGCAAATATCTAATTTTTGTAGTAACTGTGTACGTTCTTTAACAAACTCAATATTTCTATAAAATGTTTTTTCTTTATTTATAAGTTTCCTAGTTTTTAAAATATACCTTCTGACTTTAACATATCTTTTTAATTTGTTCTTACTAAGCTTATCAAGTCCCTTCCCGGCAGAACATTGACATGAATTGTCAGAATTCAAATCATTTACACAGGGGTTAGAGTTACATTTAGAATAGATGGGCTGCTGGCACTGCATTAGAGGTCCTCCGGGTGATGCCATCAGTTCCTCATAAAGACTTTGGGTATGTGCTGACTCTTGAAGCTGCTGAGCTTCCATAAAATGCGCTATTTGGGTATTTGCTGCACTTAGCTCCTTCTCAAGGTCAGTGATGCGTTGCAGAGCCCTCTCATAAGTGCTGAACTGCTCATCATAGTGGCTGATGGTATCATTCAAATTGTCTCGTTGTAGTTGGACTTCTATGTGTTCAGTATGAAGATGCGATAGTTCACACTTAAGCTGCGTGTTCCTGTCTATGACCTTTCTAATTTCTTCTTCATTCTCCTCACGTTCTTGAAGTAGCTGACTACAAGTCTCCTTTGCATGCTTGAGTTCTTCAAGAGCATGCCTCAGTTGGAGCTCTGTGCATTGAGCTGCAGCTTTGCGGGTCATCATTGTTGTAATTAAGTTGTAATTGTTTCTTTATAACCTGAAATGAGTTAGAAAAAATGTGAGTTTGCTTCAGAATTACTTATTATTATATTTTATACTGCACAGTTCCCAAAAACAATTTTATTTTTATTGTTATTATATGAGGGTAGATAATAATACAGAATTAATTAATAAACTGCTTTTCTTATCTTAATTGATAGACCAACTAAATGGATAATATTCGATATCTATTATATATTAGTAAATAAGCACTCAATATTAAAAAAGGTTGCTATGTCTCATTAAATTTTCCTAACTGAATAAAGCAACAAATATCTCAATATATAATAACAGCTAGTACTATGATATAAGAACAAATTACACAGCAATAGGGTTCAGACAGTTATTTTCAAATGTACTGTTGTTAGTGTATAGCTTGTGAAGAGTAAGAGAGGGTGTATGACTGGAGCAAAAAGTCACCATCAAATTTTGCTTCCACTATTATGTCAAGCAAAGAGAGGTTTACTGTGCTATTCGTTTTGAATTGTGACGTTACTCACTGATTAAGTGAGTTATGTGCAGTAATTTGTTGAGGTTTTCTGAGTTGAAAAACTAAATTATACACTTTCATTAATCGACAATGACACTCTTTTTTATAGAAAATACTGAAAAAATAAAATGTACTCCCCCGGTTTATGATGCAGCATGTCACACTATTGTCCTTTTTCGTAATTATTCTTGAATATTACAAATTTTTCTTCTTGATTTTGACAAGTAGGTAGTCGTTACAATATTTGTGTTGCAGTATTTTAAATGTTTACTGTCCAATTCTTGAGAAAACAATTCCACACAATATTTACTATATACACTACACTGTGAATCTATTTTTAAATAGAAATAACACGAAAAACCTAATTATTGATAATTTTAAAACCAGCTGATACAAATTGACAAGTTAACCGGGTGCGTTCCGAAACGCCAACCTTCCCGAAAGCAATATTAATATTTAAATACTCACGTGCAAGATATTTCTAATGTTGTACTGTACAATATTTTATGCAACCGTAACCAGCTTATGTAAATACGATACTTTACCAGAAGTTCCACCGCTCCTTTCATAATTTAGAACTTTCTTTTGGTTGGCATCTCGTTGACAAGGTTATCATGGAAAGTGATCCTTCCATTTGAAAACTAGAAGAACAAGTCGATACTTACACGAGTCGACGTTAAAGCAACATTGTCACATGAATATTCAATGATGTGGTAGAAGTGTATTCTGGTTTGCTTATTTTTAATTCATCCTACTGTTGTAGTGGCTTATGAAGTAACTGCACCTATGACTATCTTCTGTTACGTTACTGTTACGCAGACAGAAAATCCTTAGGAGTTGGACACACACAGAATGCGTTAGAGTATTAGAGGATCGTAGGCATAAAGTCTAAGCGGATGCGGGAACATATTCTAACCGCAAGCATTTGATCCGATCCGCAACCCATTTATATGACCAGGGGCCGAAACACAGAAAGAGGCAGGTTGATCATAGACTGTTTGTACGGGACGGTTCCCGTGTCGCCGGCTCGCCCCCGCTACAATTCCACCTAATAGATAATAGCCGATCAAATGAGGCGACATTAAACAATCGAACCAATCGCTCTCACCCGAGAGTTACGACGCAATCAGAACCAAGTTTTGGTCAAGTTATGAGCATTTATTTGCTCACACATAATTATGGCGCGCCTGCCCTCCCACAAGACCCTTATAACCTCTTTGTGTGTTCTGTGCGCCGAACTGTGTAACTTTTTGCATTTGCAATCCCTTTCAATTTTTTAGTTGGGAAAGAGATACACGATTACGTAACATTGTCATTTTTTCCGACCTTATAGGGGAAAGCGGAAGAAATAAAGTTAGACAATTACGGCTTCCAGCGCTGCGTTAAGTTAAGCGTTGTTTGTTTCATGATATTTCCGTTGGTTGGTATATCGTCTGCACTGAAAACGCTCGTTGGATACTGAATCGCGTCGTTTTTCATTTCCACAGACGCGGCGTTTAATTTTTGTAGTTCTTCACCCTTTTTTTTTGACGCACGCATAACCTCTATTTACAGACGACGGCACCTTTAAGAGGCACATCGCCGAACGGACCTCACACCTGGCTCCCGTAAGCCTTACGAGCTGCCCACTGAGGACTCCGTAACTCTTACGGGCGCTTTACGGCATAATATCCGCTAAAAACCCTGCGAATACCCTCTAAGCTGCTAAGTGCGAAATCTTGGGACCCCCGTTTAGGGATTCTGCCTCGACCCGCACCCATTAGCCTCTCGGTCTAGACGGGGCTCCACGGCAGGGGTCTCCCGGGGTATTGCGGGGACCCCGCAGACGTGCGCAGGATGGGCCGCGCTTGGGGGCTGAGTACGCGGCCTAGTGCCCACCGTATCGCCCCCCGGTAACTCTTCACCCTGCGCTTCCGGTCTCTAACAGCAGACAGTTAATGCAAGTTTCCTCGTTCACAGATTGGGTCTGGCAGATGCAGCTCCCCAGGCACCGGGCCCCTGTCCCCGGCGGAGGGCCCGCGGTGGCCCCACGTCCACCACCCGCACCCCTTGCATCACGCCCTGCTGTCGTCCAGCGTGAAGCGGGGGAAGGAGCTGTAAGTATAAGACCTTTAAACTACCCAGTGTTTTATACAGCGTTTTTTTGAAGTGATAATTTCTTATGGGAGGGTAAACCGCTTCGTTACGTAACGCATTACGGCTCCAGTCTGTGTAGCTTCCCTTTCTGTCAAGCATACGGCAGGGGTAGGCAGGCTCCTCCTTTCTCACTGTAACCCGCAGCGCCGCTTAGATAAGTTTAAGTTATCACTTCTGTCGTGCGCCCGAGACGCTTATTTGTTTCTTCACATTAAATAAAATAAGTTTCAACGGGTTAGATGCACTGATTTTATTTATTTATTGACGTTTCGTGTCTGACTTTATTTCGCCGGTTCTTCTCAGAAAGGTCTCCCAATTTTGGAATCGGTGGTAGTTTACGGTAGTTAGTTAGTAGTAGTAGTGAAATAAATAAACTCAAAATTATAAAAAAGAATTAAATAAAGTACTTTATTAATTGAATTAGCTAATAAATTCAAGCATAGACAATAAAGTTTTAAAAATCTTCCAATGAAATATCCGAACGCTCAATAAAAGTCTTTCGAAGGTAGCTCGACAAAGTAAATAAAAAAAACATGTTTCTGACGACGCATCCCTGCAAAGGGTGCGAAACGTCAATAATTAAATAAAATCAGTATATTTTCAGTAAGCAGGCGCAGAGGAGACTGCGGTGCGGGGTAGGCCTGATTATCGCATCGTCAAAGTTTCTATGAAAACTAAACAGCGTCCCTACTGGATGTAAGAACAGACTGGCTCGGCACATACAAAAATTTGCCGATGAAGATACGCTTACGGAGCTGTTGAAGCGATGCTGTGTGAAAGTTCGTGAAAAGGCCTCTGATCGTAGACATAAAGAGACTTGACAGAGAATCAGATAAATTCGAACAAGAAAGATTGTAGTCACTTAATCGCTTTATTCTTTTCTCACTTTTCTGCCCGTTGTGTATTGCTACAATTCTTAGGGCATTTGTAAACGACCGGTTTTCTTTTGGTCTAGGCACGGCTTCTACCCGTGCCGGTGCTTAGTGCTGAGCATGTTCACGAGCACGGTTTGTACGGACTAGGGTTTCTGGTTTCTCACACTTTTTTCGTCCACGAGCGCGATTTCTCGAGTTTCCTCGAGTCTCGAGGCCTCTAAAGAATACATAATTTGCTGAGATGCGAATACATAATAATTTTTTTAAGAAAAGACTCGTAATAATTACGAAAGAAAAGTATTTTTATAGCCTCCCAACTGCAGTTACTTTAAAAAAAATAAAAATAAAAAAATTCTACAATTTTAACGCGGCGCGGAAAAGCTCACCTTACGAATATGTACTTTGAATTAGAATCAAATCAAGAAAAGTCACGGATTATTTTTTTCTCGTCTCGAACCAAGACGTATTTCTCGTCGCTAGCGCCAGTCTAATTAACAAACTGCCATAGTGTATCATACTTAAATGACGACCGGACTTCGACACTATAGAAATCATCTCGGGAACAAGCGCCCTTACTAGAGTGCCTAATCAATTTTATGCAGATATTGCTCAGTCAGTTCATTCTCTATATGGACAAATACGATAGGACAAAATTAATCGTATACTGCCAATACGCAGATAGAAAGACCGCAACGCTCGCACTATTGCCCACATCTTTAGAACTCGCGGCTTAAAAAGGCCGCCGCCTCGCCGTCTGCGTCACGCCTTATTCAGCGTGGGTTAGGCGACGCGTGAGTGATAGCGTCTTTAAACCAGTTTAACTGGCCGCTTGCAGTCAATAAAATTTTATATTTATACTTGACAGCGTTTACAGGACCTGTTTACATTTAGAATAATTCTAGGTAAGATCTGGAGGTGAGGCGACTTTAATACAAAGTCTTGGCAAAAACACTTAAACTGAGTGGCGGAGTTAAGACAAAGAATATTTTACTCCGTTCTACCTAGCTATTTACTAGTATTTCCCTTTATATCAGTATGTTACATTTGTGGAATAAAATATCTGAAAGAAGATTAGTAAATTACATGTTACTGAAATAAAAAGAAATGCTGTCATCTTATAAGATGCCTTTTTCGAAAAATTCTTTGTTACATTATAATTAATTCAATTGATTTTATCTGTCGCTATTGAATTTCAATGTAAGAAGAAAAGCTTTTGATGTGTTTTAAGCTTAGATTTGTGTCGATTCTGGCATGATTCTCTAAACTTCAAATCTATATTTAACACCAGTCTCTCCTTTTTCATGCTGTATAGAGAATGACAAGGATACACTGTTGTCAAATAAAATTTTTGGCTTAGAGATTCGTGCTAGTATCGCCACCATTATCTATAGTCTCCATCGATGTAAAGTGTAATCACATTACACTAATATTATCGACGACCTCCTTGGCCGAGTGGTTTGTACGCCGGGTTTCATGGTGTCGCCGACTCGAGAGGTCCCGGGTTCGAATCCCGTGGGAGCAGATATTTGTGTGATGAATACGAGCATTTGTACTCCAGTCATGGATGTTTAATATGTATTTCTATATAAATATACTTATATATGTACAGTTTATGTATTCTATCTGTTACCCTAGCATCCCATAACACAAGCCTTCCAGTGCTTACTTTGGGGCTTGGTTAATTGGTGTGAGTGTTGAAAATATTTATTAATTATTATATTACTAGCAAACCAGTGAACCAAATGTTCACCAAAACCTGATTTAAAAAAAAAATGTATTTAATTAATTGAAAACTTCGGAGATTTTGTGTGGTTTCGTTTGAAATTCGTGATTTCTCGAAAACCGGAAGTGTTACGTTACTCAAATCTGGTTTGTAGTCTTATCAGACTATTCTTAACTTATAACTTAATATTCTCTTACGGTTTGGCCGCTGAAACAGCACCACAGACGGACGGACGGACGGACTTGTCTAATAGATAAGAGATTATAAAGTCGAAAGTTTGTGAGTGTGTATGTTTGTCACTTCTTCACGTCTAAATGGCTGGAGCGATTTTAATAAAATTTTGGATGGAGTTAGCTGACAGCTTGGATTAACACTTAGGCTACGTTTTACTGCGGGAAAATATCCCTAATAAACCGTGGGTAACACCGCGGGGCACAGCTAGTCAAATGTAAGACTGGAAAGGCTGATTGATATAATATGTTAGGAACGTTATTTATATGCAAAGGTACTTGTACCATCCCATTCAATATACATCCTTCCACTAGTTTATCGATCCCATTATTATGAAATTATTCAGATCCAGTAGAAGAACGAGCATAGCAAATACGTAAAGTTTACCATAAAATTTCCATCGTTCAGTCTATATGTTTTCTTTTGCGTGCGTTTAGCGTCAAAGCCAAGTATGTGTGTTTTAAGGAATTCTTGGATTTATGCCAAGGGCCATGGTGCATATTTACGTTTAGTTTAGAGAAATTAAAGTTCTTTGTACTCGGCCAAACTGGGGCGTTTTGTATATGAACGTAAGCGCTTGCTGCTTTGTAGAAGCATTCTCGTTTATATCGTGTAGATATGCTGCAATGTACTGTGGATTGATATAAGCATTCGCTGCGATAGTCTGATCGTCCGCCCAATAGTTGAAGTGTTGTGTTTCAACCGCGCGTCAGTTATCACTGCTTATAATCTCAGCTCATGTATTTTGTAGCGGTTCTCTTTAGGGTTGCCACATCTATGATGATGATTATTAAAGTTAAATATATTTTTAACATTTATTTGTCCGTTATTTATTTATTTATTGCACTCATGTGGTTATTTCAGATGTTACATAAAAATATTAGATACAGACACATGGACCCTGATAGGGTATCGCAATTTATAGTAAAATGTCCTTAATTAAAAAAAAAACATTAAATAAAAAATAATTTGAACATAATTAGTAACTCATAATTAATAACACTGACAAATAGCATTCAATAAAAAAAAAAAAAATTTCAAATAAAATAACATTACGTAGGAACATTAACAAAAATAAGGCCTTGCTTAAATTAACTAGGTACTACTAAAATTAAATGAACTCTTGCATCGAATAAAAACTGGTCTTTGATAAAAATGACTTAAGTAGTTTTTTTAAATTTGACTGCGTTTTTTTCAGTTTTTATGTGTTATCTTATCGTCATTGTCAATTTTTGTGTGGAAGGAGTCAGGAGAAGGAGAAGATGCTGGTCCTTACGTCTGGGACTGGCGCTGCTTAGTTTTCGTAGAAACTGACGATGAGACACGATAATGGAGCTTTCAATATTCGTGCTTGGGCCTCGGCATAATATTTGTTTTGAAAAAATTAAATATTCTGTATGTGTGATTAAGGTTATAAAGTTAAGGTTAATAAGTATATTGGGCCTTATTTTTACACGATTATCTAAACGCAGAGTGAATTCTCGTGGTATCATTTGATAAAGAGCTTGATAACAATGTGCTAATGTCAAATTTAAGTTTGTGTTTACGGTAGAGAGTCGTGCCAGATAAGGCCTGATGCATGTGTATGTATACTTGAGGAGCTGGCGGACAAAATGGTATAATTACATAAAATTAAATTTTACAGGAGTTGTGTAAAACTGAATGACATACCTACAGTGAGGTTTTGGTATGGTTTTTAAATTATAAATTTAGTAATTTTAACACTGCTTTAGGTGGTTTTGATTGAAAATTGTTCGAGATGCAAATTCAACGGTCCCGAAATCTCCAGACTAAAAATAAATGACGGGTTGCACTCCGGGAGTGCCGGCAGAAGTGAAAACTTGAATATTAACGTTGTGCATTTTTGATATTTTGGAATGGTTCGGGAATAATTTTGCACGAATTGCTTTAATTATCAGTATAAAAGTACTATCATGTATGTGGTCGAATACAATATTTATTTATTGCGCTATCGTACACAAACATGACAATTTATATTACATTAAAAAAGTTTATCTCTCAGAAAAATCAACTTACACGAATCACATTTAAGCGCACCTAGCCACATTTATTGTAAAAAAATGCATTTTCTTCGCAATAAAGCTGCCACGTGGACGTCCTAGCTAGAGAATTATTATTATAATACGATAAAATAAAATATTACTTTGTTCGTCCAATATATTGAAAGTCAACAACCTTTCCCATTTTAGTGTGTGTCATGATGCGATCAGCCCACGTTTTTTACCCATACAAAAAAAAAGTGACATCGCCGCTAAAGAAGTTGTCACTTCAAAAAAGTAGTTTGACCAGATGCGTTATTATACCGTTTTGTTCGCCAACTCCTCATTTATATATTACTAAAAGTAGGTTGCTATATGACGTAGGATGTTGCATAATTTATTACATCCGAAGTGCTTTGCTTACCCTTTGCAATAGCGACCTGCTGGTATACAAAACTAAATCCACCATCCAATAGGGTATTTGACAAGTTTTATAAAACGATCTCACATTATTGACAAATGTTAATGGAGTCTGTAAAAAGTGGATATTCATCATTCTGTTGTGTATTTCAGTAAAAATAACCAAATCAAAAACTCCATTTTCAAGTTGCCGCGAAAACGTTTCTCTGGACAATATGGCGTCTTACTAGTGTGTGACGCCACATGACTGTTATTAAAACGTTAAACGATACAATGTAATGTCACTTTAACCGGAAGTTTACTTGCGTGTGACGTTGTTTAGGCTCCGCCAATCCCAAGCGTTTCAAAACTATTATTTTTTCGTGGGTTATTAGTAAAATTATGTTTTTTTTTTGTAATAATAGTAAAAACCCCTGCCAATATTCATTCTAAACACAGATGCTAACAATTGGCACTTTATTTTTAATACTCTCAAATACCCTATTTTGATATAATCTAAGAACCCATATAATAGTTTGCCGTGTTTGTGTGTGTGGATACCCAAAATAGGCACTTGGATTTAGTTATGCCGCTAAATAACAGCCCTGTGCTCGTGTTTACATGTCTAACCCTGTAAGAAATAAGGATATGTAAGTATCCGATATAGTAGAACCAAGCTTGCTTAAAATATTGTAATGCCTAAATCTAAAGAAAAGCTTACTAGAAAAAAAAAACCAGGCGGACCAGGCAGCGGACGGGACCCTAGTAAACTTTTCTTTAGATTTAAGCATCTAGCAGTTAAATGCTTAAAAAATAAATAAAAACATAACTATTGTAATGCTTTTAAATTTTGCAACTGTTGTAACCTTTTTTATTTGTCTTTTTTTTTCTTGGAACTTTTTTTGTGGTATTGAAATAGACAACCCTATATATGTACATATATTCGATAGAGATGACGCAATTGTAGCTCGTGGGCCACATCCATAATTATATTCCTTCGTGGGAAGACACCTAATGAAATATTGATTTGATCTGTATTAATATTAAAAAGTTATTTATACATAAGAGGTTGAATTTGATACACCTACAAATTTCGATAGAGGAGTTCGATGGCGCAGGTGGTTAGCGCGTTCGGCTGCGATCGTTAAAGCTAAGCAACTTTCGCAGTGGTCGGTCATTGGATTGATGATCAAAAATCTTCTATTTTGAGTTCCTCCATGCTTCGGAAAGCACATTAAGCCGTTGATCCCGGCTGCATCTGCAGTCGTTAGCACCTGACGCACTGGGCCCGCGTGTTGGGCCATGGCCCAATCTCCCTATTCCATCCATAGGGAAATGCTGTGCCCCAGCAGTGGGGACATTAATAGGCTGATGATGTTAAATAATTTCGAAGGTGTAATAAAATAATTCACTAGTTTCGAAATATATCGATGAATTGTCATAAATATTGGTTTTAGGAAAAACAGCGGAGGCTGCATTATATGATTACATTGGACGCCATTATTACAGAAATGTGACGGCGATAGATTAAAAATGCAACCAACATAAAAAAATACTTGTTTTTTTTTCTTAAATCTGGCTTTTAACCATTTAAACTAGTGCCTGATTAACAATTGCGTTTGTTTTGTGCAGTGATGGCCGCAGGTGGTCCGTGGCGTCTCTCCCCTCCTCCGGGTATGGAACTACTCCGGGCAGCTCGAGCTTATCAGTAAGTCTGTTTATTTTCATTTCATTATTTGAACCTATAGAGATAGTTTATAAATTTACAGCCCTAGTGACAAAAGATATTGAAAGAGAACGCAGGACTCTGTCGGTAATAGAAATACCAGCCCTGCCAGAATACCAGCGCTGTTATGGTGGGAATATTCCATTCCTACTATAACAGCATTAAGCTGAGGCAGGGTCCTGATTGGCCTTTTCTCTCTCCATATTGTTGCTCTCTGTTGATATTTTATTTTTGTTGCTATGTTTATTGTTTTTTTTTACATACTTGTGTTAGGTCAATAAAAGCTTTTTCTTTCCTTTCTTTCTTTCTAATAGCCGGACAGACCAGCCAGTTTGGTCGGACATTTGGGTAAAAGGCCGGACCCCATACATTATTGAAGATTTTGTGGTTCAGTAATATGTATAAGTAAAAGTGACCGACGGTCAACTCGCTTGCGTTCGGCTACGCTCGGCGCTCGCTCGCTTGCGAAATGTAAAAAGCCTAACAAAAGCCGGTCAAGCCGGACACCGTTTATTTTGCCGGACACGAAATCAAAAAGCCTAACAATGTCCGGCTTTATCCGGACGCCTGGTTACGCTAGTCAGGGCGAATATGTTGGCGCATAGATTTAGTCACTGCACGGATGCTGTCATAATTACGCATATCGCAAATCTTTTTATTTATGCAGCCTATGAACCAACTATACCAAAACGGCCTATAGTGCCCTGCGTGTTCAATTTAATAACGCTTTTAGGGTATTGTTAAAGCTGCCTCTTTTGTAGCGCGTCCACATTGTTTGCGTAGGCCGGCGTGGATAGTTTCGAAGCTGTCATGCGAAAAAAGACCACGTCGTTATTACACAGATTGCGCGGCAGCAGCCATAATGTCTTGGCAGTAGATAAATAAAATAATATCAATGCTCGATATAAAATGAAGAGCTGGCGAATAAAATGGTATAATTACGCATCTGCTAAAAATGAAGGAAATGCATTAAATTACATACCACATGCGACCAGCGACCCGCGGCGGCGCATCAGGCCATTATCTGGCCCGTCGCTTCTAGAGCATCACAGCTTCACAGAAGGAGGCCGCAGCCCTCCAACCTCCCTCATCCGCCAGCATTGCCGCAATCAATGCTCGCGGAGACAGATCTTGCCCGATTTCTCCGACTAAGACTCGACGTTCGGAGTTCCAAGCGGGACAGTCCGCCAGCGTATGCTGGGCCGAGTCGAGTTCGGGTCCGAGTGTCCTCCCTCTATATTCGACTCAGATACTCACCGAAACAACAATGTCCGGTGAGTACCTGAGTCAAGTGGTAGGTGACTTCCTCCTTCCCGTGGAGCCAAGCTTCGAAGTGCGGGAGTATAGCACCGACGCGACGGCGCGTTGACGCGCGCAGCCCCCCAACTCCAGCTGTGCGCGCCAATCCCTCTCAGCCCGTCGGTGCAACTCCCGCCTGTGCATTCTGGCGCGGGTTCTGGGGAGCTCCCCGCGTTTCCCCCCCGGCCGACATGTCGCGGCGCGTTCGGATGTTTTGGGCTGAGCAGGCCTCAACTGTAATCTAAACTCGATTTCAAGCAAAACCACCTAAAACTGTGTTAAAATTATTAAATCATTAAGTTAAAAAACATTCCAAAAACTGTAGGTGTGTCATTCAGTTTCTTACTGTTCCTGAAAATTTTATTTTTATGTAATTATGCCGTTTTACTTGCTAGCGTCTCAAATATTAACACTATGTAATTTTAAGTCTGTACCTACCAACACATTATGGATCAAAGTTGTCCAGAATAAATTTGGGTTTTAATTTTATTTTATTTCATCACGGCATTTCTAATTATCGAAAATTTCCAAGAGCAAATCTACGAGCCCGTGATACATACGTGTTGCATTCCGTCGGGTCGGAGTCGGACTAATCAATAATGCAAGTCTCTTCATTGGGAGAGCTTTGAAATCGTACAACTCTAAATATAGCAACATTGATATCGATGGTATAGCTCACAGATGTGGTAAGTACGTTTTTATTGAAAATTGAGTTAAGTACACAGAGTTTGCTCTTGTAACTTATATTTTATTGTGCACAAATGTGGTGAGCGTATGTTGGTCCGGTTATGATCTACTAATGTACTAAGTGTGATAAATTCACTACAAATTAAAATGTTGTAGCAGTCAATTGTTGCATGTGCCCTTACCTCATTCGGCTTTCACAAGCAATTTACAACTTAATTGTACAAATGTGATATGTGGCACTTTGCATATTTTGACACCTAAACTGGCAACCCAGACGTTCTGTCATAATTTTTTAAATTTGTATAATCTTATTGAGTTTAATAATGCAACAGATTAATGCTATGCTTCCAAGATTTACTGCAGCACTCGAGAGACGCCAGTTAACTTAAATTGACAATTAAATCTCTGTCTCTTATTTATGTCTAGTCTATACTAATAATTATAAAGAGGAAAGATTTGTATGTATGTACTGAATTAACTCAAAAACTACTGTAGCGATTTCGAAAATTCTTTTTTAGAATGCTACAGTATCCCTGATTAACATAGGCTATATTTTATCCCGATATTCCCACAGGAATGGGTACCACGCGGGTGATCCGCTAGTATAAAATAAATAGGAAAGATATTTAATTGCCAATTAAATTTAACTGGCGTCTTTGAGTGCGGCAGTTTGACTGGAAAAAAAATTAGAATTAAATAATTTTTAATACATTATAAAAAGGTTTTTCTTTTCTCTAAAAACCTAATATCAAAAGCAGTCAAATGTGGTATGTACAATAAAGAAGTACACAGAAGGGGTAAGTGCACACCCTTAGGTAATTAATTCAAACTTAATCATTCAAATTTTATTTTAATTCCTCTAGTTACATATATTATGTTAGCCAATGAACTTGTTTACAGGTACATCTAAATATAGCCGCTACAACTATTAACGCCTAAATATACCAGATATCCAAACTTTCAAAACGCTATTGTGTAAAAGTTACTTTATTGCACATACCACATCTGTGAGCTATACCATCGATATACTTATGTATTTAATCCAAATTCTTAAAATAAAAATAAACTAATTAGTTATTCGTTTGAAACACAACATTTTTATTTCTTTTTGTTTCATATTCATGATGATGTCATAAATTGTTTTTTTTTCATATTAATAAGACACAGGTGTGAGATAAATAATAGTGGAAATTACCTAGGCAATGGTGTCGACTCTGGCATGATTCTCTAAACTTAAGACTAAATTTAACATCAGGTTCTCCTTTTCATTCTGTATAGAGAATGACAGGGATACACTGATGTCGCGTTTAAGTTTAAGTTAGGTTTAGAGAACGCCGCCGCAATCGACACCTATGTTTATACCTACTAAATGTTATATTTTCTGTGCAAATTAATGCTTTTATTTCCCTCGTAATAAACAAATTAATCTTGTTTAATTAAGCTAAACCTGTAGCCTATTTATAGGAACTTGTTTTCAATTGATCATTATGTAGATTAGATGGTAAAACTATGACAATACTACAGGTAGGTAAGTGCCTCCTAGGTAGGGCTGCCATCTCTAAAATGTGGCAACCAGGATAAGATGAGTGATCACCCCGGATTTTGGAGCCCAGAACCCGGACAGACCAATAAAAAAACAGTTAAAAATGTCACAAATCAACTTTTTTATGTTGATCTAGGCAAAAGAGCTAGCGGTCTACCTCATAATAAGTGGTTACTGCTGCTCATGGACACTTGCAGCATCAAGGGCCACTCATGCGTTGCCGTAAATTTTTAAACCCGGACTACAAATAAAACCCCGCCCGGACGCTCCCCGGACGCCCCGTAAACTAGGACAAATCCGGGGAAACCCAGACGGATGGCAACCCTACTCCTAGGTAACCTCTTCGAGTCACTGTTTGCTTTCATTAACGTGGCCTGGGTGGAGCGTCAAGTATGTAGGGCCATTTAGCTTCTCAAATTATTTATTCGCTTACACGTAATCTAATGTATACCTCAATGGTAAATCCGGCTCTACGGAACAACTGACTGTAAACAAAGAAGTTGATAAGATGAGTAGGTGTTTATAATTATAACAATTATGTGGAAGTCATAGTCAAAACAACACTTTTATTTTATTTTAAAGGGGTACATAAACATATAAAACAAAGCAAGCGGCTACTTGCCATTGCCTACTTTGACCCAATCCCCTACTCCGTGGAGCCCTGGGGGCCATTCGCCTAACGGAAATGCTTTGGAAAACGCTAACGCTTTCGATTTTATTTTGTTATTTCTGACCGCCGAAGGTTTTCAAATACTTATTATTATTACCAATGCAAAAGATAAAAAAAAGAGCGCGAGGCATTTGAAAACGTCAGGCGGCTAGAAATAACAAAATGAAATCGTAAGCGTTAGCGTTTTCCAAAGAATATCCGTTAAGCGAACTTACTCACCGACAGAAACACAATACCATTAAAAGGTACACAAATAAAAATGTCTCAAAACAATAATGATGAAAATAATTGATACTGATAGGTATATATATATATATATATATAAGCATTTTACCGCTAGATGTTGCCTTGCAGCCTAATAAAATTCGATACGGCCATCAGGGCCGCGGTAGCATAATGGTCAGTGCATTCTCCAGCATAGCGAAGGGTGCGGGTTCGACTCCCGTCTGCTGTCTGGCCCGCGTGGACTTTTATTCTAGTAAAATTTAAACTACATACTGATAAGTAGTTGGTTTATTAGCACCATCAATATTTGAAAGAATCACGAGGAAAAAGACTAGGCGAGGTTTTACGTTATTCGTATTCGGGTCACTTTTTGTGTTGTCAATAAACGAGTCAATTGAATTGACAGCGAGAAACTAGATTTTCGCTTTTTATTTATTGATCTTACGAAACTTCTGCAAACGGATCTGATTTTGCAACACCTCTATTAAAGTTGAGAAAAGTAGTAAATCGATAAATATGTACGTATTATTATTTATGGGAAGGTTATCGAAAGAAGAATTTGATTTGTATTAATTAATTATCTCTCTGTTATGATTCTTTCGATGTGGAATTGCAGAAATTGATTGTTGATTGATTCGTACTGTTGATTTTAGTTCTTATATTTTTGTTTTTCTATTAAGTGTTTATATATTATTATTTTTAAGGAGCTCGATGGCGCAAGTGGTTAGCGCGTTCGGCTGCGATCGTTGAAGTTAAGCAACTTCGGCAGTGGTCGTTCATTGGATGGTTGACCAATAATTTACTATCTCGAGCTCCTCCGCGCCTCGGAAGGCACGTTAAATCATTGGTCCCGTCTTTTTTTTTTATATGTCTGGAAATGCTTCTCCGCCCACCGGGAGAAGCAAAGCATAGCTATCGGGACTTGTCCACACTCGTTTCACTCAGCATGGTGACTCGATGAAACGAGGGCCCTACCTAACGGTCAAAACCAGACAATACTCCTGCACCTGTCCGCTGACACATATCCCGAGGACCGCGGTCCCTGACATATGTGTCAGTAGGGCGGGCATTGCATGGTACGCTCCAAGGGGATAGGCCACGCACTTGCCGGTGATTGTCCGCTTCCCGACCCTACGCGATTTGCGGTTCTCCGGAGTAAAAAGGGCACCCGCTCATCACAGGAGCCGTGCAATGCGGTCTGGCGCTACCATAGCCTTTAAACGTCTGCGATAAAAAAAATATCATTCGCGGCTTTGCCTACCCCTGACCCCATACCCTGTGGAGCCCGAGGAGGAGGTGAAAGTTGTTTCACCTATACATATGCTTCAAACTCACTTTCTCCAATATCGAATAGAAATAAATGTTGACGGTTTAGATAACACAGATTACCTAATATTTACTGAAGAAAATATAACTAGAAAAAATTCCACGCGGACCAGGCAGCAGACGGGACTCGAACTCGCACCTTTCGCAATCCGGCCGAATGCACTGACCAATTATGCTACCGCGGCGCGGCCCTCACGGACCGCGTCGAAATTCCTCTAGCCAACGCGTGGATTTTTTTCTAGTTATATTTTCTTTAGATTCAAACATCAAGCAGTTAAATGCTTTAAAAAATAAAATTATAACTAATATTTACTAGTTCGTCATTCTGGATTGCATGAAACTCCAACGATGATAGATGAAATCAAAGACAATAAGATAGAACACAATTTGGGTGCGGAAGTAAATCAACATAAAACGTGAACATGGCACAACAACGTCCAGTCGTTCACATTAATGAATATGTAGGGTTATTGACAGTAGCAGTTCATCAAGTGCCTCCATTTGTATTGTATTCGGCCTGCGGTGCTATTCTTTAATATAACTCACCGTTGAGTTCGACGATGAAAGTACTTTGGAATTTAGGTCCTGAAATAAATGATTATTATTATTAAGTTTTTTTGTTAAGTAAGTTATAAACTATATATAGCGCCCGTCGTCTGGGGAAGTTAACCTTACCTTATAGAAATGCGTTTGCCTGTAGTGTTGCGTTCCTACTCTGATTGAGCTCTGAATTAATTTAATTCCGGCAAGGTGATGAGAGTTGGAGTTGCAGGTTTTTATCGCGAATCAATTAAATGGGTTGCAATTAATTACTATTGTGTAAAAAAAAATAAAGACAAATAAATAAATAAACAGAGTGTTTCAAAGATGCTGCTACGTTGTTATCGAGTATGTTCGCTTGGCGAATAGCGCTGCTGTGACCGCTGACGGACAAGGGACATTTCGTTGACAAACAAATTGAGTGCTTCCTGACAAAACGTCCGCTCCCGAAGGGATTGTACCCACTGGGCCTTAATTCAGGGAGAACTGTTTAGGGCCCCTAGGAAATCCTGTTGAGTTTCATTGTTGCATTAAAATTGTTTGATATTCAAAGCTGTTCCATTTATATTCTTTGCTCTCACATTGGAATGGGAATAAAACGAAAACAATAATATCTTAGTTGCCAACTTTAACTAGACAAAAAATGTGCTGTATGCAGTGCGCCGGTACTTTCTTGCCATAATTTGGAAACCTCAAGAAACAAGATCAAATTACTTATATGGTAAGAAATACAGTAGAACTTACCCCTAGGGTTTCCTTTATTATTTAAGTAAGATATTATTTGACTTTATATTTTTTTTTAATAAATTTCTTGAAAAATAGTTGCTGCTGCTTCTGGTTTTTAAATTGACTGACAATAGAAATACTTTAGGCAAACTTCACAGAAATCAAACTCAAATTATTAATTTAATTTGAGTTTTGAGAATTCAATCCATAACCGAACATTTAAAAATTAGTAATGGACTAAAAGCTTGATTATAAGGGAAATAAAGAAGGAGAAAGATAGCGGCAATGCCACAACGATAAAAGAGTGGGTTTTACAGCATCTTAATTGAGAGATAAAACTCGTTTCACTTTAGTATGCACAACCGCCAATCCGCACTACCCACCAATCCGCACTACCCACCAATCCGCACTGGGCCCGCGTGGTGGGTCATGACCATGGTCTCCCTATTCCATCCAAAGGGAAGGCCTGTGCCCCGGATGTGGACATTATTAGGCTGATGGTGATGAAGTATGCACGTCCACATCACAAGTTTACAATCCACTGAAAGAGACGCGTTCGTGCATACTCGGGGTATCCACTTTTACATCTGTCAGTTCATTTTGACACTTAGGACTGCCGAAAGTTAGAAGTAAACAATAGGGACGTCGCTTATCGATTGAAGTTCGGTTATCTCTAGACAAGTCCGTCCGTCTGCCTGTGGTGCTGTTTCAGCGGCCAAACCTTAAGAGATAGATAAAGAGAATATTTAAGTTATAAGTTAAGAATAGTCTGATAAGACTACAAACCGGATTTGAGTAACGTAGCACTTCCGGTTTTCGAGAAATCAGGTTTTGGTGAACATTTGGTTCACTGGTTTGCTAGTTTCTTCTAAAATGATAAAATATTTTTGTGTGTGTTACAGTCGCAGTGCTCGTCCCAGGAGCGGTTGCTGGCTGTGCAGGCGCCATGCGAGCCTCCGCCCCGGGCGCCCTGCCCCCACTGCCAACAACACCAGAACTCGTTGAAGTACGCCTAGTACCAGCTGACTTAGCTATATTTTTGGCATTAAAACTGCTCAGATTCGAGTGGTCTAGAGGCTCCAGACGGAGAGGAGGATCCCCCTGTCGCGAGATGCCATCCGTCTGGAATACCTCTAGAGGTCCCCTTAAGATCTCGCCGTTCCCAAAGCTGGTGACGCTGTATAGGTCATCTGCGACCAACAGCATACACACTAAAAAAATGACATTTAGAGATTGGATTTTCTATAAGCTTCGTTTGTGGATTGGAGGCACACATTCATATAGAAAAAAAATATATTAGAAGTAAATGTTTTAGTGATTCCAGCTCCTGCCTGCAGTATTTCAGTATCAAAGTTTGTCACTTAATTTTATATGCAATTAATATCTGATAAAAACGATAGATCAAGTCTTTTTCTATATTGCGTGCTGTATTAGTCGTTTACCCGAATTTCATTGCCATTCGTATTTGGGCTAACGACCAAGTGTAATCGCGCCATAATATTTTGCCTTTTGCCGATCAGTTTTTTTTATAATTTCCATAGCTTATTATCTGTGTTGCCATTATTTTAAATGTTTGAACGACATTTTTATGTCATATCAGTGGATAATAAATTTCATTTATATTTTAAATGAACTCTGCCTATTTTTTTCAACTCATAAATATATGATAGTTATAGATATTGTATGAATGGATCCTTTGACAACAGTGTATCCTTATCATTCTCTATATAGAATGAAAAGGAGATATTTATGTTAAATTTGGAGAATCATGCTTGAATCAACACCGCAGCCTCGTTTTGTCGTTTGCAGTAGTTCGCAAGGCAGCGGTATGAACAACTGGGCGTCGCTGTCTGACAGCGGCGGCAGCGGGCACACCGCGGCGCGCGCGCCTTCCCCGCAGAGCCCCGCGCGGCGCGTGCGCAGCCGGAGTCTGAGGTGAACTATCAACAACGTTATGTAGTAGTAATATGTCTATAATTTTTATTATTTTTAAAGCATGTAACTGCTTGATGTTTAAATCTAAAGAAAATATAACTAGAAAAAATTCCACGCGGACCAGGCAGCAGACGGGACTCGAACCCGCACCCTTCGCAATCCGGGCGAATGCACTGACCAATAAAAATTATAACTATAATTGCTATTTCTTCTTTCAAATGTTTAATACTTGTAAAAGTATTCATTTGACATTGTGGGTTTACCTATAATGCGAAGAGATGGCGCTGCCTTGCAGCTTAAGAATAGCTAGAAAGAATTTCGACGCGGTCCGTGAGGGCCGCGGTAGCATAATTGGTCATAATAAAAATTATAACTATAATTGCTATTTCTTCTTTCAAATGTTTAATACTTGTAAAAGTATTCATTTGACATTGTGGGTTTACCTATAATGCGAAGAGATGGCGCTGCCTTGCAGCTTAAGAATAGCTAGAAAGAATTTCGACGCGGTCCGTGAGGGCCGCGGTAGCATAATTGGTCAGTGCATTCGCCCGGATTGCGAAGGGTGCGGGTTCGAGTCCCGTCTGCTGCCTGGTCCGCGTGGATTTTTTTCTAGTTATATTTTCTTTAGAGTAATATGTCTTGAAGTAATGAGGGCTACCGTTTTCTGTCTCACCAGATGGCGCCACTGTTGAGTGAGGTCCTAAATTGTAACTTTTAAAGTTTATTAATACGCACATGAAATCAAAGGTTACATTTAGATCGTATTTTAACACAAAAGAACCATATCCTAAACATAATAGGCCATGCCACAGTGACGCCCAGTTCCGTTTTATTCGGAAAAAATGGGAACATAATCATTTTTCTAAGCTCACTAGCGCCTCTAGCGGCGGATTCATACGCGATAGCCCTCATTGCGGGTAGGTTGTTATTGGCAGACATATCGGTCTTTACCAATAACAATCTACCCGCAATTACTTCAAGACATATCGGTCATTGGCAGACATATCGGTGCAGATGTGGACAGGCACATAGTGCAATTCATAGTTTATGACAGCTGTGAAGTTAGCAGCGAGTGGTTGCGCTCGCTGCACAGGTTTTCAGTTCTATATCACCCTACATTTGGTTGTGTGTTATATACTCGGTGACATTAGGGTTTAAATGGAGGAACTGAGAATCATCATCGTATGCAAATTTGAAGTTTCTGTTTGAAATTTAATTCTTTCTACAACTTTTTTAAATCGTCGAAAACTGGCTACTATCTGTACATGTGCAAAAGCAACTTTCCTCATAAAAAAAATAAAAAACATTAATTATTTTTCAAGGTTCCGTAGCCAAATGGCAAAAAACGGAACCCTTATAGATTTGTCATGTCCGTCCGTCTGTCCGTCCGTATGTCACAGCCACTTTTTTTATTGAAAACATGAAAATTATTACAGCACAGATACGGACTACGAAATCCGATAAGTGTAAAATTGTCTTCAATCATGTCATCTTCTTTGGCATAACCCGTTAACGAGCATGACGCATGAATCGGGCATCGCTGCGTTCAACTATTTAAACCTCAAGTTTAGAAAACGCCTGCGAGAATATGTACGTCCTTGCGCGCGTGTCTGTCTGTGTGTTATACTTTAATCAACGTTTTGTTATAAAGGGGCACACAATATATTGTATTGTAACGACACATTTACAAAGAGACAGTTTACACATTTAGTCATACTAAAAACATCTGTTTTTTTTTCTAGTAAACTTTTCTTTAGATTTCAACATCTGTTGGTATGTTAGGAGCAGTTAAAAGCAATACATAATTTGTCGATTACGTGATCAGAGTATTCGTGATTCACGCTTTCTTAATGCCTAATACTCAGTTAAATTTAATCTGTAAATTTAATTCTGTTTTCTTACTTTTATGTTTGGTAATGAGAGGTAACACAAGACGCGACGTGGAAGAATATGTATCATAATAGTCTTTGCCTTGTCGTCATAAAGGAAAATTAAATTATTAAAAATGTATTGAGTACTCGAACACAATCTTCATTAATAATATTTCAGTGCATTTGGATTACGCGGAAATGGACGTATTTGCAATGAGGTAATATAGTGACTAAACAATTTGTCAGTATCTCGACAAAATAAATATTCATCATTTTAATACATTAGCTGTCGTAGTATCCGCATATTTTATAATATAGGAATAAAAGGCAAAAAATATGTTTTTGGGTCAAAAACCGCATATTTACCACAACTTTGGGTAAATAGTTAGCTAAGTTTTGTTCGTTGAATCTTCACTTCTGCTGTGTCTCAGAATACATTTTTATCCATATATTTTTTATAGCGAGGAAGGCAAATGACTTTACCCTACCTGATGTTAAGTCGTGATAAAGTCCAAACGCGAAGATAGCTGGTACAGCAGTTATAAACTGCTACACCAACCATCCTCACCTTGCCGGCCCGCAAAAATGCTTCTTTACGCCTCACTTAAAAGACCCCAGATTGTAGGAAGGAGGGAGGGAACACGTGCGCGGGCAAAGAATTCCACTTACGAATAGTACGACAAAAAAATGGGTCACCAAATTTATTTGTTTGTGTAGGAATAGTGGCCACAGTAAGTCGGTGGCAACGTAGGCCAGTGCGCGTGGTCCTCTGAAGAAAAGGTGATATAGGGATAAGGGAGAATAATTAATAAATATAATAATATAAATATAAAAATAACACTCGCCGTGGTATAGTCGGTAGAATGCGCTTAATGATGCCACATCGCGGTGTAATTGTATTCATATCTGCTCAGCTCTCCGTCTCGCTCGCCGGGCGGGGCGGGCTCCAGCGGTACAGAAGGATCCGGCAAAGATGACGCGGTTACAGCGATGTCGGCATTATTCGCCGCGAGATTCCCCGCCGCGCAAAGGGCTATGGACGACAAGTGAGTATAAACCTATATACCTATGGATGGTATGAAATGAAAAGTCATTTATTCAGTCTAGGCTGTAACAGGCACTTGTGAAGGTCAAGAAGCTACGCCATCGGTTCGCAAAACTACGGCGGGAGACCTTGTACTGAGAAGAACCGGCAAGAAACTCAGCAAGGACTGCTTTTTTCTCCCTGTATTAGTTAGTTACGCCGTGTTTTGTTCATGTCACTGCATTGCCATTTGTCATTCAATAGACAGAGAAAAAACATGGAGTAACTAATCCAAGCGTAGTCTTCGTTTATTAATAAGGGGGAAAGACAGGTTAGAAGTGTGATATGTGACACAAACCATTTCTACGGGAACCGATGTCGCTGGCTCGTCCCCACCACACCTTCACCTAATAGATAATAGACAATCAAACGACGCGACATCAAACAATCGACTCAATCAGTGCTCACACCCGAGAGCAACGACGCAATCAGAACGAATGTTTTGGTCAAGTTATGAGCATTTGCTCACACATAACTGTAGCGCGTCTGCCCCGCCCACAAGGCCCTTCTAACTTCTTTCTGTGTTCTGTGGGAAGAACGGGTCATAAATGACCCATTACGTTGTCAGGCTAATAACTCGGGGGGGGGGGGGGGGGGCTGATTTATCCGATTCCGAAAGGTACATTGGACCGTTAGATGATGATCCATGGAGCTCCGTTAGATGATCGCTTAGTCAAAAACAATATAAGGCATTATTTAAACATTGAAAAGTCACCTTTAATGCATACTGTATAAGGTCCTCATTAAAATGCATGCCTCAAAGATTTATGACAGTTCGTTCTTTGTCTCTACGCGCAACTCTGAATGTGCTGTTAGCAATATAGCAGGTACGGACGAAAAAAGACGGCTATATTACCGACCATGCATTTGAATATCGCAAATATTATCTATGAATTCAGTTTATAGTAAGTAGTAGAAAAACATTTGCTTCAAATGCATTAAATTAACAAACATTGATTAGATACCTGTCGGAAAAAACGTCTACGTACTCAGTATTTTTTTCTCATTTTTCTACAAGGTCCCAGGAGTATATTGCAAGCAATTATGAGCTTTATCACGTAACCCTGAGAAATAAGTTAATAAACCAAAATGTGGTTTACCACAAGGTTATGGGTACATTTAGTGATGTATTTGAGTATAATGCATATTGATAAATGTTTGACCTTTATTAAAATCTTATTTATTTGTTACTTTCATTTCCAGATTAAGGGCACTTATCGAAGAACTGACTGAATTAGATAAGAAGCCCGATCGGCCGCCCATAGAGAGATTCGTGCAGAGACAGGTAACGTTCAAAAAACAACCGTCTTATTATGTTGATAAGGTCGATGTAATATTATTTCTAGTCATAAGTTTTTTTCTTCCGTTCTCTCCGCTCATGTGTATAGAAACTCGTGCAGAGGTTGGTTGCGTTCAATAATCAACCATCTTATTATGTTGATAAGGTCGATCAAATATTATTTCTAGTCATAAGGTTTTTTCTTCCGTTCTCTCCGATCATGTGTTTAGAAATTCGTGCAGGGATTGGTTACGTTCAATAAACAACCGTCTTATTATGGTGATAAGGTCGGTTAAATGTAATTTGTAGTCGTCAACGCGCTATAATGTTTCAGGTGTTGGAAATGGCGAGGGATTGTCTACACAAGTCAGAGTCTAAACAGGTCACCAGCAGCTACTTTTACGACATGGCTGACAGCTTGGATAGATTACTAGCAGAGGTAATATTTTTTTATATGTATTTTAGAATCATTAAAGTAAAATACACTTTTAATTGATTATGCTCGTGGGTTTTTATGTAATTTATTTGCTCTATTCATGAGTTGCTGTTCCATTAAATTGGCCCAAATCCTGTTATAACAGGTGCAAGCGTTTGTATAAATAAATAAATAATCTATCAATCTGTGCAGCAGATCTGATTTACCTTTAATGTATTAATATTGGTGTAGATTCTGGCAGGATTCTCTAAAGTTAAAACTTAACATCAGTCTGTCCTTATCATTATGTATGGAGAATTATAAGGATACACTGTTGTAAAATTTAAGTTTAGGTTTATAGAATCATGTCAGAATCAACACCAGTGTCTTCCAAAAGGACTTTACAACACATTTCACAGTTTTGGCTCGAGTGTAATTTGATATATATATTTTTTTTATTTAAAGTGGGTGTCATTTTCAAAGTGAATAAAATAGTTGTTTATGGTAAGTTCGTTAAGTTGGTTATTACAAACGAGTAGACACGAGTTGAAGAGCTCGATGCTGCAAGTGGTAAGCGCATTCATTCGGCTGCGATCGTTGTAGTTAAGCAACTTTCGCAGTGATCGGTCATTGGATGGGTTGACCATAAATTTACTATCTCGAGCTCCTCCGTTAGGCCGTTGGTCCCGGCTGCATCTGCAGACGTTAGCATCACCAATCCGCACCGGGCCCGCGTATTGGGTCATGGCCCAATCTCCCTATTCCATCCATAGAGAAGGCCTGTGCCCCGGCAGTGGGGACAATAATAGGCTGATGATGATGAATGAGACACGGGTTTGTAAATACCAATGCCGTAAGAATGTCACAACGGTTTTCAACATTTGCGAGAAAACATAGTTAAAGTAATGAAGCAAACTTTTTCTTATAAGAAAATAGCGCGCGTTTCCAATTGGTGACACAGTACTAAAGTGAGACAAAGGTATATATAAAGCGGCTCCAATGAGGTTTGTCCGAATTTAAAATAAAAAACGTGGTCATGTATGGGAGCGTGCGGTAAAATGTTTTACCGCACCCTTCGTTGTATGGCCCGTAATTTTGGATTTTCTCAAGCTGAACTCTGCCTGTTCTTTTTCTTTTTGTCTGTTAATTACTTTGTATTGTATTTTATAGCTTCCTTTTAAACTTACTATATTTTGTATTGTTATATTTACGTTTATTTATTTATTTTTACAATGCACTAGCCCGCTGTTTCTTCTATTCTCATGGTATGGTTTCATTTAGCGAAAGGTTGCCTGGTAGAGATTGCTACCTTAGTAATAAGGTCGCCTTTTGTGTTTGCGTTCCTGAGTTTTATGTTTTACTAGCTATGCCCGCGGTGTTACCCGCGGTTTATTAGGGATATTTTCCCGCAGTCAAACGTAGCCTATGTGTTAATCCAGGATGTCAGCTAACATAACATACACACTCACACACTCACAAACTTTCGCCTTTATAATATTAGTGAGATGTATTTTGTGTTTTAGTGCAATATAGAATATTCATTTATTAATTAATGCCTTCATTCATTAAATGTATACTACCTTCGTTAATGCATTATTTGTGCAAATGTGTTAACAAAATTGATTTCTTTGCTTTTTTTATCCCCAGACGCGAGAGAAATCCGCCGAAGCGGGTGCCAGAGTAGCACCCTTAGTGACTCGATTAGTTTTAGCGATGGCTCGACCGGCTCGACTGTTGGAATGCTTAGAATTCGATCCGGAAAGGTTTTACAGACTTCTAGAAGCTGCTGAGGGACAAGCGAGACAATTACAGGTATTTATTTAAAATTATACCAACATATTTCTGGATACATTTACCGGTTCACCAAGTGTAATAAGTTTTAACGGTCTGCAGCAAATTATGGTTGAGCAATAATTTTCGAACACACATGAAAGCTCGAGAAGAATTCGATGGCGTTCCTAAGTCCACACGAATGTCATACAACGTTTTTCAACACATTTTCGAGAAAGCAATACTTATATCTAATTGAAGTAATAAAGCAAACTTTTTCTAATAAGGAAATGGCTCCACGTACAAGTGGTGGTAATGACAGTCGTGTGACGTCACACACACTAGTGAGACGCCATATTGTCCAGAGAAACGTTTTCGCGGTAACTTGAAAAAAAAAAGTTTTTTTGTTTTTTTTTACTAAAATACACAACAGTATGATGAATATATTGTTTTAAACTTTCATGGTCACTAACATTATAGTAATATGTGTTAGGATCTAGCCATGATCATGGAGTAATTAGTTAGTTTATTCAACAGTGCCGAAATATCGGAAGCTCGCTTAAAATAAGGTGCATTGTAACAATCCCGTAAATAACTTATATTACTAGAACGATGAACAGCCACTTTTTGTAGATTTCATAAACATCAGTAAATAACTTGAGATCGTTTTCTAAAACTTGCCAAATACCCTATTGTAATTTGAACCTTATTCTGCAGGGTATAACGACGGATATCCCGCAGTACATAATCCACAAGTTGGGTTTGTCGAGGGATCCTTTGGCGGAACTACACGCGCCTCCACCGCCACCTCCGCCTCAAAATACGTCGCCTTCCAAGTAAGATTTGATCATTTTGATTGATTATATCCTTTGATTGGGTTATACTTATAATTTTATTTATTAATAATATTTAAATTGAAAAAAACGAGCGAGCCTTACAGTAGTCACCTTATATAATTATACTAGCTGACCCAGCGAACTTCGTACCGCCATAAAAAAAATTAATTAAAAAAACATTGTCCAGCGGACAAAATTGTGAATCTAAACCATTCTCAGATCCCCTTGAACACACACAAAAAATTTCATCAAAATCGGTCCAGTCGTTTAAGAGAAGTTCAGTGACATACACACTCACAGAAGAAATATATATATAAAGATTAGTAAAAAAAGAAATAAAACCTACTACAAAAGGAATAAGCCATTTGAAAATTATGTTCTAAAATGAAATTAAATATGCACGCGCTTTCGCGACTTCCTGTTACACACTTCCGTCCCATTTCACGAAATCACTCCCACAAATTGCAGGAAAGCGAGAGGAAAGATGTTACACATCAAAAAGATTGTGTTTCATTTTTAATAAATAATGTGGGGAGATCGATGGCGCAAGTGGTTAGCGCGTTCGGCTGCGATCGTTGAAGTTGAGCGACATTCGCAGTCTGTCTCGAGTTCCTCCGTGCTAAAGTAGGCACGTTAAGCCGTTGGTCCCGCACTGAGCCCGCGTGGTGGGTCATGGCCCAATCTCCCTATTCCATCCATAAGGAAGGCCCGTGCCCTAGCAGTGGGGACATTAATAGGCTGATGATGATGATGGATAATGATGATATGTAGAGAAAGAAAACTTAAGTTTTGAAACAATAAATAGTTTTAGGGAGTAGTAATTTAAATATTTCCATGTAAATATATAGAGTATAAGCAACGAATTTGAAATGTTATGGAAGCATTAATCTATAACAAAGGCCGCTAAAACTTGGTTTCAAACTCATACAACTAAACTTCAATACTAATGCGACATGCACAGACGAAACAAAATAATTTGACAAATCAAATATCTGCAAATGAATTCGGCTATCCATTAATTGGGTAAGATAATGTTAAACGGAAATCCTAACCAACCTCATAATCGGCGTGTTGCTGGATTTTTTTTCGTCCCGCCCACTTGTTCGCAATTTGCGTGGAATCTTTTTTTAGCGCAGTTCGTATTTCATATTATTTCTAATACGTTGAGTATAAAGTATTGTCTTGTTTCACAAGGCAAGTGTCTTGTAATATTGTCCGATTGTTCCAGAATGCGGGGTAGACAATCTCCCCCAGGAGGTGCGGGTAGTGGAAACGCTCCTCCCTCTGAAAACGACTATCAAGTCATCAAGCTCATCTCCAACGGGGCATACGGGGCAGTCTATCTCGTCAAACACAAGCAGACCAGGCAGAGGTTAGTATTATCTGAGGCATATGCTTCACTACAGTATTATTAAACTGACCTACATTTGACACTAATGCATGTGTAGAATGATTGAATCTTAATTTATAAATTATATTGTGCAATTGTAGAATAATGTATTTTAAATAGATAATAACCCTCTTAAAGTTGCTGTGCCCTTGCTGGGCGTCACATGGTTACTGTATTTTTCTGTACCACCTTATTTTTGTGAATGTGATAAACAATAAATGAATAAATAAATAAAGTATTAAGTTTTTTTATCTAAAGAAATTTTTAAAACAAAAATTCCTCATAGATCAGGCAGCAGACGGGACTCTATCTACCAGTAAAATGCTTAAAAAATGAAATATAAGTTTTTTTTATGTTAAAAGGGTGGCAAACAAGCATTTATGGCTTATATTGTCAAATATATTTATCAACCATTATATTAAACTAATAAAAATATTAACACATATATTCAATAAATATTTTCAACGTAAATCGCTCAGAATAAAATCGTTGCTAATATTCATATTAAATACAGATGCCAACAATTGGTACTTTATTTTTCAAATTGTCAAATAGCCTTTATATTTGTATATAGAACACATTTTTTTTAACAGGTATGCGATGAAGAAAATCAGTAAAAACAACCTGATACTGAGGAATCAAGTGGAGCAAGCGTTCGCCGAAAGGGACATATTGAGCTTCGCCGACAACCCATTTGTAGTAAGCATTGTACAAGTTCATAGTTGATTCCTTGTTAATACCTATTTGTAACAGTCATGTTGACGTTCATCATCAGCCTATTAATATCCCCACTGCTGGGGCACAGGCCTTCCCTATGTAAGTAATAGGGAGATTGGGCCATGACCCACCACGCGGGCCCAGTGCGGATTGGCGGGTGCTAACGACTGCAGATGCAACCGGGATCAACGGCTTAACGTGCCTTCCGAAGCACAGAGGAACTCGAGATAGAAGATTTTTGGTCTTCGATTTTCGGTCTGGAAGGCCTTCTAGGCCACCAGCAGCGGAGCTAGGCCCAAGTTACCGGTGGTTAGGGCTGCAGAGAAAGAAACCGCCTGACAATTCGCGTTGTGTCCAGAAGTACTGCCTTTTGTATCTGCCCCTTGATCCAACTATCTAGCCAGAGACTCTTTAGATGTTTGTCGAGACTCTTCGCTATGAGACCGTTTACACTAAGGGGCCGTTCATAAAATACGTCACGCTAAAATCAGCCTTTTCCGACCCCCTCCCTTAACTTCACACTTTCTGTGACCCCTCTTGAAATATTCCGTCACAAAAACGGAGACCCCCCTCCCCCCTCCCCAAGTATGATTAATTTCAATTGATAGTACACAAATTTTAAGAATTTAAATATTTATTTAGTTTTTATAATAAAATTTAAATATATAAATATGCGCTAATGTCGAAAAACAAACATGAGTAAATATATCAAGTTACAATTTATTGTATAATAAAACTATATACGTTTGAATGTCTATATGTTTACTAAATACGAAATAAATGATTTTCTATCTTGATGAAAATTGAGAAAGAAAAATAGTTGAAAGAAATACTAATTTAATTTTTTTAATGAACGACGAACGTCACGTTGCCTTAGACCCCCCGTCCCCCCTTGTCACATCTTGTCACACTTAGCAAGACCCCTCCCCCCCCCCCTTGTATGCGAACGTATTTTATGAACGGCCCCTAACGACTATAGGGACAATGATCGTCGAATCCACATCCCATAAAGCGGTTATCTCGTGGGGACTATATGGACAACGATCGTCGAATCCACATCCCACAAAGCGGTTACCTCGTGGGCCAAGTCCAGGTACTTGCTGAGCTTGTCTTTCTCGGCCTTCACGAGGTTCTCGTCATGCGGGATGGTGATATCGATGAGCACTGCCCTACGTCACTAACTACTTATTATTACTATTATTAATTGTTTCCTACATTTCTCAGGTGACGATGTACTGCTCGTTCGAGACCAAGCGACATTTATGCCTCATACTGGAGTTCGTTGAAGGCGGCGATTGCGGCACTCTCCTTCGAGCCGGCCCATTACCGGCCGACATGGCAAGACATTACTTCGCCGAAGCGGTGCTGGCCGTGGAATATCTGCATTCCTACGGGATCGTGCATCGGGATTTGAAGCCCGATAAGTAAGCACCTATTTGTTATAAAAAAATTGTGTGTGTCAGCTTCGACGCACGACTGGAGTTTACTTCTTAAGTCCGATGGTCTAACCAGACGCAAAAAGAGTTTATTTAACTTAAAAAAGATTGATACTGTATGAAAGGGTAAATTAACAAATTAATGAAAATAATATACAGATATAAATATATATTTATTAATTTATTATACATTTATTGTAACTAATCGACGAAATATTTTACATTAAACTTTTACAATAGTCAATTTCAGATGTGCATAAATACTATACGATACTGTGCTACGGTGTAGCACTACGGCTGCTACAGCGTAGACAGTAAAAACGTAACGAGGTCATTCATCGATAGATTTCACTCCTCACATTTTTCTCATACCGGGCCCCTTATATATGCAAATCGATTCTTAAGGAGTAAACTCCAAAAAACTGCGCAATCTAAACAATTTTCAGCTGTTTGATGACATTTTTCAACAGACTGAAGCAGTGTTAATAGCGTAGTTCACTCCACTGGAGGAAAAAATCTAAAACTGCATTATTTTAGGCAGAAAGATTACAAAATGCAGAATTGAGACCAGAGAGTCGGTATATCAAACTGATATTATAAAGGCGAAAGATTATGAGTGTGTTTGTTTGTTACTTCTTCACGTCTTAACGGCTGGAGCGATTTACACATAGGCTACATTTTTCTGCGGGAAAACATCTCTAAAAAACCGCAGGTAACACCGCGGGGCACAGCTAGTAAATATATGTGAGCATTGAATAATTATGTAATTTTGTTTCAGTTTACTCATTACGGCGACAGGACACATCAAACTAACGGACTTCGGGCTCAGCAAAATGGGCTTAATGTCACGTGAGTAAACTTAGACAAAAATGCTTGGGTATAAACTGTTCCAAACGTTCCGACAGGCTTTTTCTATAATTAGGATGAAGATTATATCGTGCTGCTTCAAAATTTACTTGCTTTTCCACTGTCGATATGATTTTGTATTGACATCGTAATCTATGTAAAACTCAAAGGTGACTGACTGACATAGTGATCTATCAACGCACAGTCCAAACCACTGGACGGATCGGTCTGAAATTTAGCATGCAGGTAGATGTTATGACGTAGGCATCCGCTAAGAAAGGATTTTGATCAATTCTACTCCCAAGGGCATAAAATAGGGAATGAAAGTTTGTATGAAACTTTGTCAATTTTAAACCGATCGGGCTGAGATTTTGCATGCAGGTATAAGGATGTCCTCAACTGGTGGGAGGGGAAAAAATATGGACGATTCAATAGAGTTGTATTGTGCATCCAATTTGAATAAAGAGTTTTTGATACTGACTTAGACTTAAAAACATTGTCACTCGTGATAGTAGTTTTCTAATAGTGAACGAATTGATGAAATAAGTCCAGTAATTTTTGAGTTAATTTGTTTGCAAACATACAATATTTTTCTCATTATAATATTAGTATAGATAAATTGTGCTTATTATATGGCGGCCCTACACTTGACTATTCATATTTGCTATTTGTAAACTTGTCAAGAGTCTGTCTATATCAAACTCCTTAAGTAATGAAAAGGAAGGAAATAGCAAACACGAATAGCCAAGCGAAGTGCCGGCATTGAAAGTCTTATTTACATATCATTATATTTCTCCAGTGGCGACCAACTTGTACGAAGAATACGCTGATCGTGAAGCGAGGCAGTTTTCAGACAAGCAAGTGTGCGGAACCCCTGAATACATCGCGCCAGAAGTGATATTGAGACAAGTTAGTGACACGCAAAAATATACCATAATACCATGATAAATGAGCAGCTTAAATACACCCCACTACTGTGAAATAAGAAATAGCCGGAAGGACGGCCCTTCGAAAATAATGACTTAAACTACCGCTTTTGATATTAACAGCAAGAGCGAACATATAAATTCTTCTTGAATAAAATCAGTAGTGATAGTGATATTTTTTATTTTTTAAGCATGTAACTGATTGATGTTTGAATCTAAAGAAAATATAACTAGAAAAAACTCCACGCGGACCAAGAATTCCGGTCCCATCTGCTGCCAGGTCCGCGTGGAATTTTTGTAGTTATGTTTCTTTAGATTTTCAGTAGTGATACTTAGACATGTTGGTAACATTCGAATATATACCTTATGCGCACAGAATAAAAGCCATATAAATGGCCCTCACTATCCTGGAATATAATTACCTAATCTTAACGCTATAGGTTTTGACAGCTAGATTGAAATCATGAAATAATAAAAAAAATATTCTTCTGATATAAAATTACGTCAGAACTGAGATAAGTTAGTGACTCGCGAATTTACACCACACCACACCACTGAATATAAGCCAGAAGGAATGCTCCTACCATCTTACCTAAAATCATCGCTATTGATTTTTTTCTACAAGAGAGAATCCCATAAAACAATAAAGACAACTTTTTATTAAGCTATTGCATAGCTTTTATCACGTGCTTTGAGTGCGGCGACCGAATCAAGAAATTCCGTAACGAAAATAAACCTAAAACCCCTATTCCGACCGGCACAGCGGTGCGGCGTTGAAAGCCGTGCATCGTCTAATGTAGGCTAAAGCAGAGAGATAGCTCAGAGGCCAAGCATAAAGTATCGTATTCGTCAAATTTTGTATGGAAAAATTTAGTTTGTTCTTAGGTCTGATAGAGGCGCTGCTTTGTTTTTAAGAGAAAATTTGACGATGTGATAAGTAACGGGGCTGTCTAAAACTCATGCTTGGGCGTATGAACAAAGAATCATTGACAGGCTTCTCACGCAGTTTCAAGCAGAATCTATTTACGACTAGCGTGTTGTCAAAATCAATAGCGGTAATATTATTTGATTACTGGTTGTCCCAGCGAACTTCGTACCGCCAAAAAAAATAGGGCTTGGTGGTAGAAGGGTGAAAATTTAGGAATGTATTTATTTTTGTATAATGTCTTGTATAAAAATATAAAAAAAATTAAGGGTTGAAATCTCTTAACATTTAGGGGGATGTAAAATAGATGTTGTCCGATTCTCAGACCTACTGAATATGCATATAAAATTTCATGAAAATCGTTCGAGCAGTTTCGGAGTAGTTCAATTACGCACACCGTGACACGAGAATTTTATATATTAGATTTTGATGGATAGCGGGAGTGGTCCTTTTAGCTACTTCTATTTTGTGGTTATACTAAATACTATACCATCATAGTTTACTGTCTGTTCTTGTTAGCGCTTTAATTGTTATGCGTTAGTAATAAAATGTCTTTCTATTTATCTACAACAATAAATTCCTTAACAGGGTTACGGCAAACCAGTAGACTGGTGGTCAATGGGTATAATATTGTACGAGTTTCTGGTCGGCTGCGTACCTTTCTTCGGGGAGACCCCGGAGGAACTCTTCGCTCACACAGTCAACGGTAAAATTTTCATAAATATACTGATTTGTAACTAATAATAGTATTTTATTATTATACTACCGATATTTCTAAAAGACAAATGCTTTTTCTTTTCGTAAAAAAAGATTTAGGTTCTTTATTCCTTTGTAGAAAGATTCTTAGAAATTGAATTTGAAATTATATGAAAGCTTTACTCTCTTAAAAAGGGTGCTAAAATATGTTTCTAAACTCGTACAACTAAACTTCAATACTAACGCGACACGCACACAGACAAAACAATACTTTGGCAAATAATATATCTTCAAATAAATTCGGCTATCCATTCATTGCATGAGTTATCTAATGAACGGAAATCCCAACCAATCCGGTGATCGGCGTGTTGATCGCAGTTTTTCGGCCCACACACTTGATCGCGGTTTGCGTGGAACTAATTTTCAGCCCAGTTCGTATTCCATATTATTTCTAATCGTTGCTTAGTCCTCGAAGAAAAGTAATATATTACTGTAATGTGTATTCAAATAGAACTACTAATCTAGCTACGTACGTGGCTTAAAAAGTATAAAAGAGGCGTGAAGAAGCAACATGTAGGCCGACAAGGTGAGAATGGCTGTAGTGGCAGGTAGAACTGCTGTATCAGCTATCTTCACATCTACACTTCACCGTCACTTAACATCAGGTGGGGTGGAGTCATTTGTCGGACCTATCCATAAAAAAATATTATTTAACTTAATTTTAACATATTTGTTTCTTAGGTTTTCACGCACATCACTAATTAAATAAAACTAGTTTTAACGGGTTAATGCACGAACTTTATTTATTAATTGATGTTTCGCAGCCTTTGCAGGTCTGCATTCTGACGAGCTGACCTGAAAAGGCTGTGAAACGTCAATAAATAAATAAAGTTCGTGCATTAACCCGTTAAAACTAGTTTTATATAATAAAAAAGTCAATTAAAAACGGGTTAAAAATTCAACCTGAGAGACTAGATTTTGTAAATATTTATTGCATAGTTTTTTATATGGCGAAAGTTTATTTGACTCCTAGAGACTGGATGGGTATATGAGATGTTTTCTATCAATAGATGACATAGAGTGGCCATCGGAAGAAGATTTCCCTATAGCGGTGGAGGGGCGAGCGATAATTACAGAGTTACTCGCGCGGAATCCTCGTGATAGACTCGGAACGGGGGGCACGCACCAAGTCAAGGTAGGTTATTTTATTTTCAACACATTTGCTAAAAAATGCATTTACCAAGGTTGTATACATTGTTCGAAAGTTCAAAATTAGACAACATAAAAGTAAACTAATAACTGGTATATGACACCGTGCATATTCTTTACGTTTTTTTTATTTCGATCGAACCTCCTTGGAAGAGTATTGATCTGTTTTGTCTCACTTTAATACTTAAAAAATAGAGCCGAAAGATGTTATTCTAATTATCACCACTGGCAGGTGGCGCCACGTGGAAAAGCGCGCCAGTTTCGTCTTAGAAAAAGTTTTACTTCATTACTTGAAAATTATACTGTTTTCTCGCAAATGTGTTGAAAAACGTTGTATGTTATTCGTGCGGAATTGGTATAATTACAAACTATACTTTTTATAAACGTTGGTTTGTAATAACCAACTTACCGCACTTATGTCATAAATAACTATCATGTAAATATATATAGTTTATAATAAATAACGCACGAATGTCATACAACGTTTTTTAACACATTGTCGAGAAAACAGTATAGGCACCTAATTTAGGTACCTAATAAAGCTAACTACATATTTTAGAAAATGACGCGTATTTCTGAATGGCGCCACAAGCGGGTGATAAAAATTAAAACTACTTCTTTCGTCTCTATTTCTTTTTAGTATTGAAGTGAGACAAAGGTATAGATTAAAAGCGCTACCAAAGAGGTTAAACCGAAATAAAAAAAAACGTAAAGGATAGGTAAAACGTAAGGTATACGTACGGCGCCAGATATGGGTGTGAGCGGTAAAATATTTAACAACACGCTCCGTTGTATGGCCTGTAATTTTGATCTTTCGATCATTGTATACAACCTCCGCAAATGCATTTTACGAGCAAATGTGTTTAAAAAAAAATTGACAGTTTTTGCTAGCCACAATGTAGCTCAAGTGCTAGATTATCATTTATGCTATGATGCTAGATTATGTGCTAACGTCTGCAGATGCAGCTGGGACCAACTGTTTAACGTGCCTTGCGAAGCACGGAGGAACTCGAGATAGAAAATTTTTAATCACCCATCCAATGACCGACCATTGCGAAAGTAGCTTATCTTCAACGATCGAACCCGAACGCGCTAGCCACCTGCACCATCGAGCCTTCATATAGTAGACCAGTATCTAATGTCCTTACCCCGTCGACCCCCCGGTACCTTACTCCCAGGAACACAACGCATCGGAAAGGTTCTGATTTCAATGGTTAATTTTAGTTTACTTCTAATGTTGAACGAGTTTGAATTACGCATTTCAGCGAGAGAGAAGTTTCACATTGACTTCTCTTATTATATTTTTTACTATATCTCCAGGAGCACATATACTTCTGCGGTCTGGACTGGAACAACCTGCTCCGTCGGAAAGCGGAGTTCATACCACAATTGGAGAACGACGAGGACACCAGCTATTTTGACAGTCAGTATTATTTTGTTAGAAATTATTGCCTTTTGCTGTAGATGCACCATAAAGCAACGCGACCGGAGGAGAACATTGTTAAAACTATATTTTAAAATTATACATTATCTATTTAGCATTTATCTGTTTAAATGGCTCCAATGATAAGGCAAATTCTAAGAATCATTTCTACTTATTCTGGCAGTATTCCAATACGAATAAAGAGATTTGGTGTCCCATTTATTATTACCACTATCCACCAATAATGCTTTGCCCTCTCATGTATTCCCTCCTTACTACAACCCGGAGGCGTTAAGAAGCAATATGCACCAGCTTTCTCTGCATCTGCAGTCCACCGTTACTTACATCATCTATAATATAAACATCATTTTGTACAGACCTATATAGAAAAACAAAAACTGTCAGTAAGTTAGTAAATAGGTCAGTACTAAAATAGCACAAGTAAATAAAAATGTTTTTCTCATAGCTATTCGAAAAAGGGCATTCCATTCATCGATTACAATTAATAAAGTTCTTATAACTATAATTGCTATTTCTTCTTTCAAATGTTTAATACTTGTAAAAGTATTCATTTGACATTGTGGGTTACCTATAATGCGAAGAGATGGCGCTGCCTTGCAGCTTAAGAATGGCTAGAAGAATTTCGACGCGGTCCGTGAGGGCCGCGGTAGCATAATTTTTTTTGAAGTTATACTTCTTTAGCCGCGTTATGAAAAAATTATGAGAGTGAAATTTTAAGATGCGCGCGCATCACTGTAACACAAAAGTAACATAATGAAGTTAGCCGCGGGCGCGTTATGAAAAAATGATGAGAGTGAAATTTTAAGATGCGCGCGCAACACTGTAACAGAAAAGTAACACCATGAAGTCGGCCGCTAAACCGCACATTACTCGTAAGTCTCGAAAAAAAGCTTCCAACAAAATAGTAATAGGATCTCTTAGTCGCACATGTTGGGACGCTCGTCGCCTCTGATCACTGTTTTCATATTTATAATATTTATTATTTAATAAAACTGTAAGAATGTGCGGGAGGGCGAAGGGGGAGTGTGAGAAGACTGACGTCAAATAAAGATAGGCGTAGGTAGAAAATACTTATATTGTAATTACTATTCAATATTTGTAGGAGAAATGGTATTACTGTATCCCACAAGGGTGGAAGTACATATATACTATTATCAAGACACTAAGACGTCCCACGTGGTGGAAGCATATAGCGTGCAAGACAATAGGCCCTACCTACGAAGCGATGACTTGGTCAATTTCCCAAGAACACCTTATACAAGTGGTGTCAGTATAGTCATGCGTACAGCGCCATCTAGTAGCGGTCGGCGTGATGATATTTGATCCTATAATGTGCCATACAATCGGTGTCGGTATAGGATAGCGCGATTCACATGCGTACAGCGCCATCTAGTAACGGGCGGCGTGATGATATTTAATACTATGGTGTTACAAAACTTATTTACTTAGATTAAATGAGAAAAACCATCAGTATATTGTTTTAAACTTTCATGGTCACTAACCATCATCAATCATCAAATCAAACCATCAGATTTTTTAAAAAATATTTTTAATGATGCTAAAGAAGTATAACTTTTCACGCGCGTACATAAGTTACACGCATCCATTTTTTTTACAACACTTACACCACTTAGCCTAGCCTAGCACTATAGGCTTGTGCTATGGGATACTAGGGTAACGGATAGGGGCCGTTCATAAAATACGTCACGCTAAAATCAGCTTTTTCCGACCCCCTCCCCCCCCTATTGTCACGCTGTGTCACATTTTCTGTGACCCCTCTTGAAATATTCCGTCACAAAAACGGAGACCCCCCCCCCCCCCTCCCCAAGTATGATTAATTTCAATTGATAGTACACAAATTTTAAGAATTTAAATATTTATTTAGTTTTTATAATAAAATTTAAATATATAAATATGCGCTAATGTCGAAAAATAAACATGAGTAAATATATCAAGTTAAAATTTATTGTGTAATAAAACTATATACGTTTGAATGTCTATATGTTTACTAAATACGAAATAAATGATTTTCTATCTTGATGAAAATTGAGAAAGAAAAATAGTTGAAAGAAATACTAATTTAAAAATTTTTAATGAACGACGAACGTCACGTTGCCGTAGACCCCCCGTCCCCCCTTGTCACATCTTGTCACACATAGCAAGACCCCCCCCCCCTCTTGTATGCGAACGTATTTTATGAACGGCCCCATAGAATACATATACTGATACATATATAAGTATATTTATATAGAAATACATATTAAACATCCATGACTGGAGTACAAATGCTCATATTCGTCACACAAACATCTGCCCCCACCGGGATTCGAACCCAGGACCTCTCGAGTAGGTGACACCTTGAAACCCGGCGTACAAACCACTCGGCTACGGAGGTCGTCATTGGTCAGTGCATTCGCCCGGATTGCGAAGGGTGCGGGTTCGAGTCCCGTCTGCTGCCTGGTCCGCGTGCAATTTTTTCTAGTTATATTTTCTTGAGATTTAAACATCAAGCAGTTACATGCTTTAAAATAATAGAAAAAATAATAAAGTTCTCTTTTATTTGATAGATAGATAGATAAAGCTTTATTCGCACCAACATGCACACATACAAAATTGAAGACGAATTTTACAATTATATAAATCCTTTAAAACATGCAACAAATTATATTTATACAACTATGATATCATATTTTCGTGTGCAGCAGCGATGCGAATGGGCGAAAACTCAGCGTAACATTTACTCAGAGAGTAAATCGCTGATTTTCAGTTCTGACCCATATAGATGAGGTCACGCAATAGGGTATTTGACAAGTTTTAGAAAACGATCTCACGTTATTGACTAATGTTAATGGAGTCCGTAAAAAGTGGATATTCATCATTCTGTTGCGTATTTCAGTAATAATAACCAAATCAAAAACTCCATTTTCAAGTTTCCGCGAAAACGTTTTTCTGGACAATATGGCGTCTTACTAGTGTGTGACGTCACACGACTGATATTAAAACGTGAAACGATACAATGTAATGTGACGTCGTTTTAGGCTCCGTCAATCCCAAGCGTTGTGGTTCACGTGACAATACATAAGAAAACTATTATCTTTTTCGTAGGTTTTAGTAAAATTATGAATATTTTTTTTGTAAAAATAGTAAAAACCCCTGCCAATATTCATTCAAAACACAGATGCTAACAATTGTCACTTTATTTTTAATACTGTCAAATACCTTATTGAATGTCAGATTAAAATTCACAATACAATAAACGAAATTAAAATTTAATTAAATTTGCTGAGTGAACCTTTGATCAACAATTCTATAGATAACGTGTCAGCGTGTAAAATCCGTCTCGGTAAATATAGCCTCATATGAGGCGTGAGATCTTATTTTAAATAGTTCGGTTGATATAAAACGAAGTAACTCGCTGGTCAATGACTGATAAAAATATTTTATTTTGTGGGTGATAAGGTTGATTTCACATTTTCCTTTTTTCACTATTAGATTTTTTCCAAGTATCAGATATAATTTATGAAAGAAACAAGAGTTCGTTTTAAAAAGATAAAAGGTCGTATGTGCGAAATAACATTTTGTTATTTGTAACCTTATTCCTTTGTGAGATAGTTGTTATTAGATTCATCTTAACTGTTTTAAAACATTTATCTTCATTGGGAATCGAATGTAGCTACATAAGTATAGTAATACGCGGACAGTTGTTAGCTTTAATATTATATGCAACCCGTTATCTATAGAATTGTTGATCGAAGGAGTGAACAAAACCATATCGAATTTGGAACAAGCACAAGTTATACAAATCATATACAACAAAGTAACATTCATAATAATACTAATAAATCGTTAGTGTCCCTGTGAAACAAACAATATGATATTCTATTTATTTTCTCGCAATGGTAAAAAAATGGTGTGGTTTTATGATATCACGATTACATCGTGTACATTTAAATCATGAATAAAAAAAAAGTAGCAGGCGAACTTCGTAGCACTGAATCACTGATGCTTGTTTATAATCAGATTTTTTTAATAACAGTAAAAAATGGCGGCATGCTATATACTAAAAAGTATTAAATTGGTCTTGCGCATTATATTGAACGTCGTCGTGTCGTTGTCTCGCTCATGCGACTCGGGCAGGCTCGCAGCCTTATTTACCTAAACTGCAGTGGCGGAATTTTGTGAAAGGGCTCTTAAGCATCATATGAACAAAAAGACAGAATTGTAAAAACAACATAAATATAAAATATTAGAAGGGTCTATTTGTATGTACTTAATGGGCTAACCATTAAAAACATAAAACATATGTTTATTAACATCGAGTCCCCATAGACAGAAATACCTAGTTTGGGGACTCTTAGTTCATAGTAAATAAGTCTATGTCATTTTTTTTAATTCTGCGTTTAGCAAAAAGTATTCACAGCATAATATTTTGTTGATTGTCTATAGGCCGGTGCGATCGCTACAACCACAGCGAGGTAGAAACGGACGAAGCCGGCGAGCCCGCCGCCGACCCCGCCGACGAGGCCGGCCTGTTCGCGGCCTTCAGCTCCACCTCCCCCCAGTGGAGGAGGCATTACCGGGACCACGACTCCAGGGTGAGTGGAGATCCTACTATCCTATTAATATTACAAATGTGAAAGCTTGTATGTTTGAAACTCAATCACACAAAACCTGTAGACCGGGTTTGGATGAAATTTGGTACGCCTATAGTTTATGACCTGGATTTAGGCATACGATACTTTTTACTACGCCAGGTTGAATATTTTTCATTATCCCAGTATCCCATAATACAAGCCTACAGTGATTACTTTGGGGCAAGGCTAATTGGTGTTAGTGTTGGAAATATAGATTTATTTAAATTGTTCACAGAGTACGGACAGTTGGCCGGGCACGCCGGATAGCGCGGGCCCTCCGACCACACCTACTGCGCCCCTACATCACCACCCCAAGTGTCCGGTAATTTACTCATCTATCATGTAAATAAAGAATATTGTCACACTTTTAATGGAATATTGTTCAAGGATAGTTCAACGTATAAGGCAAGGAATATATGAAAAACATTTGGAAAATATAGCAGATATGTAAAAAAATGGATGCGTGTAACTTATGTACGCGCGTGAGAAGTTATACTTCTTTAGCATCATTAAAAATATTTTTTAATTGCATGCAAATAATTAATAATTACAATAAAATAATAAAAGGACTGGAAAAGGATAGTTAACACAGTCAATTAAGTTCAGTTTTAATTAAAAAAATTAAATAAATATTCAAAATATTCAATTAAAATCACTACTGAATTTAAGTTATTAGTCCATATGTAATTAGCACTTGTAAGTAACTAAAACACGTTGTGTCTATATAGAAACTAGAAACATGTGGATAAATATTATAAATATGAAAACAGTGATCAGAGGCGACGAGCGTGCCAACATTGTTTTTGACAACGCGATCATCTTATGGAGCTCCGTGGATCGTTCAAAGTACCTTTCGAACAGATGTCTAATAATGGTGGATTATTAACCACTTAGTGGTTACTTACTTAGACACTAACATTCATAACGCGCCCGCGGCCAACTTCATGGTGTTACTATTGTGTTACAGTGATGCGCGCGCATCTCGAAATTTCACTCACATGATTTTTTCATAACGCGCCCGCGGCTAACTTCATTATGTTACTTTTGTGTTACAGTGATGCGCGCGCATCTTAAAATTTCAATCTCATAATTTTTTCATAACGCGGTTAAAGAAGTATAACTTCAACAAAAATTGCAATGTTATCTTTCAATCTCCTTATTAGTGATTTGCACCGGCACAAAGTCCAGGAAGTCGCTGGTAAACAATGACTTGACGATTAAAATCAGTTTAAATGTTCTCAGTTAAAATATATATTTATTTCAATATTTTTAGACGCCTAATATTCCTAAATAAATATATGGTTTATGATATTGAGAAACTGCGTGTATTGATTCATGTTTTTGGCCATACATACGTATCCGTTAGCAACAGGAAGAGAGTTCCTAAATAATTCGTATTAAGTCTTATTTTTTATGTTTTCGTTGTGTGTTGTTTTATTTTCTTTCTTCTCTTACTTATCACCTTTTTTAGGCTTCCGTACATCAAAAGGAAAAACGGAACAAGTGATCCTGTAAGGACAGGATCACTTTGTTGTCCGCCCATCCGTCCGTCTGTCAAAATCGTTTTTCTGAGAAACGCATGAAGGTATCAAACTTAAATTCATATCTAATACAAACAATACAAAGTCTACCGTCCCTTGGAGCTGTGAAAAAATCAAACTTATAAGCCAAAGCAATCAAAAGATACAGCCGTTTATGCCGCAAATTTCCGCAAATATTTGTAAATTGCACGGGTGATCAAAACCTACAGGGTACTTCCCGTGAACTTAGAATCTTGAAATTTGGTTCGAAGTAACGTCTTATAGTACACATAAAGGAAAAATTGCGAAAATTGTAATTTTTAATTACATCATATAATAAAAAAATATTTTTAATACTTATTAAAATATACCTACAGGTTTCTACGGAACCCTCGGTGCGCGAGTCCGACTCGCACTTGGCCGGTTTTTTTCTTGTAATAATGTGTTTATAGAGGAGCTCGTGCTAATCGCGTTCAGTAATCAATCATGGAAGTAAACTGTCGCAATGGCTAATTGTCAGCTGGGGGAGCACAACATTATTACTTCTTTGTGCGAAATTGACAGAGTTACTTACCTAAATTTTATTTTTCGCGACTGAATTTCATAACCGATCCAAATTTTGAAATTTCCGAGCTCTAGGGTGGACAGGAGGGGGTTAAAGTCATCTAAAATATCGAAAAAAAACCTTTTTTTTATTTTTTTTAAGCATAATATAATGATCGATGTTTAATGTAAAGAAAATATTGCTAGAAAAAATCTAAAGAAAATATACAGACTGTATACGCTGTCCGGGCGAATGCACTGACCATTATGGTACCGAGGCCCTGATGGCCGTGTCGAATTCCTTCTAGCTTTTCTTAATCTGCACGGCATTGTCAAACCACAATGTCAAATGTCACATTTTAAGATATCACTTACCAAAAATTCGCACGACAGTCGCTAATTCCTGTATTTTTTTTGTTCGTAATACAGATGATAGGCGGCAGTGCCTCCACGGCGGAGTCCTCCCAGACGGACTCGGACGACGTGTCCCCGGCCTGCAGGCGGCGCCCCCTGCGCCCCGCTGCAGCGCCCGCGCCCTCCCTGCTGCAGCCCGCTCTAACTGCGACCGTCACTGCGGCACCGCCGAGAATGTGAGCCCATATTATCAAGAGCCCTTTTACAAAATTGCCCGCTGCCGTACTAATCGGCGCGTAGGTAGATTTACACTAGTATATATTGTATTTTAAGGGTCTTGTTTCGAGTCTTATAAAATAATTATTAATGCACTAATTATAAAAATATAAACATATTTCAGTAGTTCAATGGTGGTAGATTACTTTTATGAAAGTTTTTGATGGTAATTCTATTTAATTCAATATCAAAATACGAGGTAAACCTGCATTATTTTTTGGGAAAACTCACGGAGGTTAGATGTTTTTTTTTGATAATTAATGAGACGGAAAATCAAAATTCTAATACATTATGTTACAACAAAAACATATTTCCGATGTCGCAGTAATTAATTTGATCTAATTTATTGAACATTATTGAGAGATTGAGGCGTTTGAAGTTGCGCATATTATCGTTTTTTCAGAAAACTAGCTGCGGTAGAACGATCAGTACAAAAAAAGGAAAATAGTATTTGCAAATTTTCTTCATTAACTTACAATAGGAAGAATAAATCTACGGTTCACTTCCATTGGAAATAGTCAAAATCTTTTCTAAGGGTGTAAACGAGGCGCTCAAAAATTACGATCTTTTGCAAAAAATGTGAAAGGGCTCTTAAGAAACACCAACAAATTATAAGTTATTAATACACGGACTAGTCATGGGAGGAAAACAATATTATCTGAGACAATATTATCGGAAATTCAAGATAAGGAGTAGAGTAATTACCAACCTTATAAGTAACCAAAAAAATTATAACTATCTCCTTACAGGTGGGAGATGTCGAAGAAAGAAGAGAGCAGAAGCATGGACCGTCCAGATCGGGCGGAAAAGGCGAAACCCTCAGCCCTCGTCGCCAGCAAGGCCATGCGGCGATCAGCCAGCACCTCTGGACTGTCTCTCGTCATACACCCAGGTATATAATAATTTATTTATTACTACATAGAACAACAATATTTATGGTACCAGAACTTCAAAGTATTTGTTACCCTTATTCACCAATGAACTAACTACCAGAGGCTATTCAAAAGAAAATAAAATCTTCCAGACGATTTGTTAAATGTTAAAAAAGCTTTATTTAGAAGACCAGACAGGCTGTTTGGCGTGACTGGCTGTGGAGCGACTGTGCAGCACAGATAATTTTTTAAGGTTTTTGTGCTGTAATTATGTTTTTAAGGTATGCAATTAAATAAATAAAATAACATATCTTTATATATATAATTCTTCTGTGAGTGTGTATGTCACTGAACTTCTCTTAAACGACTGGACCGATTTTGATGAATTTTTTTGTGTGTCCTCAAGGGGATCTGAGAATGGTTTAGATTCACAATTTTGTCCGCTGGACAACCCCTATTTTTTTAGGGCGGTACGAAGTTCGCTGGGTCAGCTAGTCTTTATATATATAATTCTTCTGTGAGTGTGTATGTCACTGAACTTCTCTTAAACGACTGGACCGATTTTGATGAAATTTTTTGTGTGTGTTCAAGGGGATCTGAGAATGGTTTAGATTCACAATTTTGTCCGCTGGACAACCCCTATTTTTTTAGGGCGGTACGAAGTTCGCTGGGTCAGCTAGTACTCTATAAATCGGGTGCCACTAACACATCACACTCCCGGTATGCATTGGGGGGACCTCGATCCTTAAAATGTACGTCGAGTGACCGGTGCAGAAGTATTGCCTGGTGTTCACTGGCCCTGTTCAGGGCGTTAGGTAGGGTGCTACTCATTTCATCGAGCCTAGGGCTGGCTGAAATGAGAAGGGAGGAGGCCCAGTGTTGAAGGAGGCGTAAGGCATTTTCCAGACATTAAAAAAAAGGTATATACTCAATACCAGCGACTCTGCCCACGACTCGTCCGCGTAAACTATAGTCTTTTGAGAATCCCACAAAAACCTGACATATTGCCGCGATTAAAAGCATCCTATGACTCGATCCAGGTCAAAAAGTATATGCGTAGCAAATTTCATCCAAATCCGTTTAGTAGTCGTTGCGTAATCATGCGCTCACTTAATCGAGTAACAAACACATAACCACACAAATATGCAAATTTTCACATTTATAATATCAGTAGGATGTGACAACGACAGAAGGTGAAACCTTCGGCTCTGGACACCAGCACCTCTGGCAACAGCAGCAGCTATATCACCCTGGTCATACGTCGTCGCGTGAAGTATATAAATACTTCACGCGTGACACAAAACACATCGTCAGACATCATTAAAAAAAAAACAATAAATGAAAAAGCTCAAAACTTGTTTAAAATGAAATTGAAAAACTATTGCTGTTAAAGATTTTATTGGGGTATTTTTTTTGTGGCAATTCACATGGTTATTCATAATTGCCTAACTAAATTCGAAGCAGCAGCATATCTTTAATATGCTCCATAGATAAATGAAAATATCTAATGCCAAAGGGCACCCAAACAAATTAGGTATTGCGATGTGAAGTGCAGTTCCTGTTCAATCTCGAGGGTCTTGCGATTTGGAGCCTGTAATGGGTCCGAAATGTCAGAAATAATGAAAAAACCTTATAAATAGCTCTTTATACCTGTTCAAAAAGTGTTGTTTTTATATTTTTTTCTATTTGTTGTACAGCGGATGACAGCACAATGAGTGGGGGAGCTGCGTCCCCGTGCGCGGGGAACACTTCCTCCACCAATTCTTCAAGGGATTCTTCCCCGTGCCGGGATCCACCTTCGCCATTTGCGCTGGCTAACCATTCGTGAGTATTGCGGCAATATTGTGATGAGAGATAAGAAATTCCATGACAGATCTAAAATTTTAAAGTAATTGTTATTTATGATTACAGTGCACGAGTTTGTAAATACCAATTCCGCACGAATATCTAACAACTTTTCAACACATCTGCGAGAAAACAGTATATTTATAAGTAATGAAGCAAACTTTTTCTAATAAGAAAATAGCGCTCATTCCCAAATTTTGCGTGGTGATAATTTGAACAACATCATTCGCCTCTTTTTCTTTTTAGTATTAAAGGGAGACAAAAGTATAGATTGAAAGTACTTCCAAGGTTTCGACCGAAATTAAAAAAAAAAACAATAACCGCAAAGAATACGCACTCCGCCATGTATGGGAGCGTGCGGTAAAACGTTTTACCGCACGTAATTTGTAGCTCGTAATTTTGAAATTTCGATTTCTATGTATACAACCTGCGTAAATGCATTTCTTTAGCAAATGTGATTTTCCTCCAGTTTGATCCAGTCCTCTAAGCCGCCCATAGTGGTTCGCCGCGGGCCGCGCGGGTTCGGCTTCACCATCCACACGGTGCGCGTGTACTACGGCGACACCGACTACTACACAATGCACCATCTGGTCTCCGTACGTATTGCTCTTACTACTCTGAATTCATGAGAAATAGGCGGGCAATATGTCTGAAGAATCTGTAATCATAAGGTTAATGAGGCTACATAAAGGGCTACTAATCTATACTATTATATGAAGAGGTGCAGTTTGTGAATTGTGGACGGTTTTGGAGGTAATCTCTGTATCTACTGAACCGATTTTGAATATTTTTTTACATATAGAAAGTTACGTTACTTGTGAGTGTCATAGAAAGAAAGAAAGAAAGAAAATCATTTATTGGTTACACAGCATAAGTAGGTACATTAAAAACAAAACAGAATAGAAAAAAAGCAACCACAAATAAAAACAAGAAAACTAAATTCAGGTGCTGCTGTGCAGGGCCAACAGGTCAAAACAAAATGCGACTATAAATGATTTTAAATAAAAGAATAAAAAAATAATAATAAAAATAAAAACGTCAAATAATAAATTTTGTTCTATAAATAAAATAACGATAATACTTATAATTAAAACACACTACATCTATGGCAGAACTACATTTTCCCGCCGCGCCGTACCGCGACACGGCTGCAACACACCAGAGAACTACTAATCTGTGCCTTAGTAAATATTAGGGTTTATATTTGAACAAAAACTAAGTCTTCATCGATGTGAAGAGAGAGCTGATCTCTAAATTCTTGGCTTTGAGCGCGCTAGATTACAACTAAGCGAGCACCGTGATAGAATATCACCCTACATTTATGTAGCGATGATCTCTGGTTTAAACGAAATCAAGTTTCAAACTTCAAAATTCAAATTCTAGTTCGAATTCAATTGAGACATGAGTTAGAACTTTTCTTCGAGTGGGCATGACTAGAAAAATATGAAAGCTTTCCAAACTACAGAAAAAAAAGAAAATAAGGCTAGGTTTTTTCTATTTGTCTGGTAAGATTATATTGTAATGCAAGTGTTGCATTACTAAACATTCGCACGAACAGAAACAAGCATAATTTCTGCTCTTCGAACGATTATCAACCCTATGTCCTTAGTTATAAACGTACACTTCCCTGAGGCTACCAGTGTTATGCAACCTTATGCCTACAAAGATAGAGTACACTTTCCCTCAGTTTGTGAGTGATATGAAACCTTATGTATCTATAGACAACACTCTCTATAGATCCATGTAATCATTTATAGCCTGAGGTAAAGTGTACTTTGTTACTATCAATAAAGTTCATTTTCCCTCGGACAGTGAGCGAAATGGAACCTTATAGCTATAGTAATTAGAGTACACTTTCCCCCAGGCTGTGAGCGAACAGGGTGCGGCGTGGGCAGCAGGTTTGCGAGCAGGAGATCTCATCACGCAACTCAACGGGGAATCTGTTCAGGGGCTACTTCATACTCAGGTAAAGTTTATTGCAATGAGATCAATAAGAAAAACGTTTGTGTGACATCAATACGTTATTGTTAACTCATTATAGATTTTCTATGTAAATGAACTTAAATAATGATTTAATTGTTCAGGTCCTGAGGCTACTTTTGGCAGCGCCACATGCGACAGTCAGAGCCACGCCGCTCGACCAAACCACTATTCAGGTAAGTTAAAAAAAATCTAGTATAATTTTCTTTAAAGGCCATGCGGTCCAGACAGCATATGGGAGTCGAACCTACACTTTCCGCAATCCGCATACACTAACGAATTATGTTACCGCAACCCTAATGTCCGTGTCTAATTTCCTCTAGTATTTTTAGAGTACTAAGCGTCACCTCTTCGCATTGTAAGTAACCCACAATGTCAAAAGAATTCTTTTATTCTTCAATTTTATAATAATTATGTTAAATGAAACCTCATTATTTTCAATGAGTTCATTTAAGTAAACATGAGTATTGTCAAATTTAGGAAGTCATAAATGAAACATATTTCATTATATTCTATCCAATGTCGTCATATTAGGCTGCGTTTCCGAAGATATCGACCAATTCTATTGCTATGCCATTGTTCAATTTATCAACTGATTAAGCAGTTCAGCCTTAGGCTCCGTTGTCCAATAAGATTATGATGAGGATTAAATGCTTAATTATTTATTGAGTAAAACTACTTTTAACGGGTTCAAAATGCGTTTTTTTAATACTTTTTTTTACACATCTTTACGTTTCGTATCCTTTTTGTTCAGGCTACGTTGTCGAGAGTGGTGTGCGTGAAAGTATAAGAAATAAATATGATTATTATCTATACCTATAATAAAATGGTAGAAAAGTCAAAACTGTACATTGTGATCTACAATCGATACCGAAGCCGAAAATATAGTTTTTAGAATTTTGTCTACTTGTCTGTATGTATGTCCGGGATTAACTCAAAAAGTACTGCATGGATTTACTTCAAATTTGGCACGAATATTATTAAGAAGTCGGGTCAAACATATAGGCTACATAATTATCACGCTATCACCTACGGGGAACGAGCAGTGAGCCTTTATTTCAAACTAACTCCACGCCTACGAAGTCGCGGGCGGCTGCTAGTTGATATCTATTTGTTAAATTGTGGTAGGAAAAAATATTGAACGATTCGAATAAGCTTTAAATAAGTTAATTTGAATAAAGAATAATTTTATTTTATTTTATTAACAGGCTGGCGGCAGACGTCGCACCGGGGGCGGCAGACGTGCATCGGCTCCGCCCCGACCTCGGCCCAGAAGAAGATGTTCCTTGTTCAGGAGGATATCCACCAAGAGAGCGTCGCAAGAGATGCACCAGGTTGGTTCATATGCTAGTAGTAGGAAGACCAAAGGGGAAGATCTTCCTCCGAGCTGAGTGATGGTAGTTTAGGGGCTACGATCCGACTGATGTTTTTTTTGAGTGTATATCATAGAGGTTATAAGAATAGTGTAGGGGAGATATAGACTCTACTACAAGTGGAAGTGCCCCTCTAATAGAAAGAGAAAGTATATGAGAGACCGCTAGCTTTCTCTCTGTAATCGCGCATGCGCATTGTAGTCCAGTCAGTATTGTCGCGAAATCCGTTTTTCCTCAAACAGCTGGAACTATGCTAAAAAGTTTCTTAAGATAGTAAAGAACACTTTACATAGAGAAAAAAATGTTTCCAACCCCGGGCAAGGGTGAAAACCACCCTTAATAATCTATTTTTCCAATTATCTCAAAAAGTATACGAGATACGGAAAAAAACTTCAAATGAAAATTGTAGATCTTTTTGAAATCTACAAAACATTATTCCACCCTCTTGCCCCTATTTTCAATAGGGGAGCCAATAATCGAAGTCAAAGATTCAATACTTAAAAAGTTAAAGTTAGTTAAAAAAGTTATCTTTGACTTCGATTATTGGCTCCCCTATTGAAAATAGGGGCAAGAGGGTGGAATAATGTTTTGTAGATTTCAAAAAGATCTACAATTTTCATTTGAAGTTTTTTTCCGTATCTCGTATACTTTTTGAGATAATTGGAAAAATAGATTATTAAGGGTGGTTTTCACCCTTGCCCGGGGTTGGAAACATTTTTTTCTCTATGTAAAGTGTTCTTTACTATCTTAAGAAACTTTTTAGCATAGTTCCAGCTGTTTGAGGAAAAACGGATTTCGCGACAATACTGACTGGACTATTGGCAACCGTAAGCATCTTACTATTTCGATGTTGCCATTGGATGGCATGCGTCACAAGAGAGAAAGAGAGAGATAGTTAGCGGTCTCGCATCTTCTTTCTACTAGACGGACACTAGGACAATTGGCGAGTGCCTCTAGAGGTATTCCAGGTGGATGGCATCTCCCCACGGGGGGAGACTCCTCTCCGTCTGGAGCCTCTAGAGCACACGAACCTGAGGAGGTCGGCTCAACTAGATGGCGTCTCCAAGACTCTGACCTCGGCTCTAGTTAGTCTTTGTCGTGGGGGAGGCACGACTGATGTTTGGCATTGCGTTTATGACGAGTTAGCCTTCGAATTTCTCTTGCGCGATTTAGGCTTCCATAATTTGTGAGTGCAGCGCCAGTAGCGCCATCTAGTGATTACTTCCTTCCTCCTCCATGTTGGTTATAATTTATTTATTTATCAAAATACAGACATCCACACAAGTTATTTAAAATTATAAAAAATATTCGGACTAATTCTGAACATTATGCATCTTTATATAAAATCCTCAGTCGATTTAGATAATTTGACGTCGAAACTAGATGTGGTATAGTACGATTCAAACTTTGCAGTGGTTGTGACGTTAGTCATTAATGTTTAGTTAGTTATACTTAGTCAGTTTAGTGCCTGCTCGCGCATCTACATTTTGCTTACTACGCCGTGACTTGCATTGACTTCACAACCGCCAATAGCCTCTGGTTTTTCTATTTCTGTAGTTACTTTTAAAATGATAACTTCTTATGGGGGGTAAGCCGCGTCCTTAGGTAATGCGTTACGGTGCCAGCCTGTCGGGCTTCCTCTTCTCTCACGGATACGGCAGCGGTAGGCAGGCTTCTCCTCTCTCACTCTAATGATTACTTCCTTCCTCCGTCATGTTGGTTATAACGTGTTCCCTTCTTCTTACAACCTTTGACTATTTCCAATAGAAGTAAATAGTAGATTTATTCTTCCTATTGTTAGTTAATGTAGAATATTTGCAAATACTATTTTTTTTTTTGTGCTGATCGTTCTACCGCAGCTAGTTTACGGAAAAAACGATAATATGCACAACTTCAAACGCCTGAATCTCTAAATAATGTTTAATAAATTAGATTAAATTAATTACTACGACATCAGAAATATATTTTTATTGTAACATAATGTATTAGAATTTTGATTTTCCATCTTATTAATTATCAAAAAAACATCTAACCTCCGTGAGCTTTCCCAAAAAAACAATGCAGATTTACCTCGTATTTTGATATTGAATTAAATAGAATTTCTCTCAAAAACTTTCATAAAACTAATCTACCATCATTGAACTACTGAAATATGTATATATTTTTATAATTAGTTAATTAATAATTATTTTATAAGACTCGAAACATCCACCGTAAAATGCAATATATACTAGTGCAAATCTACGTACGCGCCGATCAGTACGGCAGCGGCGCCATTTTGTAAAAGGGCTCTTCACATCAGGTGGGGTGGAGTCATTTTTCGGACCTATTTAAAAAAAAAAGAAAGAAGCCGCAGCGCCGCGTGCCGCTTAGTTTAAGTTATCACTTCTTTCGTGCGTCTGCGTCGTCTGCAGCGTGTGCGTCGCACGACGCTTTTTATCTGAACATAGCCGATAATATAGATTTTATCTTGTATTACATAGATGGTAGCAAATGTTACCGATCCAGCTTCGCCCGGAGCTCCGCCAACGGATAGCCCTCTGCATTCAGCAACACACTACCAAAGGTAAGACTAAATATATCGAAAACATTATATGTAACGAGAAGATACGAGTGGCGTATGAAAAAGCAGGGAACATGAATATAGATGGATCTCAAAGCAGAGGATGACTTAAAGAAAGATGGATTGAATGTTTAAAAGAAGATATTTTCGAGATTGATGTGAATATCTAATCGTAGAAAATAATAATAACAACGAAGTGTAACGATATTATTTTCGTTTAGCGCACTTTTACTAAATATGCTTGGCTTATTGGGTATTTAAATGTCGTCGATAGTCGCTGCCAAGCTAGCTGCATAGCCACTTTCAATGACCTGTTTATTCTTTTTAAGAAATTGGCCTATTAGCGACTTTGACTAGATGTATTTCGTATTTAGTTGAAATAACAACTAAAGTTGCTGAAAGTAACCAGAACAGCCTTTTCAGCTTATCTGTAAATGTTGAGACTGATTATTGAAACTGGCCCTAAATCGCCTTGCTGGTCGAATCGTTTAGCGACTAAAATCACAAGTGAAAAGGCTATCAGTTACATTGCAATTAATCTGTTGCCGGCACTGCACTTGGATATTCGTATTTGTTATTTGTACACTTGACAATAGTCTTGTCTTTATCATGCTTTATAAGGTTGAAAAAGGACAGTTTAATGTCACTTTTAAAAATTGCAAACATGAGTAGCCAAGCGAAGTGCCAATATGAATGCAGTAGTAAGTTTTTCGGATTCTATCCTTTAGTAGCAATTATTATCACCAACCGATAAATTATAACTGAGGGCGTTTCAAGAAAGCTCGTTTACCTTCATATTATGGTGATGAACTTGGATTTTCTAGAAAAAAAATTGTTTTTGTATTAATTGCAATGTAGCTTTTATAGCACTGAAGCACATATATTTAAATCAATGCAAACCACTTGCGACGGGCCTTTTACATAATCAATTAGTCGCTCGTCACATGTGGTCCCTTCGTATAAACTATCAAAAAATATATTATACTATATATTTTATAAAAATGCTTCGTTTAAAACTCTTTTAAAATATTAAAATTTTCGTTCAGCATGGCTTTAGCATAAGCAGTAACTGCGGCATTCATATATATTTTTATATTAATATGTTAAATGTAGTTATTACGATTGTAAGCCTACGTAACTATAGAATTTTGTATTTATTAAAAATTTGCTTTAAATGTTTGATATTATCGACTTTTCATAATTGTAAATGTATTTAATTATTATGATCCTTATCTAGACAGGTTTAAGGTAATAATTTATTTAGCAAACGAAGAAAACTAAAAATAATTGTCCTAACAATAACCCCGTGCACTATTTATGTGACAAATAGACACGAATATTGGATGACATCAATTTGGAAATTTATAATCTCAAAGTGCTGTTTAAATAGCAACCGTCAAAAGTTAATCATAGATAGCACAGATAAGGATAGATACAAATTGTCTGCTAGGCCATCCTTCCTGCACGACTTGAAGTATAAGCTGGCGGCGGGTTCGACTAATAACACACTGCAGTATCTGCCCAATTTTTTTGATTTATGTTCTTTATAAGCTCTAAAGTTGTCATCTTAAACTCGTAAAAGTAATAGGTTCAATAGAAGACACTTATTGTACACGCGGACTTTAACAACTTGAATCATAAGCTAGTAGCGGGAGCGATTAGTCAACACTTTTATATATTTTTTGTTAATTTTTTATTTTATAAGTTTTAAAGCCTTGTTCTCTTAGTTACCATCATAAACTCGCAAAGGATATAGGCTCAACAGTAGGCACAATTTCCGCTAGGCCGTGCTCCCTGCACGACTTGAAGCATAAGCTGGTAGAGGCAGCAATTAAAAGCGATTAACAAACATAACCAAATTTTTTTTGGCCAATTTTAGTTTTATAAGTTTGTAAAGGATATGTTAAACATAGGTTCATGTTGTCTACTAGGCCGTCCCTTGCGTGGCTTGGGCACAAGCTAGCTGGTAGCGGGAGCATTAAACACAGTTCTAACACCTTTTTTGTCTATATTTTTCATTTTATGTAAGCTTTGGTTTAAAGCGATCATATAAATTTATTGTGAAGGACATAGATTCAATAGTAGCCACATTTTTGCCGCTAGGCCGTCCTTCGTGCACGGCTTGAAGTATTAGCTGTAGTATTAGCGGGAGCGATTAATAAATATACTATTGTTATAACACCTGTTTTTGGCATTTTTTTTTCATTTTATGTTAGGTTTTTTGAAAATGATCATATTAATTTATCGTAAAGGACATAGGTTCAACAGTAGGCTCATATTGTCAGCTAGGGCTTCGTCCTCGCTCGGCTTGAAGCATAAGCTGGGGCGGAAGCGATTAGAAGGGACTAAGAAGCATTATCACCCTTTTTTAAACCAATTTCTTTATTACCATTGTTTTATAAAGCGATCATATGAAGTTATTGTAAAGGACATAGGTTATCAGGCTGTCCTCTCTATACAGCTTGAAACACAACCTGGTGGCGGGAGCGTATAATATATTATATATTCATTCATATATTCTATTTAGCCCATTTTTTTATAAGTTCCAAAGCTTTGTTTTAATAACCAACTACAAAAGCCATAAGTTCTCTAGTAGGCAATATTTTCGTCTCTGTGTGGTTTGAAGCACAACCTGGTAGCGGGAGCGTATAATAAACATACCTTATTATTCTATTTTGCCAATTTTTTTTATAAGTTCCAAAGCTTCTATTTTAAAAACGAACTAAAAAGCCCATAAGTTCTCTAGTAGGCAATATTTTCGCTAGATCTGCGTCCCTGCACGGTTTGAAGCACAACCTGGTGGCTCCGAGCCTATAATAAACATACCTCATTACTCTTTTTTGCCCAATTTTGTTTTATTAGTTCTAAAGCTTTGTTTTAAAAACGGAACATCAAAGGCCATAGGTTCTCTAGTAGGCAATATTTTCGCTAGACCTTCGTCCCTGCATTCGTTGAAGCACAAGCTGGTGGCGGGAGCGATTAGAAGCGACTAACAAACATTATCACACTTTTTTTTACCCAATTTCTTTATTACCTTTGTTTTATAAGTTCCAAAGCTTTGTTTTAAAAACGAAACAACAAAGGCCATAGGTTCTTTAGTAGGCAATATTTTCGCTAGACCTTCGTCCCTGCACGGGTTGAAGCACAAGCTGGTGGGCGGCGCGGGCGAGGTGCGTCGCGCGTCGCTGCAGCACATGCCGCTGTCGCCGCTCGCGCGCACGCCCTCGCCGCAACCGCAGCCGCAGCCCGCTTCGCCTACCAGGTACCTTACATAAACACAATCTATACATACAGGGTGTAAAAAAAACCTATGACAAAGACTAAAACTACGCATTCTGTACACCCAGACAAGTAATATTACAAAGTATATATAAGTATACGTGGGAAACATTTGCATTTTTAAGTTAAAAAAATACATTTTTTTTCTAGTACGCAATGTATAGCGCGGCGCGTTACTGTAGCGCTACGCAAACAATGTGCCTGTGTGTATGTGTGCGCGTGTGTGTAACAGCGTCGATAAAAAAGTTTCTAATTAACGTTTTTGTAAAAATCTAGAAAAAACAATTGTGACTTTGATTTTTAAATATCTCCATAACCATAAATTTCCCAGGTATGGTCCAGAAGAAAAAAATGATTCGTTAAAGGTTTTTTACACCCTGTATAATAAAATGGTAGGAATGTCAAAACTGTACATTGAATAATTTTTTAAAAGAATACTTGGGGTGTGATCTACAATCGATACCGAAGCCAAAAATGAAGGTTTTAGAATTTTTGTCTGTTTCTCTGTATGTATGTCCGGGATAAACTCAAAAACTTCTTAACTAAGAAAAGTTAAATGGCAAACATACGAGTGATTCGTCATTTAATTAATCAATTCGAGTGTGAAAACACTGGCAGAAATCAGCACAATTTGGAATGTAAAATATCTTATGAAATCCTAAACTTCTTTACATTAGTAAATAAATGCTTTAAGATACGTGAACGTTGACTTTTACTAATAATAAAAACGAATCGTGAAATATAACATGTTCTGTTCGAAATGATGAGAGAGATAATCGAGAGAAACCTCTTAAAAATAATGCCGAAATAGACACGCCGCAGCTCTGTCTTATCCATCCATGTTTTCAAGTTCATGGTGTATGGTGAATTAGTGACTATTTCAATCATCAATAATAATGTTATCAACTATTTTGGAATATAGTTTATTATCGACGCTCATTTGCATGACGTGGCCCCACATTGCTTTATGGTTTACATTTGGAACAAGTGGACATCCAAAATTAATTGTGGCTGAATAACAGGATGGCATTGATAAAAGCAGCGCTCCTGTTTTTGTCTGATAGGACACCATAAAATGCAGATTATAAAGCACAGCCCCTTTATTAAAAAAAGCAAATAATACGAAATTAATGTATTATATTTAATAAATTCTAATAGTATTTATAAAACTTAAAAATACTTTGCATTCAGCAACAATTTTCACATGTTGTCAGTACCTACCCCTGTCAATCGTCGCCATTTTCAGACCAATTCTTTTTCATACTGGGTCCAAGACCGTGTACTTATGTAAACAATGTCAGTGTGAGGTCACAACATCCCTATGTGTTCACAATTCCACTGGTGTCGTCTGCTCATCGTGACTAACGTTCATCGGTGTTGGAGTCTGTGATAGGAGACCCCAAGCGGAGATTTTTGGATTTACTTCAGCGACGGAATATAATAAGGGGGGTGGGGGCAACCTTGCACCTTTTGAAGTACTCCCACCATACCTGAGCCCTCTATGTAGAGCAGACGACTAGGGCAGCGAAAAAAAAAACAACTAACGACCATATCTTTTGGTCGCGTCCAAATATAGAATATAGGAAAAAAATTGAGCGCGTCAGACATTGGGAATGTTACGTGACCTCTCCAGTTGCTCCTATTCGAAAGATTGTCGATTTGGACACGACCAAAGGACATAGTTGGTTGTTAAAATTTTGTTTGCTACCTCAGACGTTCGGCTGTACAAAGAGTGTTCATGTATGGTGGGAGTACTTTACAAGATGCTAGGTTGCCCCCCTAATGTTATTTTGCCGCGTTCGAGTAAATCCAAAAATCCTTGCTTTGGATTGGCTACTATGAAGAATATCAATCTGAGGCTGCAGTATACACGTTCATAAATTCACAATTCCACTGGTGTCGTCCGCCTATCATATCACCTGGTGACTAACTCCCATTATCGTAGTCGTTGCGAGGCGCGTTCCCCGTCCCCCCTGGCGGCGCGCGAGTGCGGCGGCCGGCGCGCCTGGGCCCGGCGCGACCCCGCCTCGCCGCTGCTGCGGAGGGCATTATCACCAGACAGGTGGGTTAGGGTAGAACCCACAAACGTTCAAAGGACAATCGTCGAAAACGATCACACAAACCGTCGCGCCCGAGAAGACTTCTTCGTTCTTTATAATAGCTACTTCGTGTCTAACACAATAGGGGTGATGACGGGGTTCAGTAAAAGAAATTCTATTTAGTCCGTCAGTTAGATGATCAAAAAATAATGGACACGTATTTTTTCTTTGGGCAATCAACCAAAAAATGACAAAGTTATAGCGCGTCAAAGTTTGGGAGTAGGGGCTCATGACGTCACTTTTGAGTGAATTTTCACTTATAAGTGTACACAAACGTGACGTCATGCGACTTTTCAAATCAATATATTTCTGCAATGTTTATATTATGTGAAAAAAGAAAAAATACGTGTCCAATACTTTTAAGATTATCTACCTGATAAACGAAGAAAAAAAAATAGTCATCATCCCTATTCGCCAGTCTGCTCAGAATATTATGTCTTTTTTGTCACGCACGTATTGGTGGAGCTTCGATGTGTGCGTGACAGAAATAAAAATTATTTCAAATATTTTGATTGATGCCGGCATCTCGCTTGGCTATTCGTGTTTGCTATTTGTCGAAGCTTGACATCAGTCTGCCTCTTTCATTCCTACACAAATAGCAAATACTAATAGCTAAGTAAAGTGCTGGCACCAAAATAGTTGAGATACTCCATTTATAAAATGTTTGACATAATATAAAACTAGTTTTTACGGGTTAATGCACGAAACTTTATTTATTTATTGACGTTTCGCAGCCTTTTCAGGTCTGCATCGTCAGAATAATGATTGATAATATGAATGATAATATTCTAACGATGCAGACCTGAAAAGGCTGCGAAACGTCAATAAATAAATAAAGTTTCGTGCATTAACCCGTAAAAACTAGTTTTATTTAATGAGTGATGTGCGTGAAAACCTAAGAAACAAATATGTTTGACATATTCATAGCTTCGTCAATTTTTTTGAGGTGGGATGTACTCATAACGTATTCACTTGAAATATTATGAAAAAAATAATTACATTATATTTTCTTCCTTAATAAGTGTAAGTAATATGCATAGATTAATTGTTTCTGCTCTGCTTTCTGTAGATATGTGTTTACGCCATTTATTCTATTATTCATTCATGGGAGTTCCTTGAAATCACAAGCTTTTGCTACTGCTTAGAGCGGTAAGGATAAAACATATTACTCTGTATTGAGTGCCAACTCTTAACATTGGTAAATGAGGTTTCTGGTACTATAGAAGCGCTATTGAAATTATGTGTGTGTGTACGTGCGTTAAACAACTTTTTTATAAACACAACATTACAGAGCAGGCTTCTTGTTATGATAGCACGAATAAGTGGACGCTTTAGAATGCCGAGCGCCGTGCTTCAAAAATGCATGCTCTATAACAAATTATTTCTTTGCAATTAAATATTGAAAATCTTTAAAATCGTGTTTATAAAACTTTGACAAGTGCCACTGTTGGTTACGAGTTTTAATGTAAGTATTTTATGTGAACGTGTTAAACTAGACTAGGACTTTACACCGGTTGAATACACTTTAGAGTGTCATGTATTGCTGACAGTTTGGGTTTTATGCGTTTTCATCCCCATAATCGATAAACATCTCTATCAAGCCTAACCTAAATAATCGAGTTTTTTTTACATATTATAGGGGTCATACGAGCAGATGGCTTACTTGATTGTAAGTGGTCATAGTAGCCCATAGACAGCTTAATACCAGGAGTATCACAAATGCGATAAAGTGTTAGCGTGTGTGTGTTTTGATGTGTAATCAAGTGTCGGCAACGAAACAAATCGAAGTTTATTTGACCAAGTTTTTGACATCAACTTGTTTTTGCGCCAGACTCTACCCTCCTACAGTCGAGTCTAAATGCTCAATCTCTTCACTCTGTTGCGGGGGCGTGAATACGTTCGTGGGCGTGGGCCTCTCAGTAGGGGGCGTGAGGGTAGGTGGGACGCGGTGTGTGTGGGTTCGTTGTTTACTCCTTGTAAATATACGAAAATACAAATCTTTTCTCTTGAAAATCTTAATAACATTATAAATGTGCAAGTTTGAGTAGACGTTCTTTTGCTTTTTGAAGTAAAAACGGCTGAACGAATTTGAATGAAATTTATCATATATACTTATAGTTTATCGTCTAGTCTAGATTGACACATAAGATACTTTATGTTGCGGAAAAATGTTAGGTTCCTATAGGATTTTCAAAAAAACTAACTTTTAAGCAGCCGTCCCTTTGAAAGCTTAGCAGTGATTTTGATATAACCTTTTCGCGTCAGGCTCCACCCTCGTTCGGCCGAGTCCAAATGCTCGATCTCCCCCCTGTGCTGCGGGGGCGTGAACGTGTCAGTGGGCGTGGGTCCAGCGGTCGTGGGTGTGGTGGGAGGCGGGGGCGTGGGCGGGGCGCGGCGCGGGGTGGTGTGGAGGGCGCCCGCCCCCGCGCCGCCCACGCCGCCCCCGCCCGACAAGCAGGACGAGCCGCCCCTGCCCAGGATAGCCGAGGAGAAGGACTCGCCCACGCATCATGCCAGGGCACTCACGGAGAGGTGAGTGGCTACTTTAGAAACAAGTGATCTCCATATGGGCGAGACGCATAGCTCGTTTTTTTTCCGACAAATGACTCCGCCCCACCTGATGTTAAGTGACGGTAAAGTCCAGACGTGAAGATAGCTGGTTCAGCAGTTCTATCTACCACACCAGCCATCCTCACCCTGCCGGCCTGCATGTTACTTCTTCACGCCTCTTTTAAACGATCCCAGGTTGTAAGAAGCAGGGAACACGAATGAACACAGAAAGATGGACCAGACGTTTGTTGGAGTGGAGGCCCCGTAATAACAGTGAATCTCGTGGACGACCTTACCTCTTTCAGATAGCCCAACATCAAGGAAATCCAATATCTAAGAGTATATTTTTAAATGCTAGAGTTACCTGGTGTCGTGGAATAATGGTCATATGGGTATGTGAAAGAAGGAACGGTCGTGCACCCAATAGTACTAGTTTAATAAACGTGGGTGTGGGCGTATCCTTAAAACAGGATAACAAGCCGCTGCGTGGGATAGCGGAGAAACCAGTCAAGTTCCTGAAGATCTAACATCTTGTTGGGGACTGGTCGAAACCACCATAGATAATAGATTGAGCGACAGAATGAGCTGTTATGTGTGAAAAAGACGGAGCGGTCGTAAGCCTAAGAGTATCTAGATTAGTGGCCGTGGGAGTGGGTGAGGTCGTGTTATAAAATAACTCAATTTCAACGACCGCAGACCAAACCGAATGCGCTAACCACTACACCGTCGAGGTCTTGAAGTAATGCTACTATATAAATGTGAAATACATCATCATCAATGCCCCCGAAGCCTATTAATGTCCCCGCTGCTGGAGCACAGACCTCCCCTATGGATCGAATAGGGAGATTGGGCAATGACTCACCACGCGGGCCCAGTGCGGATTGGCGGGCGCTAACGACTGCAGATGCAGCCGGGACCAACGGCTTAACGTGCCTTCCGAAGCACGGAGGAACTCGAGATAAAAGATTTTTTGTCACCCATCCAATGACCGACCACTGCGAAAGTTGCTTAACTTCAACAATCGCAGCGGAACGCGCTAACCACCTGCGCCATCGAGCTCCTCAATATACTTCGCTATTGATGTATGATGTTTAGTAATTTTCTTAAATCTTTTAATTCAACAAGTCCTTATTTAAAAATATATCCTGTTCCACACAAACAGAACGCCGGCGAAGCAACAACAGCCTACGCCGAACATCTTCACGTCATCCCCCAAAACAAGTCTGGACAAGTCTGCGTTCGACGCTTCCACCTCGTTCGCGTCGCTGTCTCTCTCGGACGAGTCGTACGTCGACACGTCCGTGGACATGTCCACGCTGGATACGTCAAGGGAACTCAATATTGGTATGTTACAGGTTATAATATACTAGCAAACCAGTGAACCAAATGTTCACCAAAACCTGATTTCTCGAAAACCGGAAGTACTACGTTACTCAAATCCGGTTTGTAGTCTTATCTGACTATTCTTAACTTATAACTTAAATATTCTCTTTATCTATCTCTTACGGTTTGGCCGCTGAAACAGCACCACAGACAGACGGACTTGTCTAATAGATAAGAGATTATTATGTTATAAATGCAGAATGTAATATATTATGGAAATACAAGTGTTCATCACGTTCAGTTCAATACTTTTGAGTAAAACCTTAAGTATAAGACGGACTTTCCCAGTTTTGTTACCAAGTTTTGGACTTTAATAATTTTTTTAACTGTAAAACAACAAAAGAGCATTAGAATATCAAAGGCGGCCATGACAGCTGTCAGTGAAATGGAGGCAATGGAGCCTTCCTATTGGTCGAAAAGGACTTTACGCAAATTGAAACTCAACTCACTTGGACTTTGCTACGTTTGTTTGTAAAGTAATTTTTTTTATTTGAAATAACAATCGAGGTTTCTAGAATTTGTATAAAATTATTCTACGGGATAAATATAGACAAGGAAATTAATGTGTTGTAATTTAAATCTCACTTTTCAAATTTTGTGGACTTTACTAACTTTGATTGTATACCCCTGAAGTTGAGAAGACCTGTAATTATTAAAATAATCGTTTTCATCGTTTACTAAACATTTTGGCAATGTGCACTTTACCAACTTTGATTGTATCATCATCATCAGCCTATTAAGTCCCCATTGCTGGGGCACAGGCCTTCCCCTGTGGATGGAATAGGGAGGTTGGGCCATGACCCGCCACGCGGGCCCAGTGCGGATTGGCGGGTGCTAACGACTGCAGATGCAGCCGGGACCAACGGCTTAACGTGCCTTCCGAAGCACGGAGGAACTCGAGATAGTAAATTTTTGGTCACCCATCCAATGACCGACCACTGCGAAAGTTGCTTAACTACAACGATCGCAGCCGAACGTGCTAACCACTTGCGCCATCGAGCTCCTCTTGATTGTATACTCCTCAAATATTTCTTGCATTTCAGACGACAGTCGGACGAGTTCCGATCTCAAAGCCCTCGTAGAAGAGAAATCAAAGAGCTTACCACCGGAACCAATTCCATTCGCAGAAAAGAAATCAAAGAGTGTACCACCGGAGCCCACATTATTCGCAGAAAAGAAATCAAGGAGTGTACCACCGGAGCCCACTCTATTCGCAGAAAAGAAATCAAGGAGTGTACCACCGGAACCCATTCCATTCGCAGAAACTCCTAAAGTGAGGAAAAAGTCCGACTCCAGCGTCAAAGAAGAAGAATCAAAAGTCAAAGAGAAGGCGAAACCGAAGGAAAAGCCCGAGCTGAAGAAACAGGACTCTGTCAAGAAGATAGACAAGCCAGAACCGAGGGCAGAGGAGAAAGTCTTACATGCAGAAGTGAAGGTAAGCAAAATTAAACCGCTTATTCCAAAAAGCGGGCTAAATTTAGTCCTGGTTTAAACCTAATGTTGTCTCTGTCTTCTTTATAGCAAATAAAAGTGACATCATCAGTTTTAGTCCAGGTTTAACTTTAGTCCACGTTTTGTAATAAGGCGGCAAGTGTCTAAATAATTCGAAATATGTTGTCTCTAATGCAGAACTTATAGTAAAAGCGGGTCATTACGGCTCAGATTCGGCATCTTGTAGGTAATGGTCAACCTCTGACTATTGTTTTTGGCTAACAAAATATTGGCGATATATTTTAAGAAAATATTTACTAGGACGCACTGATTGAAGACTTTCGTCTTTAGGCACTGTGGGATCGACGATGTCAGGACTTGATGTAGCTTCCCAAACGCTGCCCAACCTAGCTGAACTCTTCTATTCACCTCGTCCTCAAAGTTGTTTCTACCTAACTGCAATGTCTGCCCGAGGTATACATATTTTTGAACAACTTCGAGAACGGCACCGTGTATTGCAATCGGTTAAATTAAATTCATCCCAATTAGGAACCTTCCACTCCTGGAAGCATCAGCATGTTCATTTTACAGACGACTGAACTTACCATGTTGCTACTAGAATCTTAGATTACGTAACGTTTATAATTTTTCTTATATTTATTGTTTTTTAGTCTTCAAGTTAATGCTTTTTTTGTGTCACGTACGCAACTACAGTATAAATTGATATACTTTTACGAGTATATTAAATCCTATTCAATAGTCAAATGTTATTAAAGGTGGAAGAAAAGAAACCAGAAAAACCAGACAAAGTAATGGAAAGGACCGGTTCCGTAAGAAGGAGTGAAAAACAAGAGAGGGCCGACGCCAAGAAGCAAGAGAAACTGGAGAAGGCGGAGAAGAAGCAAGAACGAGCGGAAGCGAAGAGAACAGAGTCCGTCAAGAAGTTCGAAGGGCTGAGGAAGCAGGAGTCGGTCGATACTAATAAGGTGAGTGATCTCCGCATTCCGTTCACAGGGAAGGACTGTGCCCCAGCAGTGGGTCATTAGAAGGTTGATGATGAGTGATACTGTAGATGTAGCAAAATCGAGAAAGTTGACTACAACACATGTTTTCAGTTTTTGATGTCATCTTTCATTTGTCGACACTATATGAAACAAAACAGGGAGAAAAATAGCGCCCTTGCTGAGTTTCTTGCCGGTTCTTCTCAGTACAAGGTCTCCCGCCGTAGTTTTACGAACCGATGGGGTATTTTGACTTTCATAAGAGCTTGTAACAGCCTAGACTGAATAAATGAGTTTGTCTAAAAATGCGATTTTTAATATACTCCTTTTAATGATTTTTAGAATTTTATAAAGACAAGATAATTTATGAAACATCAAACAAACATGGATAAGAAATGACATGAAGATTAAATATATATACATACCATATAAACGTAATATAACTATAAGATATATACATATAATGTAAAAATTATGACACATACATACATAGACTAAACATATATAAGTCTTTAAGCAGTTTATTGCTTAAAAATAAAATTATTGACTCTGCACGTTATTTCTGGTTGACTGGTAGAGAATGCCATGCTGGCATTAAGTCCGTCATATGCAATGTAAAGGCATTAAAGATTAAATAAATAAATAAAAAGATAAATCAATGAAGTGATGTAACTTTTTGTTTATCCAGTCACCGGAAGAAAGCGAGGCGCGCAGTAAGAACAGTATGGTGAGCAAATTGCTGGGCGTCATGGGACGGAAGGGGAGGGACCGGGACGACGACGACCGGCCCCGGAAACAGGACAAGCCCAAGAAAAAGGTTAACAAACGGGATTATTGGCTAGTTTGTAACACATGTACTATTTTGTAACACTGGTCAACAAGTTTTGACATTTTTTTGTTAACCACTCGTAACTCTTTGTGACCTTTATTTTACAATTTTTATGTTATATTGTTTTTAAATGTCATGGTCACTAATGTAATAGTTATTAACGGGATTGCTACTATGTACCTTGTTTTTCGGGGCGAACTAGCTTATAGTATGCTGCAACCTCGAGCCTCTTCAATTACGCCGTGATTCGAGGTGCTTTACATAAGGTTGGATTTTCAAGAGTTCGCGTATCTACCATGATCCAAAACACCAATTATTTAGGGTCTCAAATCGGCCCTGAATGACTTTTTGGCTTAAGTAGAGAAATATATTTAAGCATTTGTTTAACAAGTTGGTTTGAACTCAATGTAACTTCCCTATTTGCATTGCAAGGGGTGGATACTACAGATTTATGTAACAAAATAGTCCGGTAAGACAAACCTTCTTTCAGATGTAAATCTGCTAAAAATCTAGCTAAATCACTACCCGTTGGATCTGAAAAATTTACACCATGCTCTGAACACCAATTTGACCACCACAATAACGCTAGTTGATAAGTATTAATAGTAGACGGTTTCCAGCTACCTTGGAGAAGACGTTTTTGCTCTATATAATTTGAGTACGAACGTTTGCAACGTTTTTCTTAAGATGTTTACTGCTCAGAAAACAAGACACGAATGAGTGCAAATTTCTGCAAAGCTCGACGAGACGACGAGAGTGGGGGGAAAATTACGTCATCGTCACGTGACCCGCCGATCATAGAGCAAAGGAGTTATGTTCAGCCTCCATGTCTATGGAGATGTATTACCGAAAACGGACGATGCTAGACTCAAAATTATGTTTACATGACCCCGAATAAGGTCGTAGGACACAATAAATCGTTTAGATTGAATTAATATACAATGTAACAAGTGAATTGTTTCAGAACAGTAACCCGCCTCAGCAATCCGCCAGTAAGCAGCCGGAGATTCCCGAGAAATGCGAGAAGCAGGAAGAAGACAAGAAAGCGAGAAAAGGACGGGGAAGAGCCTCGAGCTCCTCTTCCGGAGGTGAAAAGTAAGGGACAGATATATTTCTCAGTTCCATACTCAAAATGAGTTTAGGAACTGAACGTTTTATTTGAAGATTCGAAAAGCGAATATTTCTAATAAGAGTGAGGGAATCAGTGCTATGACACAAGTGAAATAGCAGCATTGACTTTTAAATGTGAACACCATTTTGAATCATAAGTCGACGACATAAGAATCACATATTTGTATTGGTTATATAGTATTGCTTTTATTAATTTTGGTAACTTTATTTTTCCCGTTTTCTAATGTTATATATTATTGTATGTGTATAAAATTGAGCATTTCGTCTTCGAAAAAAAGTAATAAATCTTTATTAATAAGTAATTATTAATAACTTGGGCAATACAAATTATTTGATAAAATTTATTAAGAAATATTTGAAAGTGGAATTGTCGTTATATCGAAAAATGTGACAAAAAGTAATTTGTATTTAAAAACTAGTTAATAAGGAGTAAAGATAAATAAATTACGCGTGTTCAATAAGTCGCAGTGAGAGAGCTGTATACAATCATAGTGAGACGGAGTGAGTAAGATATATTTTGTTCGATGTGTATTATAAAATTTAATAATAGAGTAGTATGTATGCATTCCGTTTTGTGAACGGCGTAAACAGTATAATATTGAATTAGTAGTTCGATATTTATTAAAACGATTTATATAAAAACATCCTTCTTTCTAGAGAATACTCGACCTTAAATTGCCGGAGTTAAATTAAATTTTGTTATTATTCATTCGTATTAATGGTACAGACACCACAGGTCAAATCTAAAGAAAAGTTTACTAGAAAAAAATCAGCGTGGACCAGGCAGCCGACGGAACTCGAACCCGTACCCTTCGCTTATCCGGGCAAATGCACTGACCATTATGCCACCGCGGCCCTGATGGCCGTGTCGAATTTTCTCTAGTGTTTCTTACTGCAAGGCAGCGCCATCTCTTCGCATTGTAGTAAACTTTTCTTAAGATTTAAACATCCAGCAAATAAATGCTTACCAAATAAAAATATAACCACAGGTCAAGTTTCCTTAAATTATGAAATTTCTCTTATTTATTAGACTTAGAGCTTTATATTTATGTTGTAAAGATTCATAATGTATTGATAAAATATGTCAGTTTTTGCTAAATTGATTTGTGGCTCTCTGCACTTACAATTTTTGTGTTTGCTCAGATGCAATATTGCTGTTTACGCTCATTCGCAAATGGGATGGTAAGTTGTTTAGGTAAAATAAGGCTGTTTACACAATCTTATGTAATTTATCAATTGGTGTTCGGTGTTGTCGAGTAACTTAATAGTATCTTGTGCGCTTGCGCAGTGTCTAAGAGCAAAAAAAAATAACATCATCAACAGTGTACTACTTATCCATGTAATTCCTATGGCACTGCGTATGCAAATTATAATGTGAAAATTAAAACAAAATATCGCTATAAGCTTCCTTTAGACTGTGTATAGCTTTAGAGATTCGTTAGTAAGGTACAAGATAATATTGTTTTGCCTCTTAAATTTTATTTGAAATTAGCTTTTCAGTATTATAAAACATTGAGGCGATTGAAGTATTTCTGTTAGTCAATTTGATAATTGAGATATAGAGCTATGTTTTTTTTTGTGAACGCTCTGTAGTGTTACGCGGACGATTTGAGAGATGAGCGTATTTAAATTTCGTTTTAAGTAAATCGGAGTCTTATATTTTATGCACGAAATTAGTATTTTTGATATTGTTTACGTTGTTTGAATTTACTCAATCGATGGTATTAGTATCACATGTTACAACTTGAGTTGTGAAAATAATACTTACTTAAGTAGATTGAATTGTGATTCTAGAAAAAAATCATTTGATTGATATTGGAATTATGTGTTATACTTTAAACTTTTTCGTAATCTTAATTCTAAAACAAAGGAAATCACTTTAAACTATCCCTTTGCCTACCATATAAATGGAATAAAATAAAAAAAAAAAACTATCAAAGAAATTGTTTTAGATTCCTTTATTCACGCATATAGTACAATCTCTCGAATCGTCCGCGTACTACTATAATACTAGCTGTTACATTTTAAGGAATTGTTGAGTACATGTATTTTTTAAGTGAGTCGTATGTATGATTTTTCCATTAATCTCATTTTACTATAAGCCTTTCGGAGTTAGTATTTTTTTTTGTGTATAGTGGAAAAAAATAAGAGAATCCGTAGCCGTTAGGGTCGTATTGTGATATATTTTTAACGCTTTGTAGTTTAAGTACCTATATGTTTTTTATATACCTACCTACGTAAACACCTAGCTTTTTATATGTACTACGCGTTTGCGTCGAGTTGGCCGTTCCCACCACTAAACTCGGAAGAGGTTAGAAGGATGATCCGGCGACATCGGTTCTCTACACTTCCACCTAATAGATAATAGCCAATCAAACGACGCGACATCAAACAATCGAGCCAATCAGTGCTCTCACCTGAGAGCAATGACGAATCACAACCAAGTTTTGGTCAACTTATGAACATTTGGACAACTGGCGTGCCTGTCATAGAGGTATAAGATTAGAGTAGGGGAGATATAGACTCTACTACAAGTGGAAGTGTCCCTCTAATAGAAAGAGATAGAAGATGAAGGACCGCTAGCTTTCTCTCTAATCGCGCATGCGCATTTTCAACCGCAAGCATCTTACTATTTCGATGTGATGCTTGGACCAACTCTGGACAGACGACTGCGCATGCGTCACAAGAGAGAGAGATAGCAAGCAGTCTCTCATCTTCTTTCCCTTTCTATTAGACGGACACTTTTAGAGCCGCTTTTCCCACTCTATTCTTATACCTCTATGGTGCTTGTCCCACCCACATGGCCCTTTTAACCTCTTTCTATGTTCTGCGACTCCCATCCTACCCGCCTCACGACCCTATTGGTCGGCGATGCCATACGAAGTTCCTGTGATTGGCCTGTGACACATTTCGTAACGGTCATCGACGGCCAACTCGAGGTAAACGTTTAGTAGTTTCACTGTTCTAGTTTTTCCGTTTCTTTTGTTTTTCTTGTTATTATTTACGGTAAAATTTGACTAAGTACTTTGAATCGAATGGTTGATGAAGTGTTTTCTTTTTAAATAGTTTTTCGTGCTTTGAATTTTTACGAATATTTTGTTTAACTGTTTGCTTGTATAGAACTTTTTGTCTGTGAATCTATTTGTACCTTATCAGATATCTTTCTCCTATCCTTCGACAACTTTAGCATGTACCGATTCTTATAACATTTTTAATAACATAAAACTGTCGTTTAGCTATGAAACCAATATAAAAACACAGTCCCATGAAATTTCCATATTTTGTAGCAGTTACAGATTTGGAAAAATGATTGGTATATAAATATATATATATATGTATTTTTTGAAATCAATTTAAAACTGATCCGATGTTTGTGTTTATCGCCACACTGACTCTTTCAAATGCACTTGAATAATTTTATTTCTATCTTGCTCTTGAGAATTATTTGTTAACCAGTCGGTTGGAAAAGGCATTTTTTTGACGAACCGTGCCATAAAACGAGCCTCCAAGTACCATCTGGCCATATAGAGGACACTTGAAGAATTCGAGAATACTTTATTTGTAAACGAATACAGTCCATAATTTGAAAAAAGTAATTCATCTGTTATTCGTTAGCAGTTTGACCTTATTATAACTAACTAACATTATGAAATATCTGATTTTTTGTAACGAACGAAAACAAAGTGTCGAACTCGATTTTCGTAATAAATAAGTACCTATTTTAAAATATTATTTTTTAAGGAGGCTCTTGAATTGTCTTCCCGAGGAAAGTTGACTTAAATTTTATTATTTATTTACAAAGAAATTTACTTAATTTTCTCTCGGTACAGTGTGAATATTGTTTTCTTAGTTTGGAAGCTAAATCAGTCTGATAGAGTCAGTTACATTTGGATGCTGCGGGCAATTGGATGATGGGAATTGAACTATTATAAAAAGAATAAGACTTGAGCTGTTTACTTTCGGCTTTTAAAAAGAAATGAATAATCTATCTATCTTCACGATGAGTCTCGGGTGGGGAGGGCAGAGACTAGATTAGACTAGAGCGCCATAAGGCACGCTTCGTATACATCTTACGATTCAATCACGTCCATTAATTACTGATTTCATACACGCCTTCCGTATTAGACGTTTACCCGAATTCCATTGGCACTCATATTCGGGCTACTGAGCAAGTGTAATCGCACCATTACTCCCTCATAACGACCGCGGTTTGCTCGTGTCACTCCGCATATTTTACTTAACGCTCGCAGATGCGATTTCGACTGCGTTTATTTTACTTTCATGCTCTTTCTGACGTTCCAAAATCTCGATTTCATACATAAGCTTTGGGACCGGCACGTATATAGCGATCAGTACAGTTAGCAGTAACTAATGTTTAATTCAAATAGTTTGCGAGTGGGAAATTTTTTTCGTGTTAATGTCAAATTTTTAAAGGAAACTTTACAGTAGCGCCACAACGGACGTAACGAGAACTAGAAATCAGTACGCAGGGCCGTCTTTAACCTATTGGAGGCCCTGGGCATATTAGGATAATATGGCCCCTATAACTTTAATGTGGATTATGACTTGAAATGGAGCGAGTTAAATAAAAGCTAGTAAGTTTGTATTGTAGTCAGTAATTTAGTTTATTTCATCCAAATTATATAAGATTTTGGTAATAAATATTGGTATCGTTTGGTGATCTGACAGGAACTAGGGACTTTGTATTTGATCTGAGGGGGCCCCTATCGATCGCGGGGCCCTGGGCACTTGCCCAAAGTGCCCACTGGGAAAGACGAGTCTGTCAGTGCACATGACGTATATCTAGATCGATTCTGTACTGCTCCTTTTGGATTAGATTTTTACTTTCAAGAGGTTTTCGCAATACTCTATTCAATCTGTTGCCTGCACCTACTTTTCTTTCTATGTCAACGGCGTACCTTCAATCCCTGCTCACAGCACATCCAAGATATACGATCTCATTAGCTCATTCACCTCCATTCACAGTATCACAAAATTCACACAAGCACCGAGATGATTTTAACACATTTTAGCTTGAAATCATTCCACAGAAAATTAGGATGTTTATTTTAGCATAACAAAAAGTAACCCTCTGATTTAAGCAACTTTTCAAGATGTTATACACTGTTGAAATAATTTATTTTACTGCATGTAAAATTACAAATTTCAAAGATTAGGACACTTGTCTATTCTTGTAAGTATGCAAGAATGAATAAGTGTCTTATTTCCTTGTAACGATTATAATATTATGTTATTAATAAATAAATGATAGAAATAATTAAATAAAATCTAAAACGACTAAAATATGTATGTATTACACTTACACAAATTATAATTATGTATAAATTTTGTAATTGATGTTCTAGATAAAGAATTTTTTTCTGGTCTGATCTTATCTAAACTTAGTTACATTATAAAGTTCGTTCGACTGTATTTTTTAATAAAAGTTAATAAGAAACCTTTGCATTAATGCAATACTCATTATAAATTAAGAATTATAAATTTAGTAGATATTTTATTTACGCATGGGTACTACAGGGTAAAAGAAATCGTTACCCTACAATGAGAGTAATTCTTATTTTATGCGATCGCAAATGGGCACTTTTTGAACTTCACACACGTCACAAGTAAATTGTTTTGGGACCATCGCTGAATTGTTTATATTGTTTTGATAAATGATAATATATTTACTTAGCTTGGCAATTTGCGTGATATTCTTCCGAAGCTGAGAGCTTAACATGGGCGCTTAATGAGTAAGTGAGAGAGAGGACTATAGGCATCTCGCTTTACTCCCTCCATTAAGAGTTCATGATAGATCTGCGCTATTTTTTGCTTAAATGTGAGAATTCACAAGTGATGTAATTTTAAATATCTAATGTATGTCTTAATGAGCCTTACTGTATCATTAAAATACATCTTGTCTGAAATTCACCTGTTTAATTAGTAGCCTGCCATAGGAGAATGCAGATGTGTAATATTTTTTAGCGTCTAAAATGTTGAATGTGATTGTTGAATATAGCCCTGTCTGTCTGTAGCGATGATCGAGGGAATTATTTTCTCTAGTTTGTAATATTACGTGTATGAATTGATATGGATATGGAAATAAAGTCATGAATTAACCGTTCTTAATTTTTTTGTTTTCATTTTAAAATAACTTTTGACGATTCAATGCAATGGAAAATTTTGGAAATTCCTACACGAACAAAGAAATTTAGTAACTTATTTCTTTATCGCACTATTCGTAAGTTAGTCCAAGATTTTTAGATGTCCGCTCTGCATAAAATCCTTCTACGTTATTTTTCGATTGGATTATGTCGGAGGGTGCCCCCCCAAGTATAAAACCGAGTTTCTGTCGCCCGAAACTGCGAGCGTTAGCCGCCATCTTGGAAACCGTTTTTTTGCATATATCTCGGAAACGGTAAGTTTTACGTTAAAAACCGAAGAGATCTTTTTTGTAGAGAACATAATTTCCCATCTTTTTTATACCAAACTTTTCCCCCTATTGTTGATATTTTCCGATATATTGAAGTAAAAAAACCAAATTTTTTGTTTTTGTAAAGTAACTCGATAACTTTTGGAGATACGAAAAAAATGTTTGAATTAAAGTTGGAGAGCATGAAATTTTCTACAAATTTTGTATAAAACTTTTTCTTGCAAAATGATTAGTTGCTGAGTTCTAGCGCAATAAAAGATCATGAAAATCAGCGGTAAGTGGCAATGCGTTACTCTCGCATGCAAACAAAAAGTATAAGTAAATTCGATGTCTCCGCGTAAAGTATTGTTTTACAGAAGGTAAGTAATTTTAGTCTTGCTCTCCAACTTTAATTCAAACATTTTTTTCGTATCTCCAAAAATTATTGAGATACTTTACAAAAACAAAAAATTTGGTTTTTTTACTTCAATATATCGGAAAATATCAACAATAGGGGGAAAAGTTTGGTATAAAAAAGATGGGAAATTTTGTTCTCTACAAAAAAGATCTCTTCGGTTTTTAACGTAAAACTTACCGTTTCCGAGATATATGCAAAAAAACGGTTTCCAAGATGGCGGCTAACGCTCGCGGTTTCGGGCGACAGAAACTCGGTTTTATACTTACCCTCTGATATAATGCAATCAAAAAATCACGTAGAAGGATTTTATGCAGAGCGGACCGATTTTTGGTGCTAAAATTCCTGGACTAAGTGGAATTCTCTGCCCGCGCACGTGTTCCATCCTTCCTACAATCTGGGGTCCTTTAAGAGAGGCGTGAAGAAGCTTTTTAGCAGGCCGGCAAGGTGAGGATGGTTGGTGTTGCAGTTATAAACTGCCATAGTACCATAAGTCTATTCACATTGGCGTGAGACAAAATGTAAACATACCATATAAAGGATACTTTTTAAGGTCACGTTTGACAAAAGTAAAGATTAAATACTATTTATGTAGGAAATGTAGCTAACCATTAAGTTAATTATTTTAAAATCTGGTACATACATATGAATAAGAAAATGAAATATTTTTAATGTACATGCACATGATAAATTCGTATATTTCTATTTTGCTGATAAAAGTATTTTAACAACTTAAGTTGACGTGGAAAAATACCTAAAAACACAATCATTTCCAAACTTAAGACGTATTATAATACGCCAAAATTTAAGAGTAGACATGATATAAGTAATTTACGTTGAAATATTGTGTTTCGTTATCGGTTGGTTTACGTCAGCCATCTTTACTCTCCCGATCAACCTGTTGACGCGAGCGTGCATATTCTATCTTATTTGTTATTTTTTGTTATTTCCTTGTTTTATTTGTTGTTGTTTTTTACTGTAAAGTTATAAGTTGTCTGTGATTGTTTTCTTGCTGAATTGACGTTTTCGTGGCTAATCATTGACTAGTAGGTACTTTCTGACATTATAAAAGTTTTAGAAGCACAGATTCTTTGTTTACATTTTTTCTCAAGCCAAAGTGAATAGACTATAGCTATATTCGCGTTAGAACTATATCGCCACTTAACATCAGGTGGGGTTTTTAAATCTATAAATTTTATTTTTTGGCTCATGTTTGAAGGATCAGCAAAAATAGTAAATGATCACCAAAAAACTTTATTATTATACTGACCATTTCAATATTTTCCTTCTTTTGATTCAGACAGCTCAAATCAAATTACTAGAAAATGTAAAATTTTCTCATACGATTGTGAATCGTAAAACCCAAGCCAGATAAAGCTCAAAGTCAGTTGGAAAATTCGACTCTTTCCGGTAAATTGACCTGTGGCTGTCTGTACATACTTATAAATAAAAAAGTACCATTGCTGCATCTGCATTTTCGCCAATCCGATATATATCAGCAAGGGCGTTCCCAGCCGATGGCCTCCTCGTCGTAGTTGGATGGGAAGGAAGGATGCAGAAGACTATGGTCAGGCATGCAAACAAACGAGTAGACGCTCATCTAAGTTCGGTACATTTTTTCCTTGTTGTACCCACAGAACACAGAAACAGGTTAGAAGATTGTAGGTAGTTGTACGTCAATTAAATTATCTTTTCTTTCCTAACGGACCCAGCGCACTTCATACGTCCATAAAATCAGAGGTTGGTGGTAGAGGGTGAAAATTTTGGATTGAATATGTATTTTGAAATGCCGAATTATAAAAGCCTCTAGACATGAAAAAAAATGTCCAAAAAAATTGGGTGGACAACCCTAGTTACTCAGGGGTTTGAAAAATAGTTTACATCCTATTCTCAGATGTTCTAAATATACACAAAATTTTATAAGAATCGGTCAAGTTGTTGGTCAAGGAGGAGTGTTTCAAACATTATGACAAGAGAATTTCATACTTAGATTAAATATATCTTTCATTCCATAAAAAATACCTGAGCCCAAAAAAAATACGCCATTAAATAAGAAAGGCTAAATCAAACGATGGATTTTTAAACGTTTTATTAGGTGTTCCTTTGTTATTAACAACTGAAAATTAACACACGCTATTATAAACCCGTAGCAAAGCTATGATTCTCATAATTATCAGCTATGGAGAAGTCTATATAATAATAATTATAATTCTAAAATTATTTTACTCAGTTTGGGCAGGGCTTGTTCCTTTGGAAACAATTTCATTTAGTATTGTGCGCAAAAACAAAACTTTTCAAAATAGGAACTCATATTAAATTATACACCAGTGCTGTGAAATATCGTTATAAGTGTCAATATAACAAAATTCAACAAACTTAGATAATTTAACAAATCATTTTCCTATTAACAATATAACATATTTCTCTAGGAATTTCACATTAATATCATTAACAAATAAACAAGAGAATTGTCTCAGATTATTCTAAACTTTTCGTTTTCATATCACACCTAAGTACATACATTATTAAACACATTTCTTTGAGGTATGCACTCTAGTATAGCTAGAGAATTACAATTTTACTTAAAATACAAAATTAAAAAATAAAATCGCCTTAGAGTGATTTGGAAGGATGACAAATGGACTTGGTACAGACTAGAGACTGGATACAAGGTTGCTCTGAAAATATCACTTACCCCCTTCTTAATAAACTAAGACTACGCATGGATTAGTTAATCCATGTTTTGATGTTTTGTCTCTGTATATTGAATGACAAATGGAATTCGAGTGACGTTTTTTTTATAGATAGGTCCGACAAATGACTCCACCCCACCTGATGTTAAGTGAAGGTGAAGTCCAGACGCGAAGATAGATACAGTAGTTCTACCTGCCACACCAGCCATCCTCACCCTGCCGGCCTGCATGTTGCTTCTTCACGTAACTTGACGTGAACAAAACACGGCGTAGCTAGTCTTAAGTTTATTCCTTGTTTATTAATAAGGGGGTTAAAGTTTTCACAAAATTCTCTTTAAACACAATATGGAATGTCATATAGAGTGTAATAAGCATAAATATAACAGTTTATTAAGTCGTCTACTTATTTAAAGAATGGCGTTGAAGCACTATGTTGATCAATCAAAAACAATACGGGAATCTTTCTCTATTTTATATTATATACCCTGTTTCTACAGAATTCCATTCAATATTACGCGAACATCGATATTGTTATTGTTAATTTCACAGTTCGAACTTACAATAAAATCAATTCGTTATAGGTAATAATCAATAACAAAAAACGTAACAGCTTTTTTTATAATTTAATCACTTATAGTTAATACATATACTCGTTTCGTATCTTAATCATAGAGGTAGGTATGAGAATAGAGTGGGGAAGGCGGCTCTAAAAGTGTCCGTCTAGTAGAAAGAGAAAGAAGATGAGAGACCGCTAGCTATCTCTCTCCCTCATGTGACGCATGGCATCCAATGGAATCACATCGAAATAGTAAGATGCTTACGGTTGCCAATGCACATGCGCGATTAGAGAGAGAAAGCTAGCGTTCTCTCATCTTCTTTCTCTTTCTATTAGAGGGACACTTCCACTTGTAGTAGTCTTTATCTCCCCTACCCTATTCTTATACCTCTATGATCTTAATAGTGGAGATTTGTGTTAGAAGTCGACACGCCCGAAGCATTTCTGTCTCACTCTCTTTATGATGTTGTCATCTGGAGTCAGTTTCCAGTCCAGAGACTTGGGTTCGGGCTCATCGTTGTCTTGAGACTGAGACTCGAACAAGTCTCTGGAGTGATGCCGGGGCGCGCGCTCCGACTTGTATTGTGTTTTAAATGTGTTTTCTTTTATTTCCTTCTTTGGAGCACTATCGCGTTGAGGCTTTGGCGTCTTCCATACAGGTTCCTTATTAGATTGCTTCACTGCCACGTTTGGCGGTGAGAAATACGAGAAGAAAGGGCTAGACACTTTCGGCTCCATCTTTTCTTCGTTCGGTATTTCGAGGAAGGAGAATGTGTAATCTGCGTCGTAAACCTGCTCTCTGACATAAGAAGTGACGTGCCGCATGTTCACTTGATTTGGGGAGCATTCTAAACTCCTCGGCCGTGTTTCTCTATTACCATAACGCACTTGACACTTCCTCACGTACACAGTGAACTCGTGGTATCTCTCTATGTTCTCGGCGCATTTGAAACATATAGTATCCAAATAGTCGTTCTCTTCGATGACGATCTTGAGGCAAACCAGAATTTTCTCTATCATACATGTTCTGCGACAGTAGTTTCCAAACAGTGATACGTTAAAATCGGTTTCCGATAAACATAAACGGCAAGATTTGCGTGATATATCCATTATTTGTGTTCTATTACAAAATTATACTGTTGGGTGATGTAATACTTTATTTAAACTGTATTTATAATTAAAATAGTAATAGCGTAAACAAACTTCTAACCACTTTTTTGGAGTTCCCGCTCCCGCGCTTCTTTGCGATTGGTTGGTTTCGTAAACAAGTTCAGAAAGTAATTTTAATGTAGTTTTCTCGGAATGATGCATTTTTAAAATAGTCGGAATTATGTAGCCAAATAATTCTACATTGGACGGCTTAGTTGTGTGTATACAATTGCCCTTGTAGTTTTAAATTTGCATTGTATAATTAATTCAGAACCAATATTTTGAATTAGTTTTTGAACGCAGAGAAGAAGATATAGAACGTAATGTTTTATTTTAATTTAGTGTTGACTTTTAAATTTTTCGGTATTATTATTTAAAAGGTAGATGAGAAATATTATTGTGAGAAAAAATAAATTAATTAGGTGAGTTAAATTCACAGATATTTACTTTTTTTTAACGGATACATAAAGTAATTATAGTTATGATTTTTAGGTTTCACAAAAAATCCAATGTAGAATATAAGTACTTACCTATTATAATAATATATAATTAAATATAAATCGATCAATTAATTTTACTCAAAATTTCCTATCATCGACCGTCAAACTACTATCACAAGCCACCACACTCCTATTAAATAGATAGTGATCGTATTATTGATAGTACACATACATACCTAATAAATTAATAAATATATATTAATAATACAGTCGTCGTTATAAAGCGAAGCTATTTTTCTTGATTTTATCACGTTAACACCGCGCTTTTAATTTTCCTACTACAATTTTATTTATGTTTCATGTTTTCGATCCGCAAACTGTGAATTTTTGGATATAGTTGAGGCAAACACGGGTGTTCTTTTTCAATCAGGATTAAGATCTCAACAAATCTGAATAATTATTGTCTATTCAAAGTATCATTGGAGAGTTCATAGTTTACGGTCGAAAACGAAGCCAAAATCTAGAAGGGACTAAACATTGTCTTCTTCTTTTTTGCCCCAGAACTTGTCGAACCTCGTACGAGCTCGGTCCAGCACTTCGGCCGCGGTCAAACCCCCAGTATTGGGGCTTTCGTTAACTACAGTAGTGTCGACGATTCCGGGGGCGACTTGAGTGGCTTCAGTCGACTTCTTGACCACCTCTTCTTTTATAGCGTCCTGCGTTGGAGTTTCGGGTGTCAGCTGATTGCTGTTAATGCCATTGACCCCATTGACTCCATTAACTTTGTTCATGTCTAAAGCTTTCGTCTCGTCAATGGGAGTGAGGCTGACGGGCGTGGTGGGCGTCTTGTCGGTGCGCTTGCTGAGGCTGGTGGGAGACTCGCTCTTTTTCAGGGAACGTATCGGCGACATTTGCTGATGGTGAATTGGGGCGATTTCTGGAACAGTTTGCGATGATGAGCCGTGGTTTCTTTACAAAACTGTTATAGAATTGCAAATTCTTCATACGCAATTAAGTAGTTTCAGTAGGTTAGGTATATATGATTTTGGTAAGTTTTTTTCGAGTCCGGTATGAGAATTTGAAATTCCTAAACTAACTTTTAACACCAATAAGCACATTAAATACTTCAACTTTACATCCTTGAAGATAAATGACGTATATAAGTAGTGAAAATGAAAATTCTGTAAGAATAATACCTAGACTAATATAAAACAACCTCATGATAAATATAAATAAGGTACTATTTTTAATCGTTAACATTTGAAAATACTTACTTAATTTTCAACCATTTTATTACTAATGAATAATTTTGTTTTGCAATTCAGTCCAATCATTCTTTGTGTAAATTTTCACTGATACATGCTACCTAGATTTTCTTTTATAAAGACCATGCCTTGACTTGTCCTAACCTAAATAACTCATGCAATTTAATTTTAAAATTTGTTTGTAACCTAATACTGTAATTTACATCGCAAATACCTACCCTATGAAAGTTTCTATTATAAAATATAATTATAGGAAATATTTGATGTCCCATGAACAATGAAATTATCATGCAGTAACCTAAACGATCGCTAATATCTATGATCATTGATTGTGACTATGATTGTATTGTTCCGTGAATCTAGTCTAAAAGAATTTAGAAACTTATTTTATAAATTTTTAAATTCGACAAGATGCTATTATTTTTTGCTAATCGTAAAACTTATCTATATATTGATGGTACAGCTTATTTTGTCCATTAATTAAATGATTCAAAACAGGTATATCACATTTTGGAAAATAATGTTAGGGTATGTACATAGAGTGATTTCTAGAGTTTTCTTTTTAGTAGGAATTAGGCACCTTCATCCTTTTTTTTTTTAATACGCAGGTAAAAAATCTATTTACAGACGACGGCGCCTTTAAGAGGCACACCGCCGAACGGACCTCACACCTGGCTCCCGCAAGTCTTACGAACCCCCCAGTGGCTGCCCACCGAGGACCCCGCAACTCTTACGGGCGCTTTACGGTATAATATCCGCTAAAAAAGTCCTGCGAATACCCTCTAAGCTGCTTAGCGCGAAGCCGCGGGATCCCCGTTTAGGGATTCTCCGCGTCTCCGCACCTAAGGCACCTTCATCCAAAATATATTATATATAAACAGCATCTTTCCGATATAATAGGACAGGCAGCATGCAGAAGTGAAATAGAATGAGATGGAAAGTAAGAATCAAGTGCCAAACAGTGACAGTACGCAAACATCGAAACAGACACACACACTGACAAGTGAATACATACGTGGTAGTCGCCTCAGCGGAGTACGGTCAAAATAAATAAAAGCATTTCAATTATTGGATTAACACAATTTAATCATGGTCTATCAATAAATATAATATAAAACAGATTATATATTTTTTTTCTGGTGTCGATCGTGTGTCGTGCTTATGTGGCAGTGAGCTCTAATGTAGACTTTGAGTCTTGTGATTTAAAGTTCACTGTCGCATGACTGTCTGTCACACTCATTAAAACGCGAATGGCCGATGGTCTAGGCGGTGACGGTGTTCGTCGTACCTGCCGGCTTCACGGTGGCGCCCTCCTCCGCTATGGAACCACCCTTAAACTCTGAGTTAGGGCGCTTAACGCTTTCATCTGAAATAATGGCGAGCTGCTGTATGGTGTGACGTGAAACGATGAACGTTACGCTCTATGTCCGCCAAATGTCAAACTTTTTAGGGCGAAAGCGCGGGAATTTATACAGCCTATTAAAATTATTTATTCATTTAATTTTATATATATATATATATATATATTTACTAAATTTGACTTTCGTCTGGACACAGAACCAATTTGCTAATAAAAATAAAGGTATGAGAGATGCGTGTTCGGTGATATAAAATCAACAGAGTAAATGTGTGAGTACGAAACGAATGAATTCTTAGTTTTAATGAGTGTAAGCATTTGATTCATCTTTTTAGAGTGCTTATGATTTTGTGTACTGCTGATCCTTTTTTGATTTTGTGTGGATGTCAGTGTTGCAAGCCTTCTACTTTTGTACTAGTTTTGGGGTTGCTATTCACACAAATACCCAAATGGTAGTATGATTGTGGAAATATTTCTTTTGAATTAACTTTAGCTTTTCGTGAAGACGATTCTCATGGTAGTGTGATGGCTTTGACAATGTTCCCATTCTACGCTAACCTATACTTAAAGTAGCATGTCGATAGTATAATACTTTGATATCGTTAAATTATTATCTGTAAAGAGAATCTTTTTCGTGGATGCGAAGATGTGCAATAAGATACAAGTGTGAATACAATCTACAAGAAATATTCACAAACTAATGTTTATCGTAATATAAAAGAACAAACTTCAAGAATTATATTACAGAAACCAGCACCTTTAAAACATACCTTACACCAAGAAGAAGAAACTCTTTAATTACTATTACTTATTTGAAAAATAAACATTGTAAGTCCCTAATATTCTTAATAACTGTACCTTAAGTGCGAAGTCTTTTAGTGGGTGCGTTAACAGTAAGATCAAATATTTTTCTATCTACTGACATATGTAAAGTATTAAAAGGCTCCTATATTTTTAAGTTTAACTTATTTATTAATAAACATAAATTACAAATTATATTAGGTATTGTGTTTTACATACGGGCTAGTTTTAAATAGTATAAACGTTTTAACAAATACCCGCTCTACGCGCTGCGCTTTGCACAGCTTGTGTTTTGCAGTCGCGCAATGAAATATTGATGTGGGTAGTTGATAAAAAATATGTTCGAGTACCTATGTAAAGTCCTTCATCATAACTCTAGTAGAATTAGGTTTACTTTTTATTTTTATATTGTTATTAAGTAGTAAAATTTGTTTCACCTTTGCAAAAAAGTAAGATTTACGAACGAACGAATAAGATATTTTCATCTATACTAACTGGAAGATTTCTTTTTTTTAGTTAACAGAAAATTAGTCAAAAGATTCCAGTTTTTATCAGACCTAAATCCAGGTGATGCATAGTTTTTTTTTATTTAATTGACTGTAAAAGAGTTCCCACTAAAAGACTTCGCGGCCTAATTTCTCACAGCAAACCTGACAAAGAGGCCGCACTCACCGCTCTTCACGTTTTGGGTGACCGTAAACGTTTTGCCCGTATCCAACGGGACCGTCCAGTTGACCGGGTCAGGGCTACGCATGTTCATCTGTTCCGGAGACTTCACCCGGGTCGGTTCAGGCGGGGACTTCACTATGGGGGAATCGTCGAAGAAATGGTCTTTCGCGACCGAAGCACTCCGGTGAGAGGGTATCTCATCGTCTGCGAATTGGTATAGAAACAGTTTAAGTAACACATTTAATATTATTTAGAAGATGGAATACGGAAGTCCTATATTAAAATTAAAGAAAACCACTGCCTTTTTACTGTATGAAATCTATTAGTGACACTATGATTGTATGTGTATAAATTACGGGAGATTTAGTAAAGAAAAAGAACTTATTTATTTTTTAACACTTCTTAATTAGCATGTTGAATGAATATTTTAATAGTTTGTTTTATCGAAACAAAAAGTATGCAAGAGCTTTTTTTTATGCTAGGTTCTAAAAATAAATACTACAAGAATAGAATTCAATTAAGTATAGAATGAAAACGGAAAATTAACAGTACACACATATAAATACATCCACGATAGGGAAGATCTAGTTAATCTAATTAAATAACGCCATTTTTTTTATCAAATTTAACATCGCATGCAAATAAAACAAATATCTAAAGCTTTTAACAATGTGAAAACACACATATTGTGTAAAGTCTCAATATCCAAAGTCATATGTACATATAGGTTTTCGGAATTTCTTTGATTTGAAATAACGAAAATAAAAAAATATATATTAAGTATAACTTTTTAATGCCCAGGCTAAACCCATCGCGTTATCTTGACGGGTTGCTTTGCTTTAAATTTTTTTGAATCTTACATACTTTTTTTATTTTATTTTTTGTGGCAAGCACGGTTTGTGCGTATGTTACATACTACCTATTAAAAATTATGTCGCGCCCAAATACATCCACATCCACAATCACACATAACACCATAGACATACTAAATGTAGGTATATTGGGTCTTATTTTTTTAAGGTATCGATTCTGGAATTGCATTTTATATATATTTATTGCGCCGCGGGGTAAGAAGACGACATTATTAAAAATATAATAAATTAACATAAATGTTTGAATATGAGTAAATGATAATAATCATAGCAACATTTTGCACGCGTATGTTAACATTGTTTTCTTTTGGTATGATTTTATTCCATTTTTATGAATTGTGGATGTGACTACAGATAATAATATAATTATTAAATTATAGTTTGTTGTAAATTAGTTAATTTTGACCATGGACATAGAGACTCAATAACGAATCACAATCGCTACACACAGACAAATAATTAACAGCTAATGATTTGCTAATTTTTTTAAAACTATTTTATTTGTGCGTTTTCGTGGTTGATGTGAAACTCCAAACCCATTTAACAAACATACTTACAAACCCATTGAATATACAAACAGAGAAATGTATATCCTTGTATTGACACAGAGGTTACTGTTACCTCAAGTTCAGTAAAAAAACACAAAAACATGATATTAGTACATAATTTCTTTGCGTTTATGATAATGATGTAAGACAGGTAATTTGTGTCGAACACTTATTTTGATTCACTGCGTCTCGTCATATTTGTAATGAATTAATCATTAGATTTTATTAAATTTCTTTATGACTCCAAAGTGAACTTTTTATGATCCACTGAAGGCTTCAACTTTACTCGCACCTACCCGCTTTTTTCCCACTGGCCCCGAAATTAACCCTGGCCCTAAACGCCCACCCACAACTATAAAGTGCATGTAGGATGTGACACACGGGACAGACAGACAAAACCACTCGACGTGACGTAAAAGCCATTCCCGGTTGTGGTGCCAATACTATCGACCAAGTGACTAAATCGTTGCGTAGACGCACTGTAGTATGAAAATAAAAAAAAAATGCCAAAAAGCAAGAAACAGTCTTTTTGATTAAAGTAAATGGAAGAAGCATTTTTGGAACTGAAAATTTAGCCAATTGTTGATAAATTAAGCTCATTTGCATTGCATTTAGCTCATACAGACATTATGAATTTCAAAGCAATAATGATTAAGTAAAAATATAGAAAAATCAATTATTCTTATTTTTATGATATTATGAATTTACATATTTCCATGGCACAACAAATTATGTTTAACTGATAAAACACTGTCCTTTCACAATTATCAAAACTTTTTAATAGAAGCCTTGAAATTCACAAATTCATCATAATCTTGTCCCAAACTCCAGCAAAATGCCACAAGGAAAATCCACTTAAGCACGTACATCGTAAAGAACATAATCGCAAAGCGGGCACAGACACAGAGCGTCGACGCAACCGTCACTCGTGTACGCACCCAGTTTAATGCCAACTTTAGACACGCTGCGACTGCGGCGGCCCCTGTCCGGAGTCCCAGTCGCCCCGGTCACCATCGGTGTCCCATTCACCCCAGTCCCATTCACCCCGGGCGCTCCCACTTTGCTCGGCGCTGACGGAGACCGCCCCCCCCTCGTTGACGACCTAACTCTATTACTAGCCCCTCTACTCAACGGCAAACCTACAGAAAAACAAATTCACTACTCGTAGATCTAGGTATGCGGCTGGCGAGAAATTGGCTCTTATTTCAAATTACTATTAAAAAAAACTTTATTTTTTCTGGCGGAAGCAAACGATCATTCCGTTTATGTTTTTGTTTAGTTTCTTTTTTTGGTGAAAGCAAAGTATTCACAAATTAATGAGCCGCAATATTAAAAAGGTAAATTATTATTTTTTGTCTTTAATAGAGCCAATTCTCGTTATAAATAGCCAGGATGGGGACAGGCACCAAGCAGGAACACGACAGTTATTTTATAAGAAGCTAATGAATACAAACGACGTCAATTAGCAATTAATTGTCCTATAAACTACGACAGGATGGAAAGAATAAGTTAAAAAGACAATTTTGAGAGTTCTATTAGACACCTTACTAGATAATATAATTAAAAAACATAATTAATCTAAATTATATATTATTTTTCGAACTATCTGTGAAGAATAAATTTTAGAAGTCTAAAGTTTTAATGAATACTTTTGTTGATAAAATCAATGTTGAGTTGAACAATAAACCATTATATAATTGCCTTTAAATTGTAGTAATTATGGAATATTATCATGGATTATTTTATTTCAGGCTATTTCATCATCTTGTCGTATTCAGCCAAGTCGCGAACTCATTTATAACAGGCAACAATTATATTGTTTACTACTAGGGATATTGGGAATAACAATTTTCCCTTACTCCGACTATTTTTTATTTATTTACTACTAGTTCCAAAAAGTAAACAAACTTTCTGTCTTAAGTTAACTTCGCCAAAAATTGGATGATTTGGTCATCAAAAATCAAAGGGTTTTGGTGTAAATTAATATTTTATACCCGATCGGGGAATACTATCCATTTAAATAATGAAGAACAAACTGGAAAGAAACGGAGCCTTCTCTTATTTTGTTTAAAGTCGGGAAAAGAAGTCTGAAGAGAAGATAAAAAGTTTAATTCAACTTCCAACATATTTTTCTTAATAGGTAATATACTTAAATTATTCTTTTATATAGGTACTTTTATTTAGTAGTTTATATCCCCATAATAAAGTAACTATAAAAATTAAAATATTCAACATCGTAAAAATAGTATGGTGTTACTAAAAAAATATTAAAAACCATCTTGCATTTGAACACTGTGTGACGTCATAGTCCATAGCAACATGACAACAAGTCCACAGTTAATCTGCGCACGCATTTTATGCACTAGGTCTCGGCTTTGACATATCCTGTGTGTTTATGGATTTCTACGTTACAACTGCTCCGTTTAAAATTGTACGCACAGGTTCTTCGCACTTTTGAATAATTAATATCTTGATCAAATATAAACTTTATTGGAATTATATTGGTGGAGGGAGAATTTAAAAGTTATAGAGTTTATATAATGAAATCAGGCTCTAAAATAAATGAAAATAAATAAATATTTCCAACACACAAATTTTTGACATTAAAAAAGTATTTTTTCGTCCTCTCAAACAACACTTTTTTATTGTTTTCAACAGATTAGCACTAGTACAGTAAACAGTGTGTAAAAAAGAGTATTTTAGCGTCCTTTTCAGCACAGCAACAGCGTTATAGATTATAGAGTTCGGCTGCATGATTATAGAGAACAATATTCTCTCGTCTTTTCGTCTCTCCATCCTATGGTTGTCTGGAAGAAATGGCTACGACCGCCATAAAACCGCCAATTGTCCACCTTTTTAAATTATTTTCCCTAATTTTGTACTTTATAATGTGGTGTGTGTACATTAAAGAATTATCTATCTATCTATTCTGTTTTAGAGTACGGTTGGCGAGCCTAGGTAGCGTCATACTGACCGGTAGGCTTGGCGGGGCGCGGATGCGGCTCGTGGCCGTTGGGTAGGTGCTTGGTGGCCGGCGCGGGCGCAGGCGCGGGGTGCGCGGGGTGCGCGGGCGCGGGGTCGGCGGAGCGCGGGCGCCGGCGCGGCGAGCGGAACGCCGCGTTGTCGCCGGCCTTAGCGCCTGGGGTATACGTAGGGTAACGATTATTTTTGACGTGACAACGTCTTAAATTAGGTTGCGGCTGGGAGTCACTTATGAAAAAGTGTAACGCTCGGTAACGTTACGATGAGTCTCTCGTGTTAAGTTTAAGTTTACATGTACAATGTTTCAGTAAACAAAATATATTTCTATAGTTAAAATTTGTGCAATTCTTATTTTCATTCAATTCCTTGTTCCTATTGTGCAATTTAATTATATTCATATCAATAAATATTCTACCGAGAAAAAGACGTTGTCACGTAAAATCTTCGCCCGTAAAACCGACTTTACAGGCAACCATTTTTTTTTCTATCAAATATACATAGTATTTTCGAAGCTTACCTCTAAAAAATATCATCATCATCATCAGCCTATTAATGTCCCCACTGCAGGGCCACAGGCCTTCTCTATGGATGGAATAGGGAGATTGGGCCATGACCCACCACGCGGGCCCAGTGCGGATTGGCGGGTGCTAACGATTGCAGATACAGCCGGGACCAACGGCTTAACGTGCCTTCCGAAGCACGGAGGAACTCGAGATAGAAGATTTTTGGTCACCCATCCAATGACCGACCACTGCGAAAGTTGCTTAACTTCAACGATCGCAGCCGAACGCGCTAACCACCTGCGCCATCGAGTTCCTCCTAAAAATATAATAAACGGCAAAAAATAGAAAAAAAGATAGTGTGCGGTTAAAATATTTACTTTATTATTTATGAAATTAATATATTTTTCTGCTATATGCCTTAATAATTAAGTTTTTATGTTTAAGAAAGCTTTTACTGGCAAAAGTCTACTTTAAACAAAATGTAGTAGTTTCGCCTACTACATATTTTTTTAGAAATATAGTATTTAATCCCGTAATATGGTAGGATACCATATTATATAGTAGGGTTGGCTACCATAGGTATAGATATGGAGAATGAAGTATGCCAAAGTAAAACTGAGTGGATAAGGGACTGAGGAGCTCGATGGCGCGGGTGGTTAGCGCGTTTGGTTACGATCGTTGAAGTTATGCAACTTTCGCAGTGGTCGGTCATTGGCGGGGTGACCAAAAATCTTCTATTTCGAGTTTCCCCGTGCTTCGGTAAACACGTTTAGCCGTTGGTCCCGGCTGCATCTGCAGTCTTTCGCACCCGCCAATCCGCACTGGGCCCGCGTGGTAGGTGGCCCAATCTCCCTATTCCATCCATAGGGTAGTCTTGTACCCCAGCAGTGGAAACAGGCTTACCCTATGGTTAAAATTAATAGGCTGATGATGATGAAGGGACTATTTCTTATTCAATATGTCGAAGCCGCCGGCCTTAGCGCCTGCTTATAGACACGGAACACAGAAAGAGATTAGAAGGGCCTAGTGGGAGAGGCCCATGCACCAAAACTTGGTTCTGATTGCGCCGTTGCTCTCGGCTGTGAGCGCTGATTGGTTCGTGAGTGTTTGATGTCGCGTCGTTTGATTGGCTATTATCTATTAGATGGAAGTGTAGTGGGGGCGAACCGGCGACACCGGTTCCCGTACAAACGGTATTAGATCACCCTTCTAACGTGATTCTGTGTTCTGTGGATATAGGTATAGATGAAGAGGATGGACTGAGTGTTCCAAAATAAACACGAGTGACAAAAGTTAAGTAAATCTAGGTGGATAAGGGACCGTTTCCTATTCAAATGAAAAGAAAAACTAGGCAGTAACGTGTCAGAGACGAAGCGGAGAGAAGATCGACGCGTTTTTGCCGGCCTTAGCGCCTGGGGTATTGGTAGTGTAGGATGGATTAAATGTTCCTGAGTAAAACTGTGAAGATAAGTAAGAGACAGACGAGGCAATAATGTGAACAATAGTTCGTATAGATATTGATTGCATCGTTATAATTGTGGTGGTGGAGTGTGGGTAATTGAAAGAAACGAAGAAGAGTATTTATTTTGGAATCAACCATTCCTTTAATTTATCTTACAGCTTTTAAACTACATATAGTATAATAAGTACGGGACTAGCGCTAAAATTCTTAAATGTACCGAAATTGTTCTTAAACACTTAAAAGACCGTGATTGACACTTCATCGCACTATATTTCTCTCTAGAGCATCAATCTTAACCGAATTTCGCTCAGTCAATTCTCTATTATCGCTAGGATTATTCCCTCGCAAATTATAATCCAATACCATTCCAATTATCCATACCATTTTTAAATCAGTCTGGGGATTATAATGATTAAATTTTGTAAATAATCTGATAACAGAAAAATAAAAATCAAAAAGTGCAATTTCCGCGACCTAAGTACGATGTTTTAAATGACTGGCCATTTGGGAATTGAGCAACCAAAGTAATTTCTAATTAAAGAATAGGACTAGCGGTAATAGAAGAATTTAACGATTAGCAAGTTAAAGAATCCAATGGTGTCGATTCTGGCGTGATTCGATAAACTTAAAACTAAATTTAACATCAGTCTCTCCTTTTCATTCTGTAATTACAAGGAAACACTGTTGTCAAATTTAAGTTTAGGTTTAGAGAATCATGCCAGAATCGACACCATTATACGACTAAGATTTCAGCGATTAGCAAGATATAGAATCCAATCCAACATTCGACTCACCATCCTGGGCCGCGCCCTCATCGAAGCTGTGTCCTTGGAGCTTCTTCCTCTGCTTCTGGGGGGAAGTCTTGTGGGGAGACCGTTCCAGAGCCTTCGTCTCCTGAAGCTTCGCGTGGATGGACTGGTGCGGCGCCGACCTAAACGACCTGTACTTCTTCGGCGAGTGCCCTTTGGACTCCTTGCCGTCCTTCTCATCTCGTGGTAGAGGTCTGTAGGTGCAAGGGAGACAACACATTTCCTCAATTTCTTTTTTTAAGTTCATCAATGAAGCAGCTTTATTGTTAAGCTTTTCTATAACTTAAGGAGTTTTGAATCATAACGATCAAAAGAGTGGCATAGTCTCTGTAAATTTATGGAACTGTCACCGCTTTCAAACATTTAGTAATTTTTCTGTTACTTTGCTAAACATCGAAATACATTATTGTTGGTGACAGATCCTTTGGCGACTAATCGGCTGATGAATCAACTACTCTACAATACGCAATTCATGGCTCAATTAGCCATTCAAGCCATTCTTTGCTCTGCATCAGCCTTTTGCCACTAAAATACTTATGGTTATGTTCAAGCAGACACTTTTTACCCAGCTGGAAGGGTCGTAAATATCGTGTAGTCAAAAGTAAAAAAAATATAAAATACTTATACTAAATTAAACTTCCTCTGTCAAATTTAAAAAATGGTCCTTCGAGCCGGATATTTGACCTGCGACGAGAAACTTCGGGTGCATCACTTACTTGTGATTGGTGGAAGCGAGTGATAGGGCTGACAGCGAGGACCGTCGCGACACTTGATACCAGAGCTCGATTTGCTTATTGTAAAGCTGTGTGATGTGTTCAGGAGCGAGTTCGGTTCCCCAGCCGCGGTACTGTCGAATAATGGCAATTTTGAGAATGACAAGCATGATCATGGTAAGCTTCGGTGTGTGATCGAGTGTGACGATACTTTACAATCGTGTTGGGTCTAGAATCAAAACCAAATAAAAAGGGGAATCGAATCATTCCAAGAGGCTCAAGAAGCTAATAGTCTACAAGGACTGAGTAGTCAGGGTTATTATAATTCTTTTTTATTTCAGTCTGTTTCATAGTGTGTTTAGACAACTGTTTTCATTATGGAGTTCTTGATGGCAGTTCTCTCCTTCAACGTATCCAGAGAGGTATATAACATTTATGTCAAGATATAAATATCCAAAACTTCTGAACAACTATTTTGTCACTTTCTCAACCTCGTACGTCTCAGCACACGACTTTTTTTATTGTGGCTTTTGAAACGTCTAAATCCTAAGCCTGTTGACTGTCTGTTAAATGTTTCTATTCTAATATCTGTAGGGCCTCGACAGACCTTGTATTCGCCGGCACGCTTGCGCAGGTCCAGCACTTCGCGGTACCAGGAGTCGCCCTGCGGGAGTCCCAGCGGCTGCAGGCCCGCGGCGAGCATCGTGCTGGCGCTGTCCTCCCCCAGCGCAGCTGGTCCCTGCCCCGCCCCCGCCCCTGCCCCTGACCCCGCCCCAGCCCCCGCGTCCCCTTTGCTCTGTCCTGCCCCCGAACTCGGCCCTAGCATCCTCTCGCTCGCCTCCTCATTCGTCTTCCCTTTCCCCCTGCATTTTGTAAATGTCCCTTTAGACGCCTCATACACGTACTGAGAGAACGGTCTAAATTTCTTTTTGTACTCGCTTTTGTAACGTTTCCTATTATCTTTGGAACGATCCTCCCCGTTGGATATTAGGGCCGATAGCGCGCTACGGAACGTCGATTTTCTGCAAAATTCCATTTTTAGTCTTAGACGATTGGAGTTCAATGATGATGCGGCAAAAGAATACTGCTCGCGCCGAGCTAGGTTAGTAAGGTAGACATGCTTCAAATAATTGTCAAGCTCGCAATGGTGAGGTTAGGATGTTAGACAGAAGAGTCCAGAGAGATCGACCGACAGAAGTGCGGGCTGCGCCCGGTGACCGCTAATCCAAAGTAGTGTTAAAGAAGTGTTGGGTGAGACATTGATATACAATCTAACAAAAATCTGTATGAACGTTAACATCGACAAGTGCAGGACACATTGATATTTAAAAAGTAACTATTAGCTGTCATTCCGAACTAGGATCGACTAAACTACTCGGCCTACACACCGCCACCGTGAGGAGAGATGAAGCAAATATCAAAAACGAAATTTAGACTTTGTTCTGCTGTTAGTAAGTACTATTAGTAAGGTTTCGGGCAGAACATTCACGAAGGAAACTTGTTAAGAATGTAAAAACTGGCCAAGTGCCAGGACTGTGCAGTAATAAATCATAGAGCAGTCCATATGTTTCGTTATTATAGGCTGTGAATGCTGCCAAGAAAGTTAGGAAAGGTCCCGGAACAGGAAATTGAGAGGCTTGCGCTGTTAAAAATATTTTATAGAGGTAAATGTTTACTTTGGAAATAACTTGGAAAGCTTGAGACGTTCGTAAGATATTGACATTCAGGTAAGTGAACACATTATGTGTACGATGTGTAAAGAACGGATGTTGATTTTAGGAAATAGAAATAGGTTTTTCAGCGAAAGGAGTTTCAGGTGAAGTTGATTAGGATATAAACCTTCAGGTTTTATTAACTGATGATTTGTTACCGCACTTTATTGAAATTTAATATTTATTGATAACCAAGTTTCCTTCATGAATAATAAAATTACACAAAGCTAGACACAGATAAAATTGGAAGCTAAGAGCAGTAACTTCAATCGAAAATAATTTATGACTCTTCACCTGAAAAATCACGGAATTTAATATATTATTTTTTTCAAAGGGTTATTTACACGATCTACTATAATTTACTTGATAAAATCCATACATACATATCAATCTATATATATATATACATTATTTTTAAATTTAAGTCCGGAATCTCACGGATTTTTTCTTTAAATATTTATTTGTATAATAAAAAGGATATAGGTGTTAGTGTTGTGTTAAATTTGAAATAGTATAATGTGTTATGATTGTTGATAAAGATTTGGACCCAAATCTCGACCTTGTAGAGCTCAATTGCAAAAAAGCACCTGCTTTAGCTGAAGCAAAGCGTTTGATTGAACGAATCAATAAATACTGTGATTGTGATACGAGTACACATGATATTATAGACTGTTTCTTTAATCGTTGAACTGTTTAGTGTAGTATTTTTATAAAAGAAAGTAATGCATGCTCATATTAATGAAATAAATAAAATATAATACGAAACAATCTATAAGTTATTAATACTAATAAATGAAAAGCATATAATGAGAGTGTGGTAAAGCTGAAACTATTTCGGGCCCGTTGGCAAAGCGGATATATTATTTACGACACAAGTTGTGTGCTTAAGCAAACTTTCAACATTACAATGACATTATATAGAAGTTTCGCCAACAGACCCGGCACACAGTGTATAGGCAATAGAATATTTATAAATGGTTTGATCGTCTACTTCATTAGTATTAAGATTGAAAGCTCTTTCTTCAATTGTCTTTTTAAATTCACAGGTAAACAAGTTTGTATTTTCATCATTATTTTTTAAGACAACAGTTCTGCTACAGAATAGTATTGATATTATTACCATAATTTACCGCTTTCTTTGCAATATCATCAATTGCATCAAATATACTATTATTTTCGAATTATTGTAAAGGGACTAATGAAATAGACGTTTCAAGTGTTTATATTTTGGAATCGTCTGGGTTGTGACTGACCTCTGCACGCCGGGCTTCTGTCCGTTCCAAAGGTAGTCTTCTATATACCGCTTATGGTCATCATGATCATCCACGTGATTCATAAGGGGTTCCGCTTCCACAGACCCTGAAAGAGTTGATTCGTGATCACCACTTTGTGTGATTGAGGGAACCCTTTCATCGGTTTTGTTGTTGTTGATCCATTTGTGTGTCATAAATATTATAATAACTTTTTATTTTTGGACGGTTGGTATACGAATAACAACATGGACAGTATTTTGATAAGTTTAGTTCGACTAAAATAGACTTTGTTTACTCTGTATCAAAGAACAATAATTACAAAGTTGAAATTAATTTCAAGGATCCAATACGAATAAGTTTCAAATAAAATTTAGATCCTGTCTTGGTGTATGGTGCCTGAAGGCGTAGAAGTGTTGGCCGAAGAAGGCAGGCAGCCGTGACTGCCGGTCTTCGTCGGCCCTAAGGTGATCTGGCCGCCGCGTGCCCTAGGTGCCATTCGGTATAGGCCACTCCGTCTGGGGATTGCGTAATACCCTAGCGCAATCCCCCAGAGTTGTGTCGCCCGGTCCACTCGTTGGGCCGGGCCGGCCCGGGGGCTTCCCAGTGCAGTGGAGCACACAGAGGTGCGCCGATCCCGAGACGCTCCCACATGGGCGTAGGAGGGTACCGGTGAGTTTTAGTGGGTAGGACAGGCGCTGTGTCCTGCGCCGGGTGAGTCCCATCAAGGGATTTCACAACGTCAAGAAAATAAATACGTACATACTTCATGTAGTGTGGTATCAAGAAAAATAAAATATATAAAACAAATAATAAGGATACAAAATTAAAAGACCTAAAATTCAACCTAAAATTACAATAGTATGATAGAGAGAACAAATGGCAGAACAATTGTAAAAAATCTAAAGAAAATATAACTAGAAAAAAATCCACGCGGACCAGGCAGCAGACGGGACTCGAACCCGCATCCTTCGCAATCCGGGCGAATGCACTGACCAATTATGCTACCGCGGCCCTCACGGACCGCGTCGACATTCCTCTAGCCATTCTTAAGCTGCAAGGCAGCGCCATCTCTTCGCATTATAGGTAACCCACATTGTCAAATGAATACTTTTACAAGTATTAAACATTTGCACGAAGAAATAGCAATTATAGTTATAATTTTTATTTTTTTTAAAGCATGTAACTGCTTGATGTTTAAATCTAAAGATTTTTTTTTCTAGTCATATTTTCTTTAGATTTAAACATCAAGCAGTTACATGCTTTAAAAAAAATATAAATTATAATTGTAAAAAAAAATGGATGCGTGTAACTTATGTACGCGCGTGAGAAGTTATACTTCTTTAGCATCATTAAAAATATTTTTTAATTGCATGCAAATAATTAATAATTACAATAAAATAATAAAAGGACTGGAAAAGGATAGTTAACACAGTCAATTAAGTTCAGTTTTAATTTGAAAAATTAAATAAATATTCAAAATATTCAATGAAAATCACTACTGAATTTAAGTTATTAGTCCATATGTAATTAGCACTTGTAAGTAACTAAAACACGTTGTGTCTATATAGAAACTAGAAACATGTGGATAAATATTATAAATATGAAAACAGTGATCAGAGGCGACGAGCGTGCCAACATTGTTTTTGACAACGCGATCATCTTATGGAGCTCCGTGGATCGTTCAAAGTACCTTTCGAACAGATGTTTAGACACCACCACCATTATTAGACACTAACATTCATAACGCGCCCGCGGCCAACTTCATGGTGTTACTATTGTGTTACAGTGATGCGCGCGCATCTTAAAATTTCACTCTCATCATTTTTTCATAACGCGCCCACGGCTAACTTCATTATGTCACTTTTGTGTTACAGTGATGCGCGCGCATCTTAACATTTCACTCTCATAATTTTTTCATAACGTGGCTAAAGAAGTATAACTTCCAAAATTACAATCTAGTATTTTCCTACTTACAAACAAAAAATAAACACCGTTCTCGCTTGACAAACGCTCACATGTTGGATTCTTTAAGGTTGGCAATTACCAACAACAAACCTGATTTTGCTAATCAAACACAATGCTCACAGTTATATAAATAACTAGTTACTAAGACTAACCCTTAGCACGAACCAATATCGAATTCGAAGAGTTTTGCGAGTACCAAATGTCAATGTCAAATTTTGTATGCAAACTTGAACAGCAGCACCACAACGGACGTAACGAGAATTAAAAAACAATACACATTTGAGAATGATATTTCGGACTCGCAAACGTTACGAATTCGATATTGGTTCGTGCTAAGGGTACTGTACCCCTAGCACAAACCATTATCGAATTCGAATAGTTTGCAAACTGAAATGTCAACGTCAAATTTTGTATGGAAACTTGAACAGCAGCGGCACAAAGTACGTAACGAGAACTAAAAATCAGTACACATTTGACAATGACATTTCGGACTCGCAAACGATACGAATTCGATATTGGTTCGTGCTAGGGGTACTGTTCTATGTTTGCCCTCTTGATAAAATAATAAAACACAACATAATGAGGGCTACCGTTTTCTGCCTCACCAGATGGCGCCACTGTTGAGTGAGGTCCTAAATTGTAACTTTTAAAGTTTATTAATACGCACATGAAATCAAAGGTTACATTTAGATCGTATTTTAAGACAAAAAAACCATATCCTAAACATAATAGGCCATGCCACAGTGACGCGCAGTTCCTTTTTATTCGGAAAAAATGGGAACATAATCATTTGTCTAAGCTCAAATTTTTAATAACTGACATTCATTGCCACATAACTCATATTTGCCATAATTAAGCCGAATTGTTACCAATTATTCACAACATTATTTTAATTAGAAATAAACCCGCGTAGTCAACCAACAAGCAATAACATTTGACATTTCGGAGACCTCAGGCTACACTAGCGCCTCTAGCGGCGGCTTCATACGCGATAGCCCTCATTGTGTACTGAACTGTATTGTTTCATTTGAGATTACAAGAAGTATGTAATTGGTATATCGCACAGGGTTTCGACATTAACAGTAGATCTTGGCTATAATCAAGTCGGCCACCCCTGGTGTAGACTAATGAACTCCATTAGTATTGTTAGTCCTAAGCTATACAGGTGTTAGTGTTGTGTTAAATTTGAAATAGTATAATGTGTTATGATTGTTGATAAAGATTGGGACCCAAATCTCGACCTTGTAGAGCTCAATTGCAAAAAAGCACCTGCTTTAGCTGAAGCCGGCCGCCCCTGGTGTAGACTAATGAACTCCATTAGTATTGTTAGTCCTAAGCTAATTGGTGTGAGTGTTGGAAATATTTATTATTTATTTATTTATTAATGCTTAACATCAGGTGCTGTGGAGATAGTAGTAATAGCAGCCTAAGAAATACTAGAAGAAATTCGACACTGAGAGATTTTAGCAAAAGGTATTTGAAAAAGCTATTGCTGTCGCGTATTGCTAAATACCGTGCGATAGGGTCAACAGTAGATGACGCTGAAAATTGCGTAAAAAAATGGCGAAATTCGAGGTTTGGCCCTTGACGAATTCCTCCTCGAAACTTTGATATACGTAAAAAAAATACCATTAACAATAATTAGTAGTTATACAAGGCCCCTATGTTTTGCTTTTATTGTAAATGTTTGTTGAATCTTCGCACTAGAACTCTTTAGTGGTGATAAAAATTATTTATTTTTGTAATTTTTCATGGCTTCTAGTTTCTTTCAAACACAAGTTACCGAGAAAAGGAAGACATAGGAGCATAGAATGAGTAAAGTTATATTTTATGTAAGAAAAGAATTTCTTTAGCGATAAACGTTAATTAGGAATCAGTCGAAAACGTTGTATGGAAAAACATTGCCTGCCTCCTCTCTTAAGTCGGGGTAGCATAATTTCGATCGAGTCCAGTCAGCTTTTTGGAACGCGTAGAACATTTTCTAGTAAATTTTTCTTTATATTGAAACATCTAGTAGTTAAATGCTTAAAAATATAATAAGTTATTTGAACTATATAAAAAAAGGTGATGGATCTTTCGCTTGCTTATAATAATCATAATTTAGCATATCAGGTTCACCCTCATGTCAGGAGTTCAAGGTATTCCTAGTATTAGAAATTGTAAGACCTTCATTTGTTATGAACATGATTAATGGGCGACTTTTATGACGATGTACGCCTATGTGTATTGTGAATATGTTATTTTCGTAAAGGCCTTGAAGTTAAGGCACGGGCTATAATATTTTTTAATACATAACTAGCGAGCAAATTGATTAAATAGATTAGGCTGTTGTCATGTTTGAATATTGTTAATTAAAGCGCCATCTACGGGGTCTAATTGTGTAATATCACCAAGAAACCCACCCGAATGCACAGAGAAATATCATAAAATAAATCTCAGCCGTTTAGGAAAAGGTCAAAGACATTCCTACTAAGTCTCAATGTCGATGACATGAAGAATCCATACAAAAGAAGGTAATTATCCTTTTTTATACACGGTAACGGACGACGCAGCGTGGGGCGGCCCCCAACAAGGTGGACTGACGACATCGTCAAATGTGCTGGGAGCCGCTGGATGCGGATAGCGCAGGAACGCGCATTGTGGCGTTCTATGGGGGAGGCCTATGTCCAGCAGTGGACGGAGTAAGGCTGATGGATGGATGTATGGATGGATACACGGTGCAGCAAACTACACTATCCCACCGTATGTTAAGTGTGAGTGGAGTCCAGTTACAAAGATAGCTGTCATCATCACCAGCCGATGGACGTCTACTGCTGGACATAGGCCTCCTCAAGGGATTTCTATACACAGCAGTCCTGCGCTTTCCACATCCAGCGGGTCTGCTTAATGTCGTCAGTGCATCTAGTAAGGGGTTTACCGACACTGCGCTTCCCGGTGCGAGGTCCCCATTAAAGCGTATTGGGACCCCAACGTCCATTGGTCCGCCGAACTAAGTGTCTCATCCTTAGATTAAAACAAAAAGGGAAGATACGGCACCCGCGGCTCAAAAGTGATCCGCTTAAATTGTTGTGCGTGACCACAATTCGGTTTAGTCACAATTGGACATTCAAACACGCTGCACGTGCACTCAATATAACAATA